CGTCCAACCTGGATGACGAGGCGAGGGCACAAGTCAGCTTCTGGCAACATCTTGGTGATTTCGTCCAATATTCCGATTCCGATATCGCACCGCCAGGAGCCGCAGACAACGCTTTGGGTATTCTGCGTACCGTCCTGCACATGCGCGAGGTGCGCGACGCCATCTACTCTATCGCTATCGCACGGCACTACGGTTCCCGTATCGGCGGGTTCCCCAATGCTCTGCCTACTCCCGTCGGCCAACCTCCTGAGAGCGACTTGAACAAGCTTCTCGTTGCCATGTCCTTTATCAGCCACGAATCTCGATCTGCTACGCAACAGGTCCTTGCACGCATCTGTGACATGGCCATGTTTTCTTGGACTGCTTCGAGGATGCCAGGGGGTCCGGGCCAGGAGCGACCGGTTGGTGGTCCACTGCCGTACCCTCATCAATAGTGTTTGATTTATGGTGCGAAGTGTAGCGGAGGGTATGCGCATTGTTCCGATCTCGGCCGCGATCATTTTGATTGGGCTATCATATGGATTGGCAGTGATATTGTACCGCCTGCACATTATCCCGATGACAGGTATCATATGGATTGGCAGTGTGGTTGTACCGCCTGCAGAAAGGAGACGAACATGTTCGAGCCAAAGCTCGAACAGAAGAGGTTGGACAAGGAGAAGGGGACATCCGAGCTGGAACCCATTTTCGAGCTGGATTCCATTTTCGAGCTGAGTTCCATTGTTTTGCATTGAAGCGGGGGCGTTGTTTTATTGTTTTCTTAGCCATTGCCATTGCTTTGGCAATTTGCACTTTCGTTGATGACTGCTTCTATACTCCCCCCGACACACACTCTGTAACCCCGCACCTACGTTTTTACGATTCTTTGTTGCATCTACCGTGCGTTACGGAGCTGGTGGGTTTTCTTTCTTGTTTTCGTTTTGGGCAGGCATTCACATGCACAAGATATACCCGGTTCGTCGATCGTGTCCTGTTCATCTTATTCGTATACATGGCAGAACTCTATAAGTTCTTTGCTTTAATCAATTTGGTTCTTTGGACTGTTATGGAAGATGTGGAGACGGCCGTTACATTTATGGGGTTTAGAGGTTGGATATGTAGGGAATCAGAGCTATCAATCGCATTATACTCTTGAGTCTAGTATTGTTCTGAACCATCAATGATTGCTCCTTGGGCCCGGAAACACTCCTGTATGGTAGAACATGTGGGGTGCTTCTTTGAACAGAGAATACTCTGCGCCCACACAAGCGTCCGCACGGGGAATGGCGGGGTATGTTTGAGCGCTTTTTGACAGCATATTTTAATGTTTATCAGCAATTGAGTACAGCTACACAGTCGCTATTACGCTTGCGACAGTAAGTAGCTGCTCAGGCAGCAGTACGCTCCATCTTTGATATAACAACGCTACAAGACAATCGCTGTCCAAAGTACAGACCAAGGCGTTGGTCATAGCTTTGAAAACTTTGCATTTGCGCAAGAACGTTACAATAGGCTCGTGCTGGATCTAGCACACGAGATCTGGCGATGTCGCAAACCCTTTTCGGTACTCTAGTTGGAGCTATGTCCGCCTACGAAAGCCTGTAAGCAGATCTCCCGTACTAATGCAATCAAGCGCATTAACTAATAGCATTATACAACTAGGCCGCTTGTAACAACATTGGCCCTTCAGCGGCTAAAGGATCACTGTTGCACACCCGCATCTTTAGCCCAACCTTCGAGCGACAGGATAGTATTACTGCACATATCACTTGTCATGTTCCTAATCATGCCACGCTCCTTCAAGATAAATCAACACAACAAGTTCTACTACATAGCTAGAATTTGTAAGAGGCATATTAGGGCAATCTATAAAGAGCGATGTTTGTTTGAAAGCAAGTATCTAGGATTTTCAGCGTCTCATGTATTGCAAAGCCGTTAGACATCAGTGCGCCAGAACTACTATTAGCTATTTCTCTAGTCTCTGGATCGAACACTCGACTGATCTATCTTCAACTAATCTTAGACTTCTTGTATCTTTTCTCAAAAATATCGTAGTGCTGTCTAGGAGTCGGGCAACTAGTTCAATTGCTTCCATAGATTGCAGCTGGTCGAACTGTAAGGGACTTAATGCCCTATTGTCAGCACTAACGTATCGTTTAGCGGCCAGTTACGTTTGCTTGACAATGTAAGGGACTACGCTCAGGGAGCTATCGCACAGCTATACCGAGTTGTATAAAATTGAGAAATAAGCTATAAGTTTCATAGCTACATATATATATATATATATCTAAGTAAAGAGTGGTGAAATAAGCTTGCTTGTTGCCTAAGCAACAAGCAAGCTAAGAACCAAGATATAATCGAAGATGAGCGAAAAAAGGGCTCTATGCCATCGAATAGAGTAGCTCGATCCTCGAACTGGCTCATTCCACATAGATTGCTGCAATGCGTTGAGGTGTCTCAAATACTCATACTTCACAACGTCACAATTCGACGCCACAACGGCGCTGTAGCAACCCCTTGAAGGATGTGATATTCATCAAATAAAACGGAAAAATCATTTCATTGACCGAAACACAAGAAACTTATAGTGTTGTGCGCTAAACCTAGACCGAAGTCACTAACGCAGGACGTGATCGCGTAGAGAGCAGGCAATTTCATAACAGAAGCTCACCCCACAACAAGAGGTGGAGCTCGTGGAGTATGGGAAATATCCCACTACTTATGATTTATCTTCTGCAAGAGACGCAATCGCCAGTCTCGCCTTAGCGGTTGCCTAGCAGTGAACGAGAACGGGGTTATCTCATTCATCAACAGGCACTCTATCTGTCTCATCTCTCAATACTGTAAAGATATCGACACACGTCGCCGCAACGCCAATTCTTATACAAATTACTAGTTGTACTTCAACTTACTCTAGCGTAAGATTGCTGATTCTAGGTACCACCTATTAATCCTTAACAGCCATGACTCTCATGTGACGATAAAATTCATCAAATAATGCAACCAGAACGAAAGGATCCTGGCTATTCTTTCTCCTCGTTCAATGCACACGCTGCAGCCGCATCATAAGGTGATGTTAAGCCTTCGTCAACTGAGTACTCGAAGGAGCTCACAACGTACCTTCACAGCGGCTGTAGGCTGGCAGTAATTAATAAAAGCGGCTGATTGCACTTGTCTTGGAAGCCTTGGGTGAGAAAACTTACTCAGAGGCTTTTACTTAGGTCTTCTAAGACAACGGGTATATCACCCCTTCAGCACAACGTCATCTTCCAACGCTTTGCTCAGGACACTCCTGAGACCTCTAATAGCAACATATAGTCCTTTTTCTAGTATACTCTGACGGTAGGTGGCTTAAAATAAAAACTGCTGCAGGCAATAGTAAGGGGTGAGACTTGTGATAAGCTGAGGAAGAACAGTCGCTTGCTCCATCACATCTTGATTCAAAATTTGCCCTTCCACCTCAGGCATAAAAATCTAAGAACGGATCTTAAGATTCAGGAGCAGCAAGAGAAGAGAGAAGAGGCTCTCTCGTTATAGCCTCGCAAGGACTATCGAAATAGGGCTAAGTTTTGCTCTCCTAGCAGAATACAGGAAGCAAGTACTAATAAGAGAATCGGGCAACAAAATTAGAGGGCAGAAGATTTCAAGTAAATTAACATGATGAAAAATAGGCATGCTAACAAGCTGTGCACTTAGAAACTTACTAAGAGAGACAGGAGTAGTAAGCGAGGAATAAGGCAGGGCACAGGCAAATTAGAGCTATTTGAGCTAAAGACATCGTTCCTAACGTACCTTATGATGGCAATCTAGAGTATAGTAACATGAATGTACCTCAGCCGTACGTGGAAGATCTCTTATTAGTCTATTCCGTATTTGTAGAGGGTAAAGGTCTAGGAGCCGTAGTACGGCCGAAAAGCTTAGCGTTACTATTGCTGTTAGATGTTGCTTTTAGATTCTAGATTCATGTAAAGATCTGAACTTTGTTAGTACACTAGGCGTAATTAGGCAAGTACAATCCTTATATAGTCTGTGCAGCTGTACTACAGCTACGGTCTGTACTTCGAGCTTTTTTTAGACTCCTGTACGTGAAATACTAGAACTCGTCCTGTAGGTACATTTTGATAGCATTGGTTGGTTGTATCGTACTACGCTACGTTAGGAACGCTGGCTGAGGATGTAACCGAAAGCAGGACTTTAAGAGAAGCTAGCCAGCAAGCTTGCTACAGTAAAAAAAGCTATGCAATTGTCGTCTAAGAGCGATTCAAAAGCTGAACGACTTTAATCATCCAAAAGGAAGCAGGATTGTGGTGCAGTGGCTGCGTAGTTGCTGCGGAACTTCTGACCGCACTTCGCACCTCCAGTACCCGCAACGGCAGAACAGCAACTCTGTACAATGGGTTTTTACACAGAATTATCGTCGTATAGGCCCATAGAGCACTACAACAAGATGTTATGTGACGATGGTCATGGTATGTAACCCCCCCCCAGCTTCAATCATATAGCTGCGCGTTGGGGCGATTCGGCGCATCGCGTGCACGGACATCGCGGCATAGTCAATCCGAGAGTCTTTTCCTCGCCGCGCGGGTCTAGGCCGTTCTGTGGGCGCAGTATACCAGGTCGAGATTCCGCTCAGATCAACTTTTGATACCGGTAAAATCATTTCATCATAGGAAAAAAAACAGTAAAGTCGAGCAGCTCAGTGCGACTTCTGCATGCTATCAGCCAGTGTTTGTGACTGAAGATCTAGACCAGCGCTGATCTTAATTCTATGTATCGGTTATCAGAGTTGGGAACACCGAGTACATAAATATTGCATAGCGCCTTTGCAGCCGCGATACTTGCTTACACTGTATACAATTTTTGGGTTGACTGTCTCTTACTACTTCTTAGGACACAATAATGATAGAAACCGATGCGGGCCGACATGTGGCTAATACTACAACATCAATTTCGAACGTTACTACGAACCATTTAGTGGATTTTACGAAGCGGCGTGACTGGCAACAACGTACTATAGAGGCGATACAAGACCTTCTGTACGTGTTAGCTTCCGACGGTAAAATCCTCTACGCATCCGCATCCTGTGTGTCTGTTACCGGCTACCAACCAACTCAGCTAGCAGGACACTTCATTCATGACTTCATTCACCCTGACGACATAGACGTATTCGTCAAAGAGATGGGTGATGCGATCGCAACTGGCGATCCGCTACGTTTCTTCCACCGCTTTCGCAAAGCTGATGGGGACTGGATCATATTCGAATCATACGGACATGCCCATCTCAACGAAGATTCTAGCCGAATCTCTGTACAAAGAGGTAGCATCAATGACGGAGGATTCTTCATTACCGCTCGCCCTTATCCGACTAAGAGTGCCGCCCTGATAGACTCGTTTCTAGAGCACAAGATTGAGAATTTGAGGCTCACAAACCACCTTAGAGAACTTCAAGATGACGGAGAAGACGACTCTGAGCCTCGAGATTGCCGAGAGGAGACAACAGATGGTTAGTTTTTCTGGTTTTTTTTCTTTTTGAGGATAATACATATTCGCTTACATCGTGGAGCGCACTATCTCGTACTACCTTGAGCACGATCTAGTGAAATAAGCATGAAGCTAACCCGAGAATCTCAGAAGATGGGCCTGTTTTAGGCAGCGATGAAGATTCCGCCCAAGAAAACTCGGAGAGATTCAGAATGTCTGACTCTCAACCCCCCGAACGAGCGCATTATGTCAAGACGACCCAAACCAACCGTATAGGCGATCTTGGCATTCCATTTTCTCCATACGCCAATAGCGGGAGAGTGTCTAGAAGAAAAAAAAGGGGAGGTCTTGAAGCTGTATGCGGCTATGTGTGTTTGAGTTGTGGTAATCTTGACTCAACAGAGTGGAGAAAAGGACCCAACGGACCGAAAACACTTTGCAACGCTTGTGGATGTAAGTTAGCTCTGCTAAGACAGAACGCGAAGAATAATGACTGTTATAGTGCGCTGGGCAAAGGCCCGAAGGAAAGAGCGAAATAAGGAGCTTAGCGCCTTTCCCACACAACCTACCGGACGGTGATCATGAGAAGTGCCATGAGGTCGGGTGCTGGTATCATCAACAGGAATTAGGGGAGGGTCTATGTTGTATCAGATATACCATCTTAGTTTCGTTCAAACGAAGAACATCACACGGTATTATTAGTAACAGGGTTTCCAACGGCGCTTGACCTGCAGCCCTTCTATACACTCTGCAAGTATCTACGTGCTGTTTGTTAGTACTCATTCAGCTACGCTCGCCCTTCTCTGGTCTCTACTATCGCTGTAGGACTGTCGCTCCGCGTATTTCACGCTCTTTACTCTTAGCATTTACAGGTATAGCCTTACAAGTACTCACCTAACTCAATATTCGAATGACGAAAAAAGTTTCAGACCGCATGGCTTCGCCATATAGTTGCTTTTCCAGAACGACGCTTATCGTAAATCTGGATGAGCAACCTCTCGTCCTTCTTGCCTGTCCTTGATTGGTGAACCAAAGCGATACTCGAGTAATCTGATCACGATATAGTATGCTTGTCTTTTCTCTTTTTCGTGGCTTGAATTTTGCATATGTGGTGCACCAGCTTAGCAGCGCTACAAAGGTTATGCCTTCCTCATCGGGTCGACGCGTTACCATTGTTTTGTACGACACAATCGGCACTTCTTCTCGGCTCGTCGGTTCGTGTCATGTAGTACGTTGATGTCATGCTTGGAGCACACCGGCTGAAGTTGTTGGACGTTTGATAAAACGCCTCCGGCTTACCGATTCTATGCATGGGGAGATGCCTAGTCAAATAAATCAATGTTTTGTTGTAGAAGGAGGGAACGTCAGCCGATCAGCCAACACGTCGTCTTGATCTCAATAGTACATAGCCATGCAAAGATCATGCTTCTGCCTTTATACTCGTTAAATGTGGATCGCAATCGAGAACTGCTCTGTGGGTAAACACGCTGGTTTATTATCTGTCTCAAATGTAAGTAAGGTCTGTTCATGCGTAGCGAGATATCCTACGTAATGACACGCTACATACACGCTCTTTTTATGGGCGGAAAGAGGTCTACCAACAAGTATGGTTTTACTCTTACATACAGAAGAAAAAGAACAAAGAAAAGAAGAGCATTAAAACAGGTGTCGCCGGATACTGCGTCAGTAGCTTTCCTTCCGGCTGATTTTACAAGTCCTCAATTCCACCGCGTTAGCTGCGAGAATCTCTCAGACCTCCTTTGAATAAAGACTGTACCTCCACATACCTCCACACATCTCGTTCTTATTACCTGGACATGCGGAATCGCATTCCGCAGGTGGTACCACATGTGTCGGATCTTTGATAGCATTACCACACATGCATACTTTGAAGTTTGTAACGGCAAAGTGCGGAAAAGCCTGACAATAGGTCGCGCACTTGGCGATTGTCATAGCACTGTCCTCGATTCGGCTATCAACCAAGAATTTCCTTGGACTAACACCGAAATAGCAGCCCTGGTAACTGAAGGACTTTGCTTGCTGTTCATTTAGTTTTGCCAAAAGCTCTCGCTCGCATTCGTGATGCTCGTGCTCTTTCTTAGCAATTTCAGCCACCAACTCTTGTTCGCGCTCGAGCCATTTATCTTGATCTGACTGGCAATTGTCGGAAGGGTTGCCCGAGCCATTCTGGGAAGTCCAGTGGAGGGGTTGCTCGAAGACGATGCCGTTTGTACAAGTGCACGAGCAGTCTGGTTTTTCCGCCGAGGAATCGGTGCAGGTGATAGAAGGCTTCACGCCTAGTGTTATATATTAGCTATACTCAGAGTTATCACTATTCAGTTTACTTGCCGTTCTCGCACTTGTACGAGTTCCCGGAAAGGGCTAGAGAGCCGAGGATTTGTTGGGCGTCATAGGTATAGGCTGTAGTACAAAGACTAGATACGATGCAGATCCAAGGAACTCTCATAGCTTGTATTACTAGATGCGTAAGATGAGTAGAGTGTGTAAGAGATTAGCACACAACATCTGGTAAAGTTGCATTCTTATAGTGTTAGCTTTTTCTTCTGTTCTTCGGCCCAGCACTCTATTAGTTCACGCGACATGTGACCTACTGATTTAGATATGTATAAGCGTATCCATTTGTAGACAATGCAACCGGCGTAAGATTGGGGAGCCAGACTTTACTCTGGATAGCTTTCCTTTTGATGGACTCAATTTTTGATACTCTCTTCTGCGAAGTTTTACTTTTGTTCACTGACTTATCTTCGTAAGTTCGCCTAAGTTACTAGTGATCGAGCGTTCACCCCTCCTATAAACTGCGAGATATCTCAGCGGCGAGTCTGGGAGTTTCTCACAATGTGATTGAAAGTCCCTTTATCGTAGTTCCACAACGAGGGCTTGATGCGTCTATTGTTGACATCGACATCCCATATCTTCGGTAGCTAGACGATAAATGTGACGATCGTAGTTTTGTTTGGGTAAGACGGCGAAAACTCATCCGGAAATCGGTGGAATAGATGCTTGGTAGTTGCATTAGGGAAGGCAAACCAGGATCAACTACTGTTTACTTGTTCTTGTTTCCAGCGGCCTCGTCTCAGCATGCGTTCCGAACCCCAACAGACCTGTGCCTATGCCACCTTCATCTACAAGCTCTCCGTAGCGAATCCTCATGCCTAACAACTCCTTTCTGACACGGTCTTCATCGCATTCTTTTTCTTCCTTCCCAATGAGCTTACTCATCTCTGTGCGTCCCGTTGTCGCAGTCGCGACCTGCAGAAAACCTCCGTCGGTCGCAGGAACACCGTTCGCCATGAGTGACCAGATACCCAAGACAAGGAAGACCAGTGCTAACCCGAATGACAACGCGTATGATATTACCAAGTCGATCGGCCTGGAGAAATGATATGTGGTGCGATACTCGGTAATGTTGACTGGGTAGGGGGCGTGCCATGTGTCGAGGGTGAGTGCGGAGATACTCACGTTGATGAGGAAATCGTTGATCATGCTTTGACTCAAGTTCAGGTCTCAACGTGGGTCGAATATTTCTTGAAATGTTGAGTCGTAATACCAACCAACATCCCATGGGTTTTCCCGCTCAGTATTGTACACGGAAGTAACGTTGTATCGTTGCGTGTTGAGTGCAGACCATTCAATCATAGTATCGACTGAGAAGAAACATTAGACGAAAGAACATGATTACGTAAAGGGCAGGAGGGAGGCTCAGTACACACCAGCAAGAATGCCCGTACTGTTAATGAACGGAACCAATGTCCCGTTCCAGTCGGTCTTGTTCCATTCGGCAAGCCTACCCACATAACCCTCCCATCTGTACTCCAGACTTCGAAAAGAGGTGACCATTGGTGCATATATATCCCAGTTGGTGAGGTGGTCCTTAGTAGTCGAAACCCACTCTTCGTATTCCGGAGTGTTAATAGGAACATCGGAGATGTTTGGCCACGGTCTTCCAATTCCATAGGGAAAGAAATAAGCACTCTGAGTGACGTCAGGTATTGGGCCCACGTCCTTCAAAACATGATCAATATGTCGCACGCCTCGAGGATATGAGATGTTTACGCTCAGAAGTGCCGAGAAAGGCTCGCAGATCAGGCTTTCAGTGTTTACAGCATACTCGTAGATCCTTGAGGTATAGTTGTGACTATATATTCCAGGATAGCGTATCGTGCTGATGTTCAGGAGAGGTGGTGGAAGCACCTTGGAAACCGTGTCTTTCCAGTCGATTGTGAACATCCATGACTCACTGGTCATGTCATCAAAGTATGTCCAGTTTTGCGTCTCTTGTTTACAAGAAACCTGTAATGTTCGGTACTCGATAGAGTAACTCATGTTCTCGCTTTTTGGCGATGAAAACTCTAATATCTCTCCAGTTAGCAGACCTAATTTTGCCAGGCTGAGAAGCGGCTTCGAAGGTTGACTAGACAGGTTGTTAGCAACTCTCACTGGCTGTAAATATTCCTTGGCTTACACGTAATCGTAGGAAACTATTGCGTTTTTGTTATCGTACTCCAGCTCTCCATCTTTTGGCATGGAAGCCCGACGCAGATACGCGAGACTAGGAACAGAAGTATAGTTCGGATGGAGAGCATCGAGACCTTCCGGTGGAGGTAGATTCATTACCGAGAGATCGATATTCCTCATCTCAGAGTACGGCCTCGAAGTTACCGTGAGAGATGACGGTGGATAGATCACCGCCAGAGGTAAGAGCCAAGCGAAAATAGCCATGAGAAACAGGAAAGGCGCATCTTTCACGATCTTGACTTTAGCCAACTCAAGGGGGTTTGAGCGAATCTGGAACAGCTGCTCAATCTGAGCGATACGCAGGAGTCTTTGTCGAAATATCCTCCATAGGTGCTGTGTGAATGCAAGGCCTACACTGGCGACTAAGCTTGCTTTGAACAACGTTGTGATAAGCAGTGAGATCGCAGTGACTTCAGATTGTTCGAGTACACGGTTCTCGGCGAGAGTACCGTCGAGGCGTTATGTAGAAGATCGCATGAGCAACGGCGAGTAGTACAGCTAGGTAATATAAGGCTGTTGTTCTCGAGTTCTGAGGGTTGATTCACGTACCAGTAAGATAGAACACAATGATAACAGCGATAGTAGCTCGCGGACGGGCCCAAATTGATGATAGCCATGGTGGTCTGGTGACACCTGTATTACGTTGCGTCACTGAAGATCCAGGGGTGGGCGCAGTTGATTCTCTACCGCTGGCGGATATGAGCTGTGTCGACTGATAAGCATTCTGATCGTCATCCCTGTCACTACCAGATCCGCGATGTGTCGACTGGGGGGTATACTGAGTTTCATGCCTGTCGCTAGCAGGTATAAGATGTATTGACGGATGCATATCTTGATCTTCACCACCGGGATCAGTAACGTCGCCTAGTGGCTGCTGGGGTCTAGAATTTGTATCGCAACCGTCATCGAGTTGACTTTCGTTTACGGTATGATTAGTACGGCGTTGGTTCTGATCTCCATCACGCGTTGGGTGACCGTTGTCTTCGCTCATGTCCTTTAGAATCCTGAGGGCGGTGAAAATTACAAGATTCAAGGCTAGAAGAGGGAAGGAACAGATGGAAGATGGGAATCTTTCTGTTTTAGCGTATTGAAATGCGTCCTCAGCCTTGTGCAGCCCCCAAAACGCCACCAACCGAGGACAGCGGGGTACTGCTTGGCAGCATATACGTATTCAACAGTACGGAGGTGTATCGCTCGGTGATTCGAGGGAGAACAAAAAGAAAGTCCCACGGCTGCTACTGTTGGCAACGTGAGTCTCAGCCTCAGCCTCAACCTCCGCCTTGTGTAAACATCAGTCCTGGCTGCTATGCATACCGATCCTTGGTACCGTCACGTTTCACCTACCTTCACACCTCATTTAGATAATATTCGGACAACGTACGCGCCAGTTACGGTCATCGGTACCCGAGATTCAAATACAGGCTCTCGGTGATAGCATCCCGCTTTTATTCCACCATGTACTGTGCTTATGCTATTGTCTACGTCTATCTCAATTCAAATACGGGATAGAAGATACAGATTGGAAGCGACGCCGGAGATTCGACACAACAGGAAGTGGAGGAACTTTGATCCATGTCATTAGACAAGCGCGGGAGAGTTGCACGTGAGTGAAAGGACTTGTTCAGCCCAAAAGGCAGGAGACGCTTATGTGATCTAGATGGCATGTATAAAGCCTGTACGTGGTCCGGGGTAGACGGATACTCTTAGTTACTACACGCAGCTCCTTACAATCACGAGAGCAGGTTGTGAAAGGACACTTCCCCACTATCTTACAGCAAAGACGAAGAAACAACAACAAAGCATCCCGCCATCACTCAACTCCTCCCTCTCTAAACAGCAGTCCTCTGATTCCGATGACGATACTCCTTCTCCCCTCTCTTCGCAATAGCCCCGTCCTTACATGTTGTCCCATCAGCAACAGGCTGCATAATCGCCTTGCCAAAGTTACAAGTCCCAAACTTTGTACCATCGGCTGAGCAAACGGTAGCACCATCAGTGCTGCACGCCTCTTCTCCGGAACCCACGGTAGGACCTCCGGGAGAGGGTGTGGCTGACGGCTGTGGCTGAGGCGATACTGATGCTGCAGGAGATTGACCTGTGGGACGGAGAGGCGCAGATGGGGCGACGGCGGATGCAGTTGGAATGATAGCGGAGCTAGCGCCTGGAGCGAATACACCATCCGTCTTGGAGGGCAGTGGGGGCATGGGCGCAGTAACAGTTTTGATGGTGCGGAAAGTTGATTCTGTGGTGGACAGGGAGGGTGGCGTGGCTACGGGTGGAGAAGCCGTTGGAGTAGAGGGAGGATTGGCGGCAGATGAGTTACCGGGGGCAGGAGCAGGATCAGTATCGGTGTTGCCACTACCACCACCACCACTGCCACCGCTGAAGGAGCTTGCCTGAGTAGTCTTGCCTGAACAGAGATCCACAAATGGACCTGTTCCGACAGACGTGCCGTATTTGCCGGGGTTCTCAAAGGTGAAGTCTTTGCTGTCGGCGGTTGTGCCGCAGGATGTACCGACCCCGATATTGGCGACTGCCATGTCGGGGAGCGCATCGAAGCCAGCTGTGTCATCAGAGCCACCAGAGACAGTAATGGGCGCACAGTTCATGTACATCTCCCGATTTCCGATTTTGTTGAACCACGTCCATGCCATTGTCATGACCCCATTAGGGAGCTCGGCAGGCACAGTGTACTTGAAGGCATTGTTGGTGCTAGGACCGTTTTGGTCAAGATTACCTGCAGCCTCAACGGGACAGCCACCTTCGATTGAGTAGATGACTTTCCACTTTGACTCTTTTGTGGGCTCCTTGTCGGTGGTTACGCTGATTTGGCAGGAGCCGCCGCCATGAACAGCGGTGCCGGTGAATGAGAGTGTTTGTTCGGAGCCCACTGGCCATTCATTCATGGTGTTGACGGTGTAGGGAACGGCTTTGCAAGGGAAATCGGAGCCGGTGGCCTCGAGAGGAGAGTTGTTGGGGTTGCCGTAGGGGACCGGGCTTTTCAGAACCATGTGCGCGCCGGCGTGGAGCGGTGCCATGGCCAGCATGACCGCCGCGGCAATGAGAGTCGACTTAGCGGACATGGTGTTTCTTAGACCAGCTGAAGAACTTGTATAGGTGATCTGAATGATGTACTGGGTTGTATTGTCGGAAAAATCTCACAAGGAACGATATGAAGTATTAGTTGGGAATACTTCGATCGCTGCGTGGTTAGTATGTTCGTAGTGTCGGTAAGCTGGCAAGGAAGAATATAAGACAAGGGCTTAATAGTCGCAACGTTAGAGGTGAGAGGACCGCTGTGGTATCATAAAACAAGAGCTCCGCCAGTGAGCAATAGGAAAATGACTTCACAATGTGAAAGAGCGTGGATATGAAATGTAATGATTGTAAAGAATCAAGGAATGTGAAAGTGAATGTGGATGATGGCAGTACCATGACAGCAGCATTGAAGGCTTTTTAAAGAATGAACAGGAAGCGCTGTTATGTCACCCCGGTCAGTTAACAGTGATGGCGGGTAGTTGAAACGGTGATGGCGGTTACTTGACAGGGATGATGAGAGCTGGTGGGGACGGCGGTTAGCTGACGAAGACTGCGCAAGGCTCAACCGTTATGAATAGCCATCGGGTCCACCCGCTTTTTACCTTCCCGATACCATGAAGCCGCCTGCGCTATGTGCCATATAGACGATCCATGGTTGATCTTCAGGTCGTTGAGGGGTGCTGCAGCGCGTATAACGACAGGGAGAGATCAGACGTGGAGGCAGCGAGCGCCAATGATCACGCAAAGAGGGCAAGAGTCGCATCTGGATGTCCATGTCTTGGTACGTATGGTATGACCCGAAATAGACAGTGACAGACTTTGCGCGAAAGTCTTCAGCCATGTCGGATTCTGGCACTGTATGAGAGCTGGAAGAGTGCTGTAGTCACGGAGAAGTGAGACAGCGAGTGAAAGGGAAAGAGCGCTAGATGGTTGCGTACTAGTGTGACTTGGCAACACTAGCCATCGCAACCGCGAAAGCATTCCATCACCAGTCAGGGACGCGCAAGAGCATTTGCAATTCAAACGGTTTTCACTGTCCGACGTAGTGTAGGGTCAATCGCGAATCGACCAACTTCCCGACGGCCCCGTGCCCCCCGTTCCCGCATACAGTGTCCGCACCGACATCGCGACGCGTTCAGTGTTCGCGAGCTCTGCTGAGCTTCCTCACGTCTCCTACACGAACCATCGACCCGACCCGTGTCAACAGTCATGTTTACGAGCACGGGAAAGACGGCGCCGCCCCAGGCTTTCATGTCGAGTTATGCGCCGCGACTACGAAGCCACGGAAACTCGCTCATATCGCCAATTGTTCCGCCCTCGAATACGCTCCCTGCGCCGCGCGTGACCAAACGAGGAACTGCCGTCGCTAGCTATGCCGAAGACGCCTACGATGATGACGATTTTGAGGACAGCGATCGGCCGCGACGGGCCACTGGCCTGCGCAGTGTGCAGAAGATGGACGTAGCCAGCGCAGACCATACGGCGCAAATAGCAGCTTTGGGGCAGGAGCTCACTGCGCCTGTGGACCTTCAAGGCATATGGCGAGACTGGATGGGCAGGCCGAAGCGCACACTGTGAGTGGCATGGTGGCGCACTTCAGCTATGGGATGCACGAGGCTAACATACTGCAGAACAGAAAGACAAGTGCAGACACAATCAGTCCTGCCTGTCACGTTGATACCGATTCGAATAGACATGGACATCCAGGCCTTCCGTCCTGACGCACCGTTGCCAACACCGTCCAACGCGCGAGAGTTCGGTATCAACGAAAACCTGCCCGCGTACAAGCAGCCCGATGTTACTCCCGCGTACAGGTTGAAGGACTCGTTCCTCTGGAACCTGCACGAGGCTTTGACAACACCCGACCAGTTCGCAAAGCAGTTTGTCGACGAACTGGACCTGCCAAACGACCGAAAGCCCCTCATCATCTCCCAAATCGCAAACCAGATCCGTCAGCAGCTCGAGGAGTACGCCGGTGTCGCGCTGCATCCGCTCTTCCATTCCGCAAACGCGCCTGCTGTCCAAGGAACAAATGCAAAGGCCGCTCTCCCTGCGACATCTCGAGACGGCACATCCACGCCTCAAGTACCAGCCACGAACGGCGCGTCGACCCCTCTGACCAATGGCGTATCGCGTACGAACGGCGCGCAGACACCAGCTAGCATTCCAAATGGCATCAGTGCAACTGCGACTGCACTGCCATCGGAAGAGCTTCATAACCCCGATGACACCTACCGGTGCATCGTCACCCTCAACATCAACCTCATGAACCGACTATACACAGACAAATTTGAATGGTCGCTGCTTCACCCACCCGGCTTCGCAGAAATGTTCGCCAAAACAACATGCGCAGATCTTGGACTCTCGGGAGAATGGGTAAACGCCATGACACACAGCATCTACGAAGCCGTCCTGCGCTTGAAAAAGGAAGCCTGTGAGAACGGCGGATTAGTAGGTGACGGCGAGATCGACAACGACGCAGTCGAGCCCACAATTGGCGCGGGCTGGAGATACGACCAGGAGCATCTCTGCGACGAATGGGAACCCAAAGTTGAAATCCTCTCACCGGAAGAGATTGAGAAGCGCGAAGGCGACCGTGAGAGGCAGATTCGGCGGTTACGCAGAGAGACGGCAAGGTTCTCGAGCACGACGAATATGACTGGCACCCCCGCTAACGAGTTCTTTAACAATATCGAGGGACAAGAGAATATGGGTCGTGGCGAGCGCAGTAAGAAGAAGAGGCGGTTCAGGAGTTTGAGTCCCGTTGGCAGGGGCACGCCGGGTGCTGGGGGAGGCTCTGGGTACGGCGGGCAGGATGGAGGTCTGCAAGAAGGGTATGTTTCAAGTTTCCCATTTCTTACCACTCCTATCTATGGTATCATGTGTATAAGAACATCAAAACTGATAACAAACACAGTGAGCGACAAACGTGGCGCTGCGCACACTGCTGGGTCTGGGGAACCGCTGTTTGGGCTGTTCGCGACGGACCCAAAGGCCCACGTACCCTCTGCAATAACTGCGGCTACCTCTATGAACGCGATAAGAAACTCCCACCATGGAGCGAGAATCTGTTCTATCACGAGAGGCCACAGCACGAGATTCAACAGTATCGGCCACAGCGGTGAGAGTCGACTGAGACATGTACTTTCCTAGTAGCGAGGGTACGACCTCAGCCATTGATTGTCCCTCCTGATGCTTGTTCTTCTCGGCTCAAAAGTCACTTCGTTGGGCAGAGACGAGGCCTTTTCTTCTTCTTCTTATTCTGGGGCATTTTCTGCAGCGTTGGCGTCTTGGGCTCGTTTGTTCGAGACAGCAGGCTTGTAAAACGACGTTATTTTCTCTCTCTCCCCCGCAAGGACTCGATCACTGTGGGCCAATTGGCTGGGTTCCAGATGCCGAGTTCGAGGCGGTCTCAGGCCAGGTGGAGGACTATTGCAATGATGCGGTTCGCGTATATTCGGCATGTATTTGCCCTTGGGAGGCGTGATGCGGACTCGAGTACAACCAACAATACGTGGTCTAAGCCTATCAGTCATGAGTACTGCTGTCTCGCATTACGATCGGCATATGGGAGATGTAGCGTCTGCCAGCTGGCAGTGCAGATTGCATTCCTATTGTGCCTTCCCTCTTTCTTTTTTGCGCCCCTCAACGTGTTGGGGACGCGTCATTCTAGTGTTGACAACGAGCCAATCGCATCTACTGTGTTAGCTTCGCGACAGAAGCTGAGGATGATGGGGTGGAGCGGTGAGACAGAGGGTTGGATGCGGGATGAACGTGGTGATTTGCACAGGCCCCCGTATCGTAAGTGTCGGTGTGGCTTTCTCGGGGGATTCTGTACGTTGCAAGTACCTTTGTATCTCTAGTAGCAACATGCCATAGCAGCATTGTGGAACTCATCTTTCTGGTTTCATAATACAAACATCGTTGGTTGTACCCATTAGACAGACCATCTTCGCGTTTTCCATTACGAAACTTTCAAAGGACTTGGGTGAGTTCCGTTGATGTCCTCATCCTATTGTCTTGGTGATGGCTTCGTATTGTGCACCCAGATCATCAGACGTTCGCCTATCACTCACCCATGTTGTCACCAGCACCAGCACTGCAGCGTCGGTACTAGCAGACTCATATTGTCTTAGTCAAACACTTTGCACACCCCAGCATCTGTCGTTTCATGTGCATGCGGCGTAAGAGCAAACATCCCAGGCATTGGTTAGAGCAGGACAGTTCTTGCGTACTGCATTTCTTGCTATTGTGCCTTATTGAACGTGACGTTATGAAGGCAGGCATCAAAACAGTCAGCACAAGCTTGCCTGAACATTGTACGCACCACATCGCACAGATCAAGGCCTCGTAGCCAAGAGATGGGCGTGCCGTCTTCGTGCCACGGCCACATCCCAACTATAGCAAAATCACATTACCAAATTTACCGTGTGTGTTGATGCTATTGTCGTGCAAGTGCGGTTTTGTTACGTGGGCGCTTAGCCGCCCCTCCCTCCAACCATCTACCTTCCCTTTTGCCATGATTCGCCCTCGTCGAAACGATCCTCGTTCCTCTGGTCATTATCATTCGCAGACTCGAAACACTGCCCGCCCCAAGGCCGGCATGTGGCTATACCTAGCCAGCCAACCAGAATGAATGTGCTGTAAACGGCTTAGCGCATCTTTATTGTGACAATAGCAACAATGGCCATGCTGGAGGCTCAGTGCGCGATCCTGCGAACTGCCCGTGTGGGCTAACTGTTGTGGAAGATATGGATCTGTGTGGCGTGTGGGTGTTTGGGGGTGGGTACGGAGGTGTGTAGGCTAGGCTTCTTCCTATTGTGTTGAGTATTGTGTTGGTTGTTTCAGGTGTCGTGGTTTGTGGGAGGATGACATGCGGGAGGACTGCATGTGGCTGTATATATATAAATGACTGCTGGTGCATATCGCCCGAGGAGGTTTGCTGAGTACAGCGCGGACAGCGAAAAGGTTGTGGTTCCTATTCTCTGGCGCCTGGAAAGATGAGCGTTTGTTAACAAAGTCTAGATTTGTACTGCGACTAACGCACGAATACCAACATCCACGGCAAACGTCATCGACAAGACCACTACATCATAATAACACAGCCCAGTATTGGTCCATTCTTACATCCTACACGTTTTCGTGGTTGCGCAACAATCTACCGGCAAAGCCTTTAACCAGCACATTTTACCAGTACTCGTAGTACCCGGACTCGCATGATCGTCGCACCAAACCATCACACCAACATCACGCCACGACCCCACGGTCACGATACCCCACAAGATATACCGTCAAAACTCGGGAATTTGTTGCTTGGCTAGAAAAACACACGTTCATATATGTCATGGACCCATTTCGAAAGAACAGTGAAATAGATCTTGTAAAAGCATCATCGTCGATAACCCACAATGATTCATTGACGACACCAACCAACAACATACCATCTACTTCACATCCTCACAACAACACTCCACACTCATCTTCTCATATAGAAGATCAGACACCAACAATAGCACCACCGGCCTACCACACAATTCCAGGCCCAAACATGCCCATGTCCAACATAACGTCACCCTACGACTCCTTACTGCAAGAAGGAGTAGACTCCAACCCCCACGAAGCTTCTGATGACGACACACCAGAAATCATCATCAACGCCGCCACACAAATCCGAGGCCATGGCAACATCATCTCCATTGCGCAAATGGACAGCGTACGAATAGCAAACCTCATATCCACCGTACTCAGCGGCCAGGACCCAACCGACAGCACAACCGACACGAACAAAACAGAAGGAGAGGATAATACAACAGCGCGTCCCCCAACGCCAATAACGCCAACAAGAAGGGAACACACATCGACAACGCAAGTCAGAGGCGTGAAGCGCTTCTCCAACATCAACATCACGGTAAACTGCGGCGCGACCATCATCGGGGACAGGAACATCGTAGGACCGGGACTAGGCGATATCGCGAGGCAGATGCAGATTGCGCAGAGGAACCAGGCGGCGTTGCTGGCTCAGCAACGGGCTGCGGCGGCGGCAGCAGCGGTGGGGTTGGGAGGGCAAGGGCAAGGAGTGAAGTTGCCGTCTTCTCCACAGGAGGCACATTCATTGGGACAGCAAGTGCATGGTGGTGGAGCGATACCACCGCGGGGAGTGACGATTCCGCTGGGCGTTTCGACACCCCCGATGAGCCGTAGTTCTAGCCTGAGCAGTGAAGCGGGAGGACGGAAAAGGAAGAGTGAGGATGGTGCCGAGGGTGTTGCGCAGAAGAGGCGCTGTTGAGGGTTTTTTTCTTCTCCTCAAGGTTATGGCGGGTCTTGCCTGGGTTTTGGGGGGGTTTCCTTTTTGAAGCGTCTTTGTAGTTGGGGTGTTGTGAAGGCGAACTAGGCGGATTACACTATGGTGGTTTGCTGTTATTGTACATTGAACCTACATGGGTAATGAGTTATGAGGTACGAGTTCTTTTTCTTATGGTTAGGTTGGTACATAGGCTTTGTGATTGTGGTTGGAGGAGCCTTCGGTTGGTGAATATCATTCGCTCGTCTCTACTACTGTACAGTGTTCCCCTTGGAGCGAGCCAGTTCCTATCTATATGACGTCGTGTGCTATGCATGCCCTTTCACGTGTCAGTACTTCTCACTGCTGATCGTCGACGGCTGCTACACGAAGCAAGGGGGGCCACACAAGAAACACAGAGGGAAGCAGCTCATGAGACAGGGCAATATCGAAAGAGATTCCAATGGTGCAGCGGCAGATGATGAATGGCTTGTGAATGGCTTGGTGTCAAGCCGCTTAAAACGTTAGAGGCCGCCGTCGGGGGTCGGGGGTGTCGGAGTTGGCCTTCCGCCTCCGCGCGAGCGAGCCTGTGCTTGATGCTTCGTGTCCTTTTCAAGTTGCACGTGGGAGCAGATAGAGCCATTGAGTAGTGATGGACGAACACAAGTGTGCGACGCGACAAGATAGACAGAGAAGGGAATTGATGTCATGACTGCATAGAGGAAATATAATCATCCGCCTTGTGTGATGCATCCTACCCGCCGCAGCGCCTCAACTCACCCCTGCTTAGCGGCATCCCGAACGGGGAAGCACTCCTAAGCTCACTACCACTCGCACCTTCACCCTGCCACGTCCAGCAATTCTCCTTCCTCTCGTCCTGCATTGTTGGCTCCGACACACCCAAGTCGATGTGAAGGTGTAGCAGCACGTGAACCAAGACAAATCCCCTCAGAAGCGCGGCGCCAATCTCAAGTGCGCGATTCCGTGGTTGCACTCGACGGTTGCGTAGCTCCCGAAGCGGTTCCAACACCTTTACCTGGCCTCTTCTCGCAACGCCATCGAAGCCGTCGAGCAAAGCAGCCTGTGCGACGCGTCTCTTCACCACCATTACGACGCCCGGGCTAAGGCAAAACTAATTACCTGTAAGCCCCTTTTGTTCAGTACTCCTTGCTCCGCCTCCCCCAACTCCGTCATCCTCTCGCGGTTTGCTCTGCCAGCTGTTGCATTGCCGTACAGCGTTGACATTGGACCTTGTGTAGTAGTCACCGCCGCACCCTCGAATCGTTGAACACGTCGACGCACACACATCCACCTCTTACATCATGGAGCCGTGGATGAGCTGGGCCGTATTCCTGGCCATTGGAGGCGCTGTCTACTGGTACTACATGCACCAAGGCAACACCGCCGATGTGCGAGGACGATCAACCACGGGCAAGTCCACAACCTCGTCGCTCAAGGAGGCGGTCAACTGGGACACCTCGGAGAAGAAGCCCAAGGCCGCAAAGAAGACTACCAAGGCGCCCCGCAAGTCTGTCAAGACGGCTGTTCAGGATGCTGGAAACAAGGCTGCCGATACCCTGAAGCAAGCCGCGCCCAAGCAAGCTGCCGACGAGGAGGTCGCACCGCCCGCCGCCTACACAAACAAGGCCCCAAGCGGCAAGGATGTCTCTGATATGCTCGGCGAGCGATCCGTCTCCCCCGCCGTCATGAGCATCAAGCCCTCGGAGAAGCCAGCCAAGTCAGTCAAGGCGCAGACACAAAAGGCAGAGGTTGCGACCGAGTCTAAGAAGCAGCGCCAGAACAGGAAGAAGGCCGAAGAGGCCAAGGCCGCGCGCGAGGAAGAGGAGAAGGCGCGCAAGGCTCTCGAGGAGAAGCAGCGTCGCGTCGCTCGTGAGGCTCGCGGTGAGCCCGCCAAGAACGGTCTTGGTCAGAGCAAGCCCCCTGCCTCGAACGCCTGGACTGAGGTGTCTTCCAAGGCATCTCGCGGCGCCGTCCAGCCTCCCAAGCCTGCTCCGACTGGCCAGCTACTTGACACTTTTGAGGCTCCCGCTCAGACCGCTACTACAACCACTGCCCCCACCAACGGCGCTGCCAAGACTTCCGCTCCTCTCAACAACCTCCCTTCGGAGGAAGAGCAAATGAGACTGGCTATGGAAGACTCCGCCTGGACCACGGTCCCCAAGGGTGGCAAGACCAAGCGCAAGACGGTGAACGAGGAACTCGCCGAAGAGCTTAGCAACGTCACTGAGACGAAGCCACAACAGTCCGCCAAGCCAGTCAGGCCGACTGAGGTCATCAAGGAAAACAAGAACCCCAGCTCCAGGTACCAGATCCTTGCTGAGGAGTTTAACCCCAAGACTGGCGATGACGCCGATGACTGGGCTGTCATGTGAGGTGGATGGACTGGAGTAGTCTCGAGACCTTGGGTACCCATACACGTACCCAGACGACGTGGATATTTCTGTCGGAGAAGACCTTGGTGTCAATGCGATGGTTGGCAATGTTCATCACGATGGTATCATATTTGGCATGACGGATGGGCGGGCACAACTCAATACGACGGCGGCGGAATTGTCTACTTGTAAGCATGGGCATGGTTGGAACAGGACCATCGGATGTAGGTTCCTTCCTCTACTTTGCTTTGCTGTCCAGGTTAATGGAAAAGCAATCGGCGTGTGGGGGTTGCATCTGATAGTTATTTGCAAGAGCTTCTCTTGCGTTCTCGTCGTGTACTTCAATACTACATCAGATCGCAGACTCTGTGCTGGAAAGGAAAAAAACTATCGAGTTAGAAACTGTGGTTGATGACTAAATGTGCGAGCCAATTGCGAGCCCTGTGATACCGTCCCTTGATTATTTGTAGAGTCAGCGGTGAATACTATAAATACATCCACACTCCACTGTAATAGCGGAAGCCCGTGCCAAGTCGTGAATCAGCTAGTTCAGAATTGGGCCGGGATTATTTCGTACCGACTCACATTTCTGACGCCATAGGTAAGAGTGTCGATTGCAGCAATCTGGCCTCAAAGTGGTATTCTAGTAGGTTGCGCGAACCGAGGGACGAGCGCAACGGCCCTCAACCTTGGGAACCGCACACGACGGCGGACGCAATATACATATATATCTGAGGCCATCACGCGCAGCCTGCTAATTGATAGTTGCACCCTGCAATTTACTACACTAGCCTGGAACAGAAGGAGTTGTAGTGAGACTACAGGTGGGCAAGGTTTCGCGCGCGCAATAGGTCTAGCTGGCTGACATAATCTGACGTTCCCGAAGTTCAATCGCGTCAAGGACACCTGTTCGGAGTGCCCAAATCACTACAGGGCTTTAACCTACAACTCCGCCGCCCATCCACCTCGTCTTTCGTTCTCTTTCCACACTACACGACCCAGCCATGGCGCAGATACGCGGCACAGCTGGCTACCACCTGGGCAACCAGTCCCCGTTTGGCAATTCGGGGCGCAACGACGACAGCAGGAATGACCCCAGTCCGCTCGATCAATTGAGAGCACAGACGAGCAAGCTCGAGGACATGCTGGACACTGTCGCCGACCCCATCAAGCCGTGAGTACTGCTCTCTGTACATGGGATGGTGTGTTACACACACACACACCGCCCGCCTCGAAGACTTGGCAAGTCTGAGAACATGGCTAACTCACGACCGATACTAGATACCTCCCTGGCATTGGTCGCTTCCTCATCGTTGTTACTTTCCTCGAAGATGCGCTTAGAATCGTCACGCAATGGACCGATCAGCTCACATACCTCCACGACTACCGCCATAGTACGTGACCCCCACACTTCCCCTCCCCGCGTGGATGGACTGCTAACACGGTCTCCTCTTCTACAGTCTGGAACGGCGTAACGCATCTCTTCCTCATCACAAACATCATCCTCATGATAGTTTGCTCCTTCGGCGTCATCTTCCGCAAATACTCCGAATTCAGCGTCGCGGGCCTCATGGCTGTTGTCGTTTTGCAAGGAATTGGCTATGGACTCGTCTTTGATCTCAACTTCTTCCTGCGCAACTTGTCCGTCATGGGCGGTCTGCTCATGGTTTTGAGTGACTCGTGGGTTCGCAAGAAGTTCGCGCCTGCTGGTCTGCCTCAGCTCGATGAAAAGGACAAGAAGATGTACTTCCAGCTTGCTGGACGTGTGCTGCTTATCTTCCTTTTTGTCGGATTCGTGTTCCGCGGTGACTGGGGTTTCTGGAGGATTATTGCTAGTCTGCTGGGACTTGTGGCTTGCATTATGGTTGTTGTCGGTAAGCAATATTCCTATTTACGATCTGCTAGATGCAAGAGGCATATGCTGACTTTTTACACTAGGTTTCAAGGCGAAGTTCAGCGCCATCATGCTCGTTCTCATCCTCAGCGTCTTCAACCTGTACGTCAACAACTGGTGGACGCTGCACCCGCACCACCCCCACAAGGATTTCGCCAAGTACGACTTCTTCCAAATTCTTTCAATCGTTGGCGGTCTCCTCTTGCTGGTCAACATGGGCCCCGGACAGTTCTCTGTCGACGAGAAGAAGAAGGTCTACTAGACTGCAACGAGATTTGGACTATGTTCACGCATCACGACACGTGCCTACACGCTTGGGCAGCGAAAACGGTCGCCTTGTATTCGGTATATATGCATAACAAACGTGGGAAGAGCGGTGTTCAAGATCAGAGACAACTTAGGAGTTGGGAGGAAAGGGGAGGTTTCAAATCTCCAGCCTAAGGCTCTTCTGCCAGGCGATTGGGAGGGCAAACGTGTTAGAGATATGGTCCAATCGGCGTTTTGTTCCCCTGCTGGCGATTGGGTTATGAATCGCCTGTCTTTTTTATGAGGGAAATCTTTTTACATATAAGCAAATGTATATCCGTCCACTTGGATTCAATTTCACATTTGCAACTACTCTCTTTCGATGTAACATGGGACACATTTCGCGGATCCACAACTGCAGAGTGGAGTCGAGCGCTATCGGTGAACTCCGCGTTTGCGCGTTTGCGGGAAATGTACACCTGCCACGCGTGGTTTGGTGTAGGGATGCAAGTGGGTAGTGCATGGCCGCTAGTTATCTAATCGTACATACGTATCGGAGTGTGCGACTTCCATGCAGCAAACAACATTCGCTACATTGATACAACGAAAGCATTTTCAATTTGACCGCACCTGAGCATACCGAAACCATGGCACCTAACAAGATCATCATAGACACTGACCCTGTGAGTTCCATCTTGCGAACCAAAAAGTGCGGGGTAAAAAGTCGGTGGGGGAAGGCCTACTGTAGTGGCGGTTGACGGTGGACAAGGATCGTGGAGAAAGAGCAACGATAGAACAACAAGAAGAGAACAGAGGCTAATAAGAGAATAACGACAGGGCATCGATGACATCCTAGCCATGCTTCTAGCCTTCTCGGCTAAGAGTGAGGAGCTGGATATACTGATGTTGAGTCTGACTTTTGGCAATGTCGAGGTGAAGAATTGTTTGAGAAACGTGGTCACGCTTTTCCACTATATCGAGAAGGAGAGGGCGTGGCGGAAGGAGAATGGGAGACCAGAAGGGTTTGAAACGTTGAATGCGAGGAAACCTATTGGTAAGGTTGAGCGATTGTAATCGCAGCGCTGGTGGAACGGAGAAGTTACTAATGTGTATCACAGTTGCTGTTGGTGCTGAAGAGCCGTTGGCGGAACATATGATGGTCGCAGACTTCTTCCGTAAGACGACACGCTTCTTCTCGAGATTGGTTCGTGACACAAAGACTAACATACCATCTTAGACGGTGTCGATGGACTCGGAGGTATACATCATAGCGTAAGCTTTTTCCTACCATTCCAACGCCTCGTAGTATTCTCGCTGATGCATAACAGCACCCCCATCTCTCGCCTGAAGAGACGTGGAAATCGCTCTTCACGCCCCAGCCGAAGAATCTTGCGCCCGAAGAAGCTGCAGCGCTGCAGAAGGTCAAGGAGAAGCACTCGCTCTTTACGCCGTCGCTCAAACCCGCACACCAAGTCATGCTCGACTTGTTGAGGGAGAACGAGCCGGGTACGATTACCATTGTAGCCGTTGGACCATTAACGAACCTTGCCATTGCTGCTGCGAAGGAACCGGAGACGTTCTTGAGAGTCAAGGAGGTGGTTGTCATGGGCGGTGCTATCGACGCGCCTGGAAACGTAAGTTCTTGTCCTTTTTTCTTTTCGTCACGTCTTCCTCCTCCCCTTCACTGAGGCTATTCATAGCGTTCACCGCCACCTCTCCACCTCATCTATTCCGCATCTACCCTCTCCATTTCCGTTCCACCATTCGGCTTGATAAAACAGTCCAACACCCCTCTTCGATATTCGCTAAACAAGCGCAACCAGATGACACCCGGCGCCGAGTTCAACACCTACGCCGACTCCATAGCATCAGCTCGCGTCTTCGCACTAACATCTCAAAACCCGCATCTCACCATGCCACCCGTCATCTCCAACAACAAGAAAGAGCAGCTCCCGCCGTATCCGGAGAAGTTGAGCAAGAGGCTGACGATCAAATTGTTCCCGCTCGACACGACCGAGTTGCATGTGTTGCCCAAGGCCATGTATGAAGATTATATCAATCTGAAGCCGATTAAGGGCAGTCCCATGGCGGAATGGACTAGTCTCTTTCTCGATGCAACTTTCAAGAAGAATGCGAGTTTGAATCCGCAGCAAGATGCTACAAAAGCTGGTCTTCAACTACACGACCCGCTGACTATTTGGGTAAGTTCTTTTTTTTAACTTATCCTCAACACACGTGACACGCTTGCTGACCATCTTTTTCTTTTCTTCACTTAATAGTACGCGCTCTGTCCGAACAATAGCGCGTGGAAGTTCAAAGAGGAAGATGTCAGGGTTGAGACGAGTGGGCAGTGGACGAGGGGATGTACGATTGTTGATCGGAGGGGTCGACCAATTACAGAGGGACAAGGCGATTTGAGCGAGGAAGTCGTCGGAGATGCGGGAGGTTGGAGGGATTCAAGGAGGGGTAATAGGGTGGGCTGGTGTACGAGGAGTCCCGGGGAGAGCAAGTTTGGGAGAGTCCTGTTACACCGGGTGTTGGGGGATGGGGAACAGTGGTAGAGGGTGGGGGGAAGGATACATGTAGAAGGGAAATTCGAGGTGTGCATGAATGTTGATGCTCAACGTCGTACTGATTTAAAGAGGTCTCTCCCTTCATTTTACTGCGTATGATTCCTCTAGCCTCTCTTCCAGCCAGTCAAAACCCCTCCTCTGACTATCCCACGTCGCGCTTCCTTTCGTCATCTTCCCAACAAACGTATGAGGCTCCCCTTGAACCTCAAATAAACTCGTCTTGACCCCCGCCTCCTTTAATCTCTTTTCCAAGTCCTTACTCATCGCGATCGGAATCGTCTGGTCCGCCGTGCCATGCACAATCGCCGTTGGCGGCCACGACGAACTCACCTTCATTACCGGATCAATTAGGTGCAGGTCGGCAGGGTAGCGGGGCCATATGGAATTCAGCACTTTTCCTGTAGCGATGGCGTGCATGGCGAAGGCTTGGCGCTGTTGCGGGTTGGGATGGGTTGGGTCGGCGGGTTGGCCTTCGAGGGAGGTGCCGCCTATGAAGACTGTTTTTTCGGCATGCACGGCGGCGACGTCGGATGGCGGTAGAGGCGCGTGGAAGGCGGCGGGCATGGAGGGGATGGGCTGAGCCCAGAAGGGGGAGGAAAAGGACTTTGCGCCGTAGAAGTCAAGGATCGCGAGGGGTGGCGTGGATGATGTCCAGGCCTTTTTTCTTTTTCGTCAGTCTTGTTGCTCGATATTTTCCTTTGAATGTTGTCCTGTAGGAACAGCTGAAAGTTTCCTCACACATCTCCCACGCATAATTGCCAACTGAGTAAGCCAAACCAAAAGAAGAAGAAGAAGTCTCTCACCGTAGAAAGCGCAAGATGTCCCCCAGAGCTAGTCCCCATAACCATCACCCTACCCTCATCGACCCGAACCTTGTTCCCATTCTCACTATCTTTCAAGACCCGCACCAAACCTCCGTTCTGCACCCAGCCTAGAACATCCTTCACATCCTCCATCGGCCCCTCAAGTACATCTACGCCCGGACAAAGCCGATGTTCGATCGAGAGAACGATCCAGCCTCGCTCTACGCAATCAGCGATCTGGTCTCGATTGTTTATGCCCGCATGGCCAAGCATGAAGGCACCGCCGTGGATCCTGGAGAAGAGTCAGACAGCTTCGACGTGGGTTAAACTGAGTCTTGAGAGAATGAGTTAAAAGGGTGCATGATGATTGTGACCCACCCCAGCTTTTACAGGTCACGACTTTCTCAATCTCTTTAGGTCTCTTTTCGGGGAACCTTATCAAGGGTGGGAAGATGATGGAAACACACACACATGATCAACACCGGCGCATCTCTCTGCGACACCTTAATTGGGAGGTATATGTCCGTCGGTATCTCCACGCCATTCACAGTTTTGTACGGCGCGCGTAGGACCGGACGCATGTCCTTGTTGTTGGAAGAGGCCATTGTGCTAGAGGCAGTCGTAAAAATGGGATGCCCGGAGTTAGGATTAGAATTTGGAGCTCAGACGTGGTCGGATCACAAACTTGGAAACCCGAGATGTAAGAACTCTGGGCTATGGACTATTTGCTGCGGCAATGATAGTGGTAGTGCACGCGCGCTAGTCCCACCTACCTTCGTACGAGCGAATCCCCGCCCAGCTAAACTAAGATGGATAATCAATCATCCCCATACCCCTCCTTCTGTCAACCGCACTTCGAGACGGCGGTTTGGATGGACATGCGTTACCGAGTGTCAAAGCCGAACACAATCGCACGTTCCGGATCTTATTGTGTTGCCGACTACCATTAAAGTTAGGGCGGAGCAAGGTACATCATCGGTAAGCTTTCTCCACATACCGAGCGGGTTTGTACAATACAATTCGCCAAAACTCCGTGCGGGTGCCGTCCACATTAGGGACTATCCTCCGAGCGTACATATCCACACGAAAATGAGAGGGTGAAAAGGATTTTGTGTGCATGTTGCTCTTGTGTCTGAAGAGCTTATTATCTAGTCTCATAGCCACCAGTGGACCGGGTTAAAACAGTTTTCCCATATCTTCTAGCATCGCGTATTCGCGGAGCTAGATGAAGGATAGTAGCTGGCTGCAACAACAATCACCCCATCTACCGTGTAGTCACCAATGGCATAGTGGGTGAAGTAATCACAGCCGCCCACATCGTCGTCGCTACCAATATTCTGTAAAGTCTGGCAGTTGATCCAGCAACCTGCACTGTTTCGGTTCAAAGCTGTAGGCCTTCAAGAATTACCTCAACTTCTCCAGTCTTCCATTCATCTTCAAGACCTGTACATATCTCCCGTATAGTCTTCTCGTCAGTCTCACCCGATTTCCCAGAAAGTATCCCCAGATCAACAGGATGTTCTTCTTCCACGATTTTCCCTTCTCTCTTAGTCCTTGCCTTCTCGATTCGAGATATACGAGACTCAGCCTGGAGTACCTCCATTTTGGTTTTTAGATGCTCGACGGCTTGTTGCGCTAAAGTGTCTTTATCATTCGAGGATAGGAAAGCCACAATCTTTTCAAGATTCTGTACGATGTTTGAGTTCAGCCATGTGCCGGACGGTCCATCCGGTGGAAACAACACTCCCTTCTTCAGTTCTTCGTCAAGTCGTAATATCGCAGCCCAAAGCGGTGTCCAGGTATCTCGTGACCTGAACAAACTTTGCACGGAACCATCAACGTTAGGGCCTGCAGCATGTGTCTCGTCTGCGCCGTATTGTAGGAGCCGTTCTACCATGGTCTTGTGTCCATTCGTGGCAGCGTGGTATAGTGCAGTGCCCAAGAGTGGATGTCTGCAGTTGACGAGCTCGTCATCCGAGTACATCTCAAGGCAAAGATTAAGAATCTTGGGCGTTATCTGCCCAATTTGCGTGTAGTTGGGGCTACCAGCAAGAAGGTGTAGGATAGTGAGTTTGCTTGTGAGGTCGACGTAAAATGCAGGCCGCTGAGCCGGACCGCCGTCACGCTTGCCGAACAGGAATCTAAGCGATTCAAGGGTACGATTCGTATGTTGAGACAAGATCTCCACAAGAACACTGACTGATCTAGTCTCTGATCCATTCATCCCATACACTTGGAGTGGATAGATCGCATCTACAACAGCATTGTTATCGACCAACGCCTGAGCCACGTCAAAGTTTTGGTTCAAGACCGCCAAAGCAAGGGGTGGTCTGACACGTCTATCCATGCTCTCGATTGGTACACCAGCTCTGATGAGAGCGTCGGCGATATATCTTCCGGGTTTTGACTGACGTGGTCGCGACGCACAGATGTGAAGCAGAGACATACTACCCGCAGGTGTCATTGTCGTGACTGAAATGTCAGCCCGGTACCGTATGAGGAGCTTGAACATTTCTTCGTGATTCAGCTCGATAGCCTTCTGCAAGGGTCGATGATCTGAAGTTCCGCTAGCGCTGTATCCTAGTTCCAAAAGGCACTCGACAATGTCTAGGTTTCCATGGGCGACCTCGTTACACAGCGTCCTACTTCGTACTTTTTGGAGCTCTTCGGTGGGTATGGCGCCCTGGAAAGGGAATGAACGAGCATGGAGTATCATCCAGGTGATTCTAAGGTTGCTTTTGTACTTGTGTCCATGGCGCACGAGACGGCTTCGCAATGACAGTGGATCGAATTCGGTCACTTTTTTACCGCGTGCTAGATCAATTACGGAAGAGACATCCAAAAGCTTCGTTCGGGCGAAACGCCGGTTCTCAGGTATGGGCTGCGGTGGTTGTTCCAGGCCACAGGCTTCGCAGGCGAGGTAGTCGAGTGGGTTGTGCAGTGTGCATTGCGGACAGGCCCATGTATCTGGCGGCAAGCTTATACTCGTTGCCGCACCAGTAGGACCATCGATATGAGTAATGAACTCCGCTAGAATCTCCGGAAGTGTCAAGGCAGCGGCCAACTCGAAAGGCGAAGATATGTCGACCATTGTTGCCTTATCGCCTTTCCATTCACCTGGGTGTTTGTTGGCATTTTTCTTTAGAGGATCAGCTCCTAATTTCAAAAGCACCTTGACTGCTGGAAGGCTGTTCATGAGGACCGCTCTTCCAAGTGGCGTTGTTTTGGTTCCAAAAATATGCTCCCAATCAGCTCTGATACCACGAACGTCCGCGCGCATGCCGCCAGAACGTAATTCGATGTCAGCTCCTGCTTTGATCAGAGCTGATGCAATGACCTCCATCTCGTTGGGCAAGAAGCTACAAAGCCAATGCAGCGGTCCTTCTTGCCCATGATGATAGCCGTTTGCATCAGCCCCTTTGTCGAGCAATAGTAGTGCACAATCAAGTTTACCGCCAGAGCAAGCGCATACCAGAGGAGTCTCGTCCACATGCTGGTTTGGCAAATCGATGTCGCAGTCGTACTTTGCAACCATATGACGCAGGGCATTCAGATCCCCGCTTGCGGCGGCGTAGTGCAGTGGACCATGTCCCCGTATGTTGACATACACTCGGTCAAATGCAGTTTTTCCTCTGCGCTGATACTCTTGTGTTGACGACCCTGGGAGCTGAGAATTGAGTACTCTTAAGCAAGAGTCGTACGTGTCGCCGAGAATAGTTGCGATAGTCTCATCGAGTTGACTGATATCCCTCAAGTTGACTCTGTTCCATGGTGGTGTCATGTGCGGCGAGAAGAAGTAGCCCATTCCAACGGCACCCATTTGTGAAAGCAGGATGTTACGGAACTGCTGGAACTTATTCGACCATTGCTGTTGGGTCGTTCCAGTACTAGTATTGATCAGCTCGAGTACGTCCTGGAGACAGCTCCAGTGACCCCGCATTACGGAGATCCTCAGCAGTGACTCAAGTCTCCCCTGAGTGAGGTTGACGTTGACCTCAAGCGCGCGTGAGATCCGCCATATCCAAGCCTGCGCCAAGTAATCTGCATCATCATGACTATCGTCATGCGAAGAGGCTTTCGATAACCACTGTATAGTTTCGTCGGCGTTGAATTTAGTGCCGAATTCGAGGAGATAACATTGGAACACGTGGAACGCAGCGACTGTCTTGTTCATCTCGATAAGATCCCCAGGTGCGTTTGCACTATCATTAGCAGTGGCTTTTAATTCATCCAACATTTGCCGTTGTTGATCCCAGGTTAAGATCTTCTTCAATCGCTCTGGCTCAAACAGTACCTCTTCGCGATTGGGCTCGTTCAGACGAGGTCGGAAGCCAGGACTGTAAGCGGTCAGTGAATTGCACAGATCTTGTAGAGTAGTAGGCCTCTACATATTATCTTGCAAATCTACATCATTGCCATATCGTCCAAGAAATAACGCAGCACCGTCTCTGGTGATGCCGTGTTCTCCCTAGATACCTGTAAGCGACAATTCGCAATTGGAAGCTGACTTACGGGCGGTCCCCCGGTCTCACTGGCTGCTCGTTCTTCGTTCTTCTTCTTGATGAAACGCAAATATTTTGGTATATGACCAAGGCTGTATCCTATCAGTACTAGATCTCATGTTATCACGCTCATCGTACTCTAAGCCTCGTAACGCTGCTTGAGCCATTACAAGATCTCGATCCTTTGGTTCCAGTCGCACGGTGTGGAGGATGGTATACGTGATGGTATCTACGCAGCGTTCCGACATTCCCCTCATGCTAGCATGTTCACGAATGCTAGCAACAGCAGTAGCGGTGAAGCTTTGCGATGCTTTGCGTGCGCTCAGGCTGCGCTTGTCTTCATCAGATGCATCCTGTGCTGCGCCAGGAAGCGACACAAACCCTTGACCGTCCTCAAATGCTCTCCAAACCAATAAACCAAAAGCGTACACATCTGTGAGTACCATCCCATCTTTGGAGAGTCGCTGATTACTCGTTACCTCAGGCGCTTGAAAAGGCCATGTCCAGGTCTCCATTTTGCGAAATTCGTTAGGCGTCATATTCATTACGGCACCACCGAAGTCCGCGAGTTTCGCAGTGTATGATATACCGTCCAGTGGCTCCTTAGCAGGTACGATAAGTACATTTTCGTGCTTCATGTCTCCATGCACAATCCCGCAAGCGTGGAGTGCGGATAGTCCTCGCCCAATATCGTAGCACAGCTTTTGCTTTGCTGCAAATGACAATGGCTCAGAAGAGGCTTGTAAAGTCGCGAAAGTACCAAGCGATGCATACTCCATTATCAGCACTGGGTAAGTAGATTCCGAAATTGGCGATAGGCCCCATTGAATGCCTAGCAGTCGGATAATGTTTGGATGATAACGAATCGGCTCGTGAAGGAGAGCTCGGATCTCGAACAAGATCTCTTTCCAGTCGTTCTGTGTGAGGCCGCTGGAGCTGGTAGAAGAGCTTTGAGATGTGATCAGCACATTGTATCGAGTTTTGGAGAACGGTACATACTTCAGGCTCTGGTTTGTCGCTCGGGCGTCCGGAATGATCTCCTTCACAGCGACATCGAGAGGTGGCTCATTCACATCACGAATCCATTGAGCATGCTTGACCATGAATGTCTTTCCTTGACCTAGGATCTTGCCTGTGTTTCCGACGACTGAGGAATCATCGAGGACGATAGGTGAGAACGAGCGCAGCTTGCGTTCTAGACTGGTGACATGGCAGACAAATGAAGCGAAGGAACCCCGCGGAGTTGTTGCAGGCAGTGTCTTTGATTCTGTCGGCTCCACAGGTGGCGGAACAGGATCGCTGACTGAACCATAGCTGGATTCCGCGAATGACTTGATCCAGTCGAACTCTTCCATTGCAAGTTCAATCGAAGTTTAGCGCAGGGGTCGATCGATGTGGGTGAGCTCGTAGCAGCTCGCATAGCTTCTCACAGAAAACCATACCGTTATATTTAAGATATTTAGGAGGATAGCTCGTGTCAACTTCAGCTGCCAAGAGATGTTATACGAAGATTAAACGCACGTCCGACGAGAAGAGTATTGTTATATTGAGGCTGTTGGTGCCTGAGGTTGTTGTCGGGACGGCCATTGGGTTTACCAGATGCACGTTTCAGCTGCCAAGAGTTGAGTGAGGGGTCCATAGCAACCGAGCTCGTATACATGGATAATCCTCTGAACAACACACCTCATCATGCTAGCTCGAAGAAGCATCAACCTCGTGCGTGTCATAGTCGGGTTGGTGTCGCAGCCGGTGATGAGAATGCGACCGTTTTCTTCACACTTAACCTGTTCTCTTCACCCCAGCGCCCGATGATAGCGCAGCACCAACACAGATGCGCGGAAACATCAAGAATACTTCCATCCTTCCATCCCTCTATCAAAATAAAGCGCTCCTCTGATTGATGACGCTCGCTCTTATCAGGGTGTACCCTCAAGGTTACAAACTCATCTAAGTTGAAGAGTTATCGAGAAAGTAACAGTGTGCACCTCTAGAAGAGGTTTCAAGGCTTGAGATACAAATCCGAATAAGCGAACACCCTCGTCTTGTATCGTCCTTTTAGCTTGTTCATCTACCAATCATGTCCGGATTCGAAGTAGCCGGAGTTGCGATCGGTATTGCACCAATCGTGTTCAAGGCGGTGGCAGAGAGCATGAGAATACTAGAAGACACGATTCGCTTCGATGATGATGCCGAAGACCTGGTAATCCGGATTGAAACAGCCAAGGCGCATCTGAGCATCTGGGCTACACGTGTTGGACTCGTCGAAGGCGAGCTTGTGCCAGCTTTGCATCCGTTGAGCGATCTCATCGTGAGAACGCTAAAGCGCATCGACTTACTCATGACCAATCTCGAACAGCAGGGGGACACATACGGCTTGGAACTCAGAGACGCTACTGACCCGGAATCCAAAAAGACGAGCGCGATGGCTATGCAGATGAGGCGGAGCTTGCACCGCGTGTTGAGAAAGTCAGATCCAAAAACAAACCTAGAGACTTTGATCCAAGCCGAGCAGTTGAAAGAATCTGCAACCAGTAAGAAACAAATCGGAGTTACAAGTCGTCTGTTTTGGGCTGTCCGAAATAAAGAGAAGTTTGAGGAATTCGTCAACACCCTTGAAACACATGTCAGTGGACTGCACAAGCTGGTGTTCGAGGAGCAGCGGAAAGAGGTCCAACGCGAAGAAACTCGTTTCAATCTTCATATGGTCCAAGAGATCTCTGATATAAAGAGGCTGACACTGCTCCAAAACTCCTCGTCGAATGGGAGAAGCTTTCCAGAGGTGGACGTTGCGCATCTCGCACAATGCAAGGCAATAACGCTGCAAGGAGTACTATCCTTGCCAAGAAAGCCCAAAACTGATGATTGGCGTCTTGTTGACACCAGTCTTGCAGACCTGGCCAAGATTCGTTTCCTTAAACCTGGACATGACGATCCTGAGGTTGCATACCTGTACGAGAAGAAAGAATACGATCCAAACATCTCGGAAGAAGACAAAGATGTCCTACAAGAGCGCATCCGCAAACTGGTCTCCCTTCTGGGCAAACCTGGCAGCCAACGCCATCTCCAAACTTTGCAAGCAGTTGGATACACGGATGATCCAGATCGTCACTGCTGGTGGATCATCTTTCGGTTTCCGCTAAGTCCACTGGATACATTGGGACCCGCCGCAAGCGAGCCACTTTCTTTGCGCAAGCTCTTCGATTCTCCGTTCAAACCCGCGCTTGAGACACGATATAGGCTCGCCAGACGTATAGCGTATACTTTTGCTAAGCTTTATGGCAGTGACTGGATGCACAAAGGCATCAACAGTAATAATATCGTCTTTCCGCAAGTCTACTCCACCAAGACTGTAGCTGGATTTCGGCAAATTGAAACCGCCTTGGTCCAGGGCTTCGGTTACTCCCGTCAGCATACTGAGGCTCAAACCATTGACCGTGGAAAGGTTCTACATGACCTAGAAGCAGCCATATATCGACATCCGCTATATCAAGGCGAGGCAGCCTCTGGGTATCAGATCCACTACGACATTTACTCTTTGGGCTTGGTGCTCTTCGAAATTGCCCTGTGGTCACCCCTCATGGCGTTGCTGGCCGCAAGGTATAAGCCTGAGAAACCACCACCGGTTGCTTTGTCGCCAGACATGAAGCAGTTCTATGAGTTCGAGGCAAAGGAGCTTCACAGAAGGGTCAATCTACGCATTGACGCCGAGGTTGCGTATCGAATGGGTACGAAGTACAAGAACGCAGTTCATTGGTGCTTGAACCTGAAAGGGCCAGTCACCGCAATCGACTTCTACAACACAGTCGCTATTCCGCTAGAGGATCTTTGCAGCTTGACTTAGTTGGTAATCGTCGTAACAGCCAGACCATAAGCGACACGCTCCACTTGGTGGTGGTAGTGGGGCACTTGGCTACGAAGCAGTTCTGGGGTGTCTAGAATTGTCGGCCTTCGCCCAGGTGCAGCTAATGTCCCAGTTTCGCAAGGCGGGGATTCCGAGGTCTAGAACTTGACGTGAACAGGAAGGCCGCGGAGAGGCAATTTGTGGAGAATGTTGGGCTTCGAAGGATTCTTTAGCCTCGGAATACAAGGCTCCCGCATGGACAACCGGCGGCGCTAGTACTATCTCAATGTCGATACACCCAATCGGCTGAAGATCAACATGCAAGATCGCATTTCGTTTTCCACTCTCGTCGAGCTACTTTGTTTGACACATGATGAATGGAGCTCTAGGGACATGTCGTCCTCTAAGGCTGAACAAAGCTATGCCACCACAGGTAAGAAACCTTCAGCCTTACCAGTTTGAGCGCTTCCAAGCTTGATCCTGGAAAGATGATCTGGAATCGTCTAAACGCCTTATATCTATGTCATCCAGATCCGGCGAGACCAAAGTGTGCTTCTGAAAAGAAGATTCGCGTGGCGGGCTGAACAACACTACTGTGGGCAAGGAGCAGACCCTTGTGGCTTGGGATACTAACTTCACAAGAGAGAATAGAAGAGAAGTAGGTGTGCTCAGGCGAAGTTGGTGGCGCTGAAGTTCAGCTTTACTTTCCACCACATTGTTTTGACAGTACCGGTGTCACCGACTCCAATCATCCGAGTAGACTGAAAGTTCTAGAATGACACGAACAATGAACAGCAAGTAGTCCGACCTTACAAGATGTTTATAAAACTCTGCTTCACTTCATTTCGTTGCTCCACTCACATCTAATCCAGCGGAGTATCCTACAGTATTTCAGCAGCCTCCATTGTCTCTCACATCCCGCCATGCACTTCAGCAAGATAGCCGGGCTGGCTCTGAGTCTTACAGTCCCAGCTGCTGGCATCTCCGTTCCTCGAAGTCCAGTTCCTGAGCCCGCATCTCCAATAGTCTCGAAGTTGTTCTGTGACGTTGTGCGTGGCCTCGTTACTGTCGCAAAGCAGCAAACTCAGGCCACACCCTTCTGCTCTTCTTACCTCAAGATCCCTGCAGTAACAAAGACTTCCACAAGAACTTCCTACTATAAAGAGTATACCCGTATCTATGTCCTATGTTGTGTTGTTGTTGCTGATAGGAAGCAGAACCATCACACAGACTAACACAATCACGTCTGGATCTATCACGACCACTGACGCTACTGTTACGGCTACTGCAGAGGCGACTCGAACTAAGACCGCTTCCGCGACCGTTACGGAATTTACCACGATAACAATCACCAGTACCACGGTCGTTCCTAGTACCACACTCTCCCCTAGGTGTTTGACTTTGCGGGATGAGCAAAAGCGAGCGGCTGCCGTTCCAACAAAAAAGCCTACATGCCTCGCGAATTATATCGAAGGTCAGGCTCTTAGCTCGGCTTGCAAGTGTCTGTCCGTACCTACCTCCAGCACAACTTGGACGGCAATCGTAAACATTCCCGCAACTACAAAAACTTCAGTCACAGTAAGCCTTTGAAAGCTTTGTCAATTTGGATGCTTAGTCACTAATCTATGCTCTTTCGATTAGGTACCCAGAACAGTTGTCGCTACTGCGACCATAACGCAGACCAACACTGCTACAGCCACTGTCACGAACACCGCGACAGTGACTTACGCGACAGTGACTTCCACAATCGTCACGCAGACAACTGTGGAGATAACTCAAACTGTCCGTCTCCTATGTTAGCTTACATTGGTGCGCGATGCAGTACTTTAGTGCAACCAATCCTATCTTATAGCCCTACAATAACACAGAAACGATGAGCCATTTTCAAGTTCGGTAATACATCCATCATACCTACGCACAGATACCTTCGAAAGAGAGTGACTGCCCGACTCTAGAAACAGCAGTCCACATCGTGACCGTTTCTATCATCGCCTACAATGCAGCTAGAACAGTTTTGAACAAGATTTTGCTGGCCTTCGATTGTACCAGATAGTGTGTTGAACACTCAATCTTAGCTACAACCCTATACTATACAGTACAACACGAGTGATAAGATCAGCTTCATTCGACTTTCGTAGCAAAATCAGAGTCCCTACCTCCACCGCGCGCTACTCCCCGGCCCTCCACTACTCCTGAACAATGAAACTCCAACACCCACTGCCACAGCACCAAGGAACACCCACTGCGGAATAACAATATCAGTTTCTCTCCTCTTACTGTACCTCCTAGCCTTCTCCGCATACATCTTCTTCCTCAGCGCCCTCTCTTCTTCGTCCACCTCCACCGCCCCATCTGTGATCTTCACATTCTCCACTTGTTGCACGTCGCCTTTCCTCCTCTTCACTTCCCTAAGATAGTCCCGTATAACAGGATCCAATTCTCCACTCAGATCCACAAACGGCATATCCTTGACTTCAACACCCTGATCAAGCGGAGTAGCAACGTTCAAGCCCCCTACCACCCCCTCCTTTGCCGTCTTTCTCCCTTTATCAACGAGCTCGTCATCTGGCAGCCATTCCTGCAGTGTATCAGAGGGCAACGACCTAAAAACAAGACACATCCACATCTCCAGCACATTCATCACCAAATCGGACCTCTCCATGCCCACCACCAAAGACGAAGAAGAAGAAAAAGAAGAAGAAGGAGCAGGAGGAAAAACAGCACACACCCCAAATACATTATACACACTCCACTCAAGCGCATAGTAATGCAAGCTAAAATGATCTCTACGATATCTAAAGTTCAAGTGCTGAGCCACTCTCTGCCTCAGATTGCCACTCTGTCCCACGTACATGCGCAGACGCTTGTCAACGCCAAGGATGCCGTTGAAGTAAATAGCACCTCGAGTCTCAAGCCGCAAGTCGCCGCCAACATGTTTCAGGGCATCGAGAGATAGTCGGGACGAAAGCAAAGTCCAGAGTTGGGGCCGGATCATGGAGTAGAGAGAGGTGGTCAGGGTGGGGATGCTATGCTGATTGATCCATGCGGAGTACTCGTCGTAACGTGGGTTCGTGGCGGTATCGTCATCTTTTGGCTGGGAGAGCCGCGTTAGGAGATGTGTGAGTATGGTCCGCGCTTCGAGTTGGGGTGGGGTTAAAGTTGTCTGGCTTGTCTGGTTCGATCTTGCTGGATTGGTCGACATTGCTGGAGCTGGTGGGATTTGATGGGGTGATGGTAGTGTTGTGGACCTGGACGACGCCATTTCGTTGCAAACTTCTACAGCCGCCATAGTCTCTTACTCCTTTTCGTATGATGTTTCCGGGCGGTCGTGGAGGAATATGTATATTTGGGAACCTAGGTAGATGGGCGGCTGTAGAAGGCTAGCGTCTAGGCAGCACATGCAAGATGTGTCCGCCTCTTTCTCAAAGACACAGATGCAACGCCGATATCACACTGCAACTAGACTACCGACTGTTCAAGGACATCGAAACGGGTATTAGTCTCTGATGTGGATGTTAGCTGTAAAGTATCAGAATCTAGGAGCAAGGGCCAGATGTTGTTGGGTTCGATGAGGCTGAAGTTTAGCGCCCGTCTCACCTACCATATCGGGCAACTTTTGAAAACTGTCGAACACGGCACCTCGCACTTGACCTGGCGCCTTATTCAACTCGGCCACTTGGCGATCGTACGCAGGTACACCATTGGATAGCCAAGCATGTATCGACGACATGAGCTACAAGACCAAACAGCGTCAACACAATGGAGATGACAATATGCAAAGATCAGCTCGTCAGTGATTGCTATTGGAGAAATTGATTCAAGACTACCGTCTCACACTACTCGCTCACATCAAAACTGTGCGCTCGTACCGCGCTCTATCAGAGACCATCCCACCTCCCATCATACCACAACCTCCCCTCGAACCCATTCCGATAACAAGTGCCCGTTTCAGTAATCTCGCGGCCCTGATTATCGCCAAACCACTCATCATGCGTCCACCACTGAGGTCTCAGCCTTCTCCCGTACCGTACAGGAAAACATCTGATGGGCCCAGCCTGCGCCGTGATAGGACAACGGATGTTCTACTCTTCAATCGTCTTGACGCATTCCCAACCCCCGCTCAACCTTTCCTTCCACAAACTAACCCGGTTGTCGCCCGTGCTAATCGCAAGCGCATTGCCGCTGAGACTCCAGCTCACGCGCCACGCCGCAGCGTCGACATCGATCTGCGTGCGCTTCCACTCGCGCAGGTCCGAGGAAGTCCAGATGGAGACGGTTTTGTCTTGAGACGCGGAAGCGATGTAGGATTTGGAGAGGACGGTGGGGGACCATGCTACGTCGCGGACCCAGTCGCCGTGGATACCACTGGTTCATGTTAGTAGTCTAGTACATGTTGTCAAGTCACTCAAAGGACATACAGTAGCGTTGCGTTCCAGCTACCGCTCTCAGGACTGAATTCCCAAACCTTGACCTGGCAGTCGCTACCTCCAGTAACAAGTCGTTTCGCAGCTCCAGCCTGGTTCCCACTCGCGCTCATAACCTGTCCCGGCGCAAAGGCAGGTGCCCAGCTCACGCTGTTCACGCCTGTGCCGTGCGCGGGAAAGATCTGGTGTGTCCAATTGTTGTCCTTGAATTCGAGTACGGAAACATTGCTGTCGGTCGATGCGCACGCGAGAAGACAGCCTGCCTCGTGCGGGGCCCATGCGACCAGGTTGACCGAGGCGGTGTGGAGGGCGACTTCGTAGATCTTTTGCCAGCTGCCGGATTGTTCGCGCCAGATGAGGACTTTGCCGTCATACGAGGACGAGGCGAGAATGTTGCCGTATTTGGGGTGGGCCCATGCTACGCTCCAGACGGCGCCCTCGTGGCTGTGGCAGTCAGCGGACAGATCGTGGAACGCGGTGGTGAGTGACGTACCCTCTCAGTGTCTCGACTAATGTGTGCTTCTCACCCTCCACCTCGAAGATCTTGATGGTCTTGTCTGAGGAACATGTCGCGAGCCGCCTGCCGTAGTAGTCCAGAACGGCATCATGCTGTACCTCGTTAATATACATTGGAGACGGATTCCGGCTTGCCATTGCGCGAGTGGGTGGCCTGGAAAGTACAGAGGCGGGGTGAAGATAGAAGCGGGTGAAGATAGAGGCGAGGGTCTGTGGTGCGTTTATGCAGAACGTACAATCATGTCATCGTGGCCCGAATTCGCTATAACGTTGGCCTGGAGCGGAAGTCGCAAGTTAGCGGGAGCAGCTTGGGCGCGTTGGTGGGGATGTGCTTGCCATTTTCGTTGTGGTGTTGCTCTGGCGGGAGGCAGTGAGGGAATGCAGAGGTAGAGCCGTTGTTTGTAGGCGACCAAAAAAGTGTGTAGGCAAAAGTATGAGCAGGCGCGTCCAGACGTGTCCACAGCTTGAAAGTGCCCCAGAGTTGGTTGATGCTGCTGTGGCCTCAATGCAGGGGTCTAGATGAGATAAGATTAGATCAAATACCTCGACGCGCTAGCACCACCCAACGCCATCACATGCAACACTACCTCGCTTGGGGTCCGACTCTCTACACTTCATCATGGCGTATTCGTCCCCAGTTCACTCTCAAAACTTCTACCAACCCGACGCATCGACGCCTCCACCCCCGCCCCCAAAGCCAGGACGTTCAAATGGGAATGCGACTCCATCACAGGGACCTCCATTGCCCCCACCCCCACCGGGTCAGTCATCGTATCCGGGGGATCAGCAGCAAAGCCCTCGTGTACAACAGCAATATTCTCAGATAGACTCCGAGCAACCCACAGTCCAACCGCCCGAAGATGGGTGGCTACCTGACGTGCTCAAGGACAAACCGTATGCCAAGTCTGCGTCATTGATACATGCACCACTAAGGTACTAGTAGGACCAAGGACTTGCACCATGTGCTTCAGACATCGGAACTGCAGCGTGCTATAGTTCACAATCCCGATACAACACATCCATCGCTGCCAGCATCAATCGCGCCTCTACAGGCGCTTCTTGCACAGAACGTGGGACTTGCAGAATCACTCAAGCAGCTTGAAGCACATGTCCAGCATCAGCGCGATGGCACACAGTCGCGCCTACTGGCACTCCGTGCTTTGGAACGTCAGTGGAGAGCAAAGCAGACTGAACAGGACGAAGCACTCCGAGAGTTCAGTCCGCCGGCCCTGTATCAGCGACTGAGTGCTTCAGTAGGCGAGCAAGAGGCTCTCTGCCGGGGACTGGAAGAGAGCTTTCTCGAAGGCGAAGGCTTTGGCGGTGGAGACGCCGTTGCCAGCGATCGAGAAGTAACGGACTTTGTGAGGCGCTTGAGAGAAGGCCGGAAGATTGCGTACCTTCGAGCAGAGCGCAAGGAGCGATGGGACGAAGGTCGGGTTGGCGGTTGGCGGTGATCCACCTTGAACTTATTATAACTACTAATATCAGACCACGCATCAACCGTCGCATCGTCAAGTCGGTGCTGGAATTACCAAATTGAAATTGCCATTGCCATGGCATGATAGTTATGCGGCGGCGGAAGTCGGAAGCATGCCTGAGAGTCAAGGCCACAGGCACATGCTAGTCAGGGCGCGAGATATGCGCCCGCGGCTATGAATCTAAGATTGCATCCCAGGGGCCTCGTCATCTCCGCAGGAACATACCTCACTGTTAGCTAAGATAGGCCGAGAGGCTGGACTTGTCTCCACGACTCATTGCGATGAGCACTGTCCGTCGTTCGCGGCTGAGCCACATCCCAAGACAGATGCCCCTAGCGTGATGACTTCCGCATTTGGCTGATTCCGTACGCGTCGGAAGATTGCGCGATGCCAAAATGAAGGTGAATGCAAGCCACCCGTTGCGGGTGTCACATGGCAGGGTTGCGTTTGCTATGCACTGGGACCGACTCCTGTGAGCGGTGATGGCGCTTCGTGGAGTGTTTCATGTCCTCAGGCGCCTCGGCACGTCGCCTTCTCACTGTGTGTGTCAGCGTCAGCGTCAACGTCAATCGGAGCGCGCGACTCTGGAATCACCATCCACTTTGAGGGCGAACATGCTCCCGAATCACATACAGCATCGCAACCTCGACGACATCGTCCAAGAACCGCCCCCTTAGTCCGCCGCGCTTATTGGCCGGCTAAAAAGTGTACCTGCAGCGCCGGACGCAGCCCCCCTGGCGCGGCTCGCTCCACTCGAGCAGCGCGAACCGCCCATCGCGGCCAGGTGCTGACGGATGAGCGCGTGGATTTGACCAATTCCAGGGCCGCGATCTGCTCTTCAACCCCAAAGCGCCCCTTCGCCGGCACATGTACCTGGGCTCGCTAGGCGGGTCCCCTTTTTCGAACAACCGACTTTGGCTGACTCTGCACCTCTCTTTGCGCTCATCATTTGTGCATGTCATGTCTATCGCGGGGGAATAATACGATAATATGCAAGCAGTCCAAGCGTCCCCCGAGGGCGCGCATCCTCCCAACAACGCCTCGCCGCCTCGCCAAAAAGGCTCGTCCCTGGCCTCGATTGCCATATCGTCTTTTGCTGCTTTTCGCTCCCAGTCGTCCCAAGCTGTGCCTGTCGCCGTCCAGTCCCCGGTCCGCAGGAAGCCCCTACCTGCAAACTCTCCCGTAGTTGGTCGCTTTGCTGCCGATCGACAATCTAAAGAACCGTCAATCGCTACAGTCTACCCTGATAAGCACTCTGGTCCCCCTACTCAAGGAGGACGCGCCCCCGACAATATCCTTTCGCCGCCGTTGAGTGACGAGGACCTCTTCCTGCCCCGGAACCTCGACGAGTGAGTGTTTACTTCTTCCTCGCCACGCGCGCCTTCCTTTCCTTGACCCTCACTAACACAACACAGCAACCCCCATGGAAGGACGCCTCTGACGGCAGCCGCGCCCCGCCGATTCTCCCAGTCGTCTCGTGCAAGCTCTCTCTCGGTCGCAAAGCGAGGCTCCAACAAGGCTCTCCCCTCCGTCCCGTCTGCCGCGCGGCATGATCGATCGGTCAGCGGCATCACCCCCCAACGACAGAGTAGGACCGAGGCACTGAAGGCCTTCGGTATCCGGGGAGCACACGCTCGATCTCCTACTATGCCGAATATGCCCTTGTACAACAACAACAATAATAACACCAACAACTCGCAACCGCCAGACCTTAAACTCGACCTCAACGGTGTTACCGAGGACTTCATGGACGACTACAACTACGGTCCCGACGAGCCTTCACTCGCGAGACAAAACACAAAGCCCAAATCGCCAAGCGGAGGTGGATTCACTTCCTTCTTTGGCTGGAACTCGCGTCCTCAGAACGGGCCCGAATCACCGGCTACCGCTTTCTCAGAACATTCGTCACCTGAATCTCCACGCTACAAACAGCCCACGTCAAAATCGAAACCAAACGGCTTGGACATACCCGCTGCCAATTCACTCGGATCCTATTTCAACGTTCCTGGAACCCCACTTCTATCGTCCTCGCCCCAGATGAATGCTCACGTAGAGGAGCTGGAGCGCGAGTTGCGCGAGGTGAGCTCTGAACTTGCCGCTTCTATCCAAAGGGAGATGGAATTAGAAGACGAGGTTGAACGCTGGAAGGCTGCGAGCGAGAGTGTCATGCCCGACAACCGAAGGACTAGTGACTATTACTCAGACTCTGGCACGAGCTCGATACGCTTTCCTATCAGTGATCCTGAGGCCAAGCTTGAAGAAGTGGAGATGCAACGGAGAAAGGCAGAGCAGGAGCGAGCATCACTAAAGGTGCGCATGGCGGAGCGGTTACAAGAGGAGCTGCGACGCCGAAGAGATTTGGAAGAGCAAGTACAGCAGCTCGAGGATCAGGTCACCGACAAGTCGAGAGCAGGCTCAATGGTGGAAACGCCCAAGGTCAAAGAGCTTTCCATGTCACTCGAGGATGCGAAGAGGCGCCTGGCCGAGGAAAGGCAGGTCAAAGAAAATTTCGAGGATCTCCTCACGGCGCTTCGCGATGAGCTAGAGAAACATCGCAACGAGGCTGACAATTTGCGGGACGAAGTGGTACCGCAGCTCAGGGCGCGCCTCGAAGTGCTCGAAGGCGATGCAGCCGATACAGAAAAGCTTGTGTATGAGACTACGCGCATGCAACAAGAGATCCAACAATTACGAACTGAGAACGAGTCTCTGGTCAAGCAACGACTGCAGCAGCAACAGGCGCCACAACCCGCGCAATTCCAGTCCATTGCCGAAGAAGGAGACATTGGCCCTTTGCCAAACCTGCGCGTCGGTCTGACACGTTCGAATTCACTCGCACGCAGCTCCGCTGGCCTGAACTCGAAGAGGGGCTCGTTGTCACGGTCCAACTCGGTCAAGGACAGGTCAGGCGACATATCGCCGGTTGGTGCACCAACAGTTACCAACCCAATGAAAGAACTAGAAGAGCAGCGAGACGCGCTCCACAAGGCACTCAAACTCCTGTTGAATCGCCAAGAATTACAACAAAAAGAATTCCAGCGCCGCATCAAAGAAGTAGAAGCAGAAAGAGACGCCGCCCTGAACCTCACCCCTCGCCGGACCGCATTCCACAAGGAAGTCACCGGTCTCCGCCAAGAAGTTAACAATCTACGTCGCCGCGCCGACGAAGCCCTCGAGCAAAAATGGCAGTGCGAAAAGGGTCTTGGGGGTCTACGAATGGACCTGGACCGCGCACAGCAAGAGACTGGTTCTCTCCGCGAGTTACTCCGCGAACACGACATTTCAATCCCGGAGATAAGGATAGAAAACGAACCTCTGGCCTTGGATAAGGCGTACAACGAGCTACGAACTACGCATGCTCTTTCGCTCGCTCGCGTCAAGCAGCTCGAATCAAGCGATGCAGACTCACTAGGTGCTGCCGGTGCCGAAGCAGAACGCACGCTGGATCTACTCAAGCAGAGTATCTCTGACGCAGAAGCCGAACGCGACTACGCACAGAACGAAGCAGAGCAATACCGCAAACAAGCTCGTGCGCTCCAACAGTCCGAGATTGAGCACTTGGGCAAGGAGCAAGAGCTTAGCAAAGAGCTGTTCGCGGCAGCTACCCGCATGGATGAGCTGTCTGAGAAGATCCAGCAGCAGCTTACTGCTAACAGTGCGTTGAGGAGTCGTCTCACCGATGCTATCATGCGCGGTGAGCAGGACCAGCGCAGGTCCACCGAGCAAATTATCCAGCTAGAGAAGCGTCTCAAGGCCGCCGAAGACAAAGTCATGCTCGCTCAACAGTCATCCGAAGAAGCCGTCGCTCGTCACGAGGACGAGGTCCAGGCTATCAAAGAAAGCCACACAAACCATCTTCGCCGTGTGAAATCCGGTCTCCTTTCCCCGTCAGCGTTCTCGCCTAGGCTGCCGAGTAGTCCGGTCTTCTCGCAGAGATCCCCGAGGTTGGATGTTACTTCCAGTGGACCCGCTATGAGTCTTGCTGAAGCCACAAAGACGGAGAGTCTGGAGAAGAGAGTTGAGGAGCTGGAGAAGGCGCTTAGGGATGCTGATCATGAGATGGAGGAGGTCGTTGGTAGGATGAACTTGGCGCAGATGGAGGTTGCGGATTTGCAGTTCGAGAGGTATGTCTATGCTAACATGGATACTATTGATGAGGGGTGGGCACTAACGATTCAATAGGGACGAGGCTATGCGTCAGACACGCAAACTACAAGCTGAGATTGTGGCTGAGCGCGAAAAGGTCAAGGCGTTGATGGCCACAAGCGCATGAACGACGTGATGTTGCCAACACGTACAAGTTCAGGTCGTTGCCCGACGCAAAAAGGTCAAGGCAAAAATGACTATAAGCGCGTCAAAAAATCTGGCCTCGACTGCATAACGACTATGCCGACATCTTATACACGATCATCTTCTCTTTGGCTCTTCGACTCTTCGACCAGCTTATCTTCGGTACCAACGTATCGTATTTCGGGACGTTTTCTTACATCTTCGGCGTTTTACGGTCCCCTGGTTCCCGCTACCGCATTTACCCACGATGGGCTTCACGATCACACGCATACTACTTCTCTTCACCCCTTTACATATTCATATATTGTCTTAGTATAACTTTTCTCTTGGCCTGATCTATGGGAACAGGATGTTTGTTTCTCGGCAGACTTTGTCGTCGATTTGTTTTATACCCGTCCGTGGTATCATAAGTGTTGTTGTCGTTGAAGGGGCTTGGTCTTGCATATACTTTGCGGGCCTTGTTTGGCTTTGGGCCTAGCATTGGATGGGTGGATGGTAGGATGGGGATAGCCACTCACCTTGGCGGATGCAAAGTACCTTATTGTGGTTGTGTACTATATTGGTTCAATGGATGATGGTTGACGTTGTTATATCTTTGTCATAGTTGTGACTGTGTATGTGCACTAACTGTGTGAAGTTCTGGATGCATCTGGTGTCCAAGAACCCGGAATTAGGCAGCTAGAGGCAAGTGTTGCACCCTACATTGCAAGCTACATTTGCCTGCAAGAAAATGACGATTATGCGTACAGGAGAGACTGTATATAGGGCGGAAGATTTAGTTAAGATGCGTACGTATACTACGTCCGGCTTTCGGGATGGTACTGGGGATATACTTTGCCCGCTCGTCCGTAGAACGGCCATCTAGACCTATAAAGTCAGATTCAACATCTCTAGAAGAGCACTAATAACGGAGAGCTTGTCCCTCCGACTGTCCGAAGTTGTGAAGTTCACCGGCATTTATTAGGTTTTGCTACAGTATCTTCTAGTGTACGAAGTTCAGCCCGACAAGTTAGGTAGAACTACGCTAGTCGTTGTTTTTTTGGTGTCTGGCCTTCCAATTCCCGGGATCCGGTTCTATACCGTCGTATGCCGTATTGCTCGCGTTTACTGCATGGGGAACATGGCTTTTAGCATGGATGACAGAAAGACAAAGAAAACCTATTTAAGGGTTATGATGACCTCCGACTTGAACATTGCAACAACAGAACAACATTTTACCAAGGACTGATTTTTCCTTTTCTCAAATCTCCGACTCCCACTCGGCCGCTTTCAAGATCTGTTCGTTTGCAATAATAATGCTAGGACCCAACGCCCAATCCGAGAGTGTTGCGACACCTTTCAACGATGACTGGTCTTTCCGCTGCATTTCTCCTTCCCCGTCTCAAACCCAAGAATGGTGCCCTATAAGCCTTCCCCATGACGCCATGTTATCAGCAGGCTGCTCCGCAAATGCACCATCTTCTACCCACGGCGCCTTTTTCCTCGGCGGCTCGTACATGTACCGCAAAACCTGGCACGTGCCCGAGTCTCTGCGTGGGAAGAAGACATCCTTACTCTTCGACGGCGTGTACCGGCACAGCCGTGTGCTGGTTAATGGGACAGAGGTGGGTGGGTGTGTGAGCGGATGGACCGCTTTCGAGGTCGATATCAGCATGGCAGTGAAATACGGGGGGGATGAATCTAGTTGAATTGGAAGTTGAAAATGAGGGACAGCCGGGTGCGAGGTGGTATACTGGATCTGGCGTTCACCGGGGACCGAAGAACGGGTTGCTGATCAACGGCGAGACAGTCAAGTTGCGGGGTGCTTGTGTCCACGCCGACAATGGTATACTTGGAGCCTGCAGCTTCAAAGCCGCAGAGATACGTCGAATGAAGTTGCTCAAGGCGTCTGGCTTCAATGCCGTGCGCATGAGCCATCATCCGGCGAGTGAAGCCCTGCTCGAGGCGTGCGATGAAGTGGGCATATATGTCATGAACGAGTACGGAGATTACTGGTTCGAGGCAAAGACAGACCACGACGAGGCAAGATATTTCCAGGAGCAATGAAAAAAAGACGTCGAAGCCATGGTAGCCGGATCGCGGAATCATGTCTGTGTCATCATGTATTCTCTGAGCAACGAAGTCACAGAGCCGAAATCCGCTTACGGACATGCCATGGCAAAGACGTTGCTGGACTACACGAGGACGTTGGATCCCACACGCCCCAACACAATCGCCATAAACCTCCTCCTAGCAACGCTCTTGTACTCTAAAAAGCCACCAGGAGACCCACATGCACCGCCTCGTGCATCTGGCTCTGCAACCGGCAGACTGGGAAGTCCATTGATCAACGTCCTGATCTCGCTCTTCGTCGGCCTCATGGACTATGTGCCTCGACTCCCGTACTGCAACGTCATCACTTCATCTCTCTTCGCTTACATGGATATCACGGGTTACAACTACGGGTCCTGTCGATACACTACGGATGCTTCCTTGCATCCTGGGCGCATCATGCTAGGCACCGAGACGCTTCCACGTGATGTCGCGAGGAATTGGGCCATGGTAGAACGCATATCGGCTTTGATTGGCGATTTCATGTGGACGGGCTGGGATTATATCGGTGAAACCGGACTGGGTGGGTTTGAATACGATGGGCCGTGGTACTCGCCTGGGATGGTATATAAGAATTATCCGTATCTGGTTGGAGGATGTGGCGCGTTGGATATCACCGGTTTGCCAAATGCCTCGGCTTCCGTTGCGCAGGCGGCTTGGAAAAAGATACATGGGGGACCCATCATCGCCGTTAGACCGCTCGATGTGTCGGACCTGCGCTATCGCACGACGGTGTGGCGGTCTTCAGACGCGATAGTGGGATGGGAATGGAAAGGCCGCGATGGGCAAATGGCATACATTGAGGTCTTCAGTCGGGACGATGAGATTGAACTCCTGCTCAATGGACGCAGTCTGGGTAAGAAAAAGATCGGGCTGGACACAAACTACACAGCGCACTTTACAACTCCATACGAACCAGGACTCGTCGTCGCTGTCGGCTACCCCGCTGGTAAGGAAACTTCTCGGTCTAGCATTCAGTCTGCTGGCGCCTCTTCAATCCGCATCACCAACGAGTCTGGGAAGACGCCTCTTAAAGCCGACGGCCAGGACCTGGCGTTTCTGCGATTGGAGCTGCAGGATCAAGATGGTGTTGTGGAGATGGGTGACGACGATGAGGTGGAAGTTGTGGTCAAGGGCCCAGCAAGTCTTGCTGGGTCGGGGTCGGCAAAGCCCCAGACGACGGAGCGGTTTGATGATAACATCCATTGGACTTATCGTGGCAGAGCGTTGTGCGCTGTTAGGGCGGGTAAGGAAGGAGGGAGGGTGGAAGTCATGGTGAAGAGTAAAAGACACGGGGAGGCGAGTGTTGACATTGTACAGCGTTTAGAGGAGACATGAATAAAGAGCATTCTCACCAAGTTCATATTGCATAGTTGAAGCGCTCAACCACACCGCGTCTTCACGTGACTGGCTTGTCTTTGATCCATGCATCCTGACACGTGCCTCTTGTCGTGGATTGTCGGTGAGGCTCCTATCGATAGGGTCATGTACTCGAGTCCGGGGTTTGCAGGCACAGCAGCGGCGTGGCGGTAGACGGGACGCGTACCGTGCTGGCTCAATGCAGAGAGGCGGCACAAGCAAAGTGAATAGCCAACACGGGAGAGAGCACATGCGTCGACTTGGCCGGGTGTCTGAAACACATTGAGGTGTTGGAAGTGTTCCCCGCTGTGGTGGCCCCTGCTGCACCCTAAAGTTATCCCTGACCGAGCTACTGCGGCAGTCCCCAGCACCTCCCTCTCCTTGCCAGCGTTGCACTGAAGAAACCTCTGCAGTGCGAACACCGTCTCGACCGCCCAGACTCGCACCTCCTTCCGCTATTGAGTCAACCTCCAAGACGTGATCCACGGCCGCACACCGACTCCCCCCGACTCCCCTCCGAGTGCATCGTGTACAACGACTCGCCCACGATGAACAACAACCAGCAGGGCAACCGCCTGCAGCTCAACTTCGGCTTCGGAGGCGGCGACCGAAACAATCAGTACCAGCAGGAAGTGGGCAGAGCATTCCCCACGACGCCCTCAACATTCCCGCAACCTGTATACCCCAACCAGGCCGGCCAGCAAGAGGTCTGGGGCGCCCAGCAGGGCAATGGCTACAATGGCGGCGGCGGCTACTTCATGAACCCCTACCAGCAGGCACAGTACCAAGGGCAGCAGGGCAACCTGCAGGCGCCAGGCAGCCAGCGCTTCGACCAGAGTGCCAATGGCCTCGCCCAACAACTCTCGCACCAACACCTCTCGGGCGGCGGTCGCTCTGGAAGCCCGTACGGCCGACAAGGCTCGCCCAACCCCGGACGCCCCCGCACCGCAGACAACAGAGGAGGCTACGGCTATGGAAGCCAGGGCGGCAGCTCAGGGCCCCGCCAGGGCCCCTCGCTGTACGACGAAGAGGCGCCCCAACGAAACCCCACAAAGTACTCGGAGAACGTAGACAAGCAGGCCATGGTCTCCAAGAGTCTGATCAACACCTTCTTCAAGGACAGCGTACAGCGGGCACGCGACCGGAATCAAAGGTCAAACCACCCCACCACTCCCTGCCCGACACGACTAACTTGCTTGCAGAGCTCTCGAACTCGACGCCATCATGAAGGAGCCCTCTTTCTCCGACAGCCGGAAACGATCCAAAGAAGACAGCATGCGCCGTGCCGAAGTCGAATACTTGCGCTTCCTGCGGACAAAGGAGAAGCCCGACAACTTCTCCACGCTCAAGATTATCGGCAAGGGTGCTTTTGGAGAGGTCAAGCTGGTCCAACGGCGCAACGACGGCAAGATCTATGCGCTCAAGTCGCTTGTCAAGCAGGAGATGGTGAGCTTCCACAGTACACTACCTTCAGTATCGGGCTGACTTGTTGTAGTTCAAAAAAGACCAGCTGGCCCACGTACGGTCAGAACGTGACATTCTCGCAGAGTCTGACAGTCCTTGGGTTGTCAAGCTACACACAACCTTCCAGGACAACACGTTCCTCTACATGCTTATGGAGTTTCTGCCAGGTGGTGACTTGATGACCATGCTGATCAAGTACGAAATCTTTACCGAGGACATTACGCGCTTCTACATGGCCGAGATCACGCTTGCGATAGAAGCAGTCCACAAGCTTGGTTTCATTCACCGGTAAGAATAAAGTATCGGCGAGCTTCAGCGTACAACTCTAATCTTCTTAGTGACATCAAACCCGACAACATCCTTCTGGACCGAGGTGGCCACATCAAGCTGACAGATTTCGGTCTTTCGACCGGCTTCCACAAGGAGCACGACGCAGGCTACTACAAGAAGCTCCTCGCAGGCGGCGCCCACAAGTCGAACCGAGACAACAGACAATCCATGAATCTCGACCAGATTCAACTCACTGTCAGCAACCGTACCCAAATCAACACATGGCGTAAATCTCGTCGCCAGCTTGCCTACTCGACCGTCGGTACGCCTGATTACATTGCGCCCGAGATTTTCAGCGGCCAGGGCTATGACTACAGCTGCGATTGGTGGTCGGTGGGTACGATTATGTTTGAGTGTTTGATTGGCTGGCCGCCGTTCTGCGCTGAGGAGCCGCATGATACTTACCGCAAGATTGTTGATTGGCCGAGGAACTTGCACTTCCCTCCTGACCAGCAACTTGGTGCTGAGGCTGAGGACTTTGTTCGCCGGTATGTTTGTTCTTCTCATTTACGTCTTCTTCACAAGCCCCAGTCTTGGCGATTGGAACCCTCGAATACTGACATTTGAAACAGTCTGATATGTGACGCCGAACACCGCCTTGGCCGCATCGGCGGCGCCAACGAGATCAAACAACACCCCTTCTTCAGAGGTGTTGCTTGGGACGGTCTCCGCCGTATCCGCGCGCCGTTTGAACCTAAGCTGCAGAGTAACATTGATACGCAGTATTTCCCCATTGATGAGATTGACCAGCAAGATACATCTGCTGCGCATCGGGCGCAGGCTGCGCAGGCGGCTAATGAGGATGAGTATGCGACGAGTTTGCCGTTTATTGGGTATACGTATAAGAGGTTCGATGCGTTTAGGGGGTCGTAGACGCCGTTTTCGTCGTCGTTGGGTAGTGGGGAAGAAGAAGAAGACCATGATGATGATGGAAGATGGAGGAGGCGTTGTTTATGAGGTGGGTGGGGAGGGGGGAACCATGTGTTCTTCGAACATGAAAGCAATAGCGGGCTCGTTCGATTTAAGGAAGAGGACACACGAGGTTTCTTTGTCTTTTCCGTCCTTGTCCACTGCCCCATGCCCTGTTCTTCCTCTACAAACATGACATATGCTCTGGTTGGCTGGCGGATACCATCATATCAGAACCGATATAACTACTAGGTAGTGTTCGCGCATTTGCGCGCAGATTATCATGGCGGAGAGGGTGGTCACAAGGAAGAAATCAAAAGGCTTTTTTTTTCTTCCCCCCATCAGGTAAAACGCAGATGTGGCAAGAGAGGTCACTTTATTCAATTTGTGAATTCATGTTCTGTGATTGATGATGCAAATGGGATTGTTGATGACTTGACAAAGAACAAAAAGACTGGGATCATTCTGCTATGGGTATACATGCCTGTTTTGCCTTGTAGCTTGTGTTTTGCGAGAGGTTGCTCTGGCGAGGTAATGTCCTTGTTACTGATGATTGTTTAATTCTATGGATTGAAGAAAGAAGAAGATTGGTATGATGACTCCATTTTTTTTTTCGCTCTTTGGGTTGCTTCTCCTCTATTGTGGCACGTTTGATCGCTTGTTTTGTCTGTATGTCTGTCTGTACGTCTGTTCTGACGATGTGTAAATATATACATGCCATTACGCCCCGTTGAATCTTGTGGAATAACTCGCTCTCGTGTTGCACAAGACCAAAACACACCCAAACACCCGTTCTCCAAGTTTTGTGATATTGAACACTTTAGAACGTTATTCCGTTTTTCCACTGCCCATACCCCGACTTCGCTATATTACAACGTCCATTTTTTTTGTTGCTCGCCCCCCGTTTTGCAACTGTGATTCTCGTGATCTTTTCCGTCCGAAAGGAAGCTTGTATCGCCGTTCTTCATCGGGCTTCGAATTGGACCATACTAGATTAGGTATATGTTAGTGATTGTTATTTTGGAGTTTTTGAAAATGGGCACCGTTGCTATTCCACTTGGAAATTGCCGTTCTGTGCTATTCCGCATTCGCATGCATATATTTGTGCGTGTGTGTGCTTGGAAGAACTCCGTTTGTGCCTCTTTCTCTTCCTCTCCCTCCATGTCGTCATTCCACCACCACATTCCACCCCAAACTTCTTCCCTGCTTCTCTCCTCTACTCTCCTCTCGTTCATTGCCTCGTCACGCACCACGCCCTTTGTCCTCCTAGACCACACACACACACACCACGTGGGGAGAAATGTGTTATAACTTACCGGTTAGTCCTCTGCTTGTAAAGCACACGATGACCACAGTTTCTGCACCGGATGGGCTCGCCGCGCTTGAGAGGCACGTCCATGTCGCAGTCGCCGCACTTGTAGTGGACGGTGCGGGCTGTGGCGTCGATGGCGCTGGCGGTTTGGTCGGCGGTGGTGGTTTGCTGGGGTTGGTAGGATGACATGGTTGAGGTATTTGGCGGGTTGGGGGAGGTTGCGGTGTTTGAGATGTGGGTGTGTATGTGTGTGTGTGAGGGTGCGCAAGTTGCAGAGGATGCGATGATGGTTTGCGCCCGGGCCGAGTGCTGGAATCTTGATGGAAAACAAGGGTCGCGGTGGTACGTGCGCGAGGCTTATCGATAGCACACCTGCAGTCGAACCATGTTGCCTGACTTTTCTCCATCCTTCAACATCGTCTTCTTCCATTTGCACCCGAATGAGGACAAGTCGATTAACTTCATGTAAGGCAGACTCATGCTGATGTTATTTTATAGATCAGCATGCCTGGATTGGTCGTTTACATGGTCGCGCCCACGCCACCACGAGACATATTTTCACGGAGTTCCACTAAGACTTACCTTAGGACGACGAACCCCCCTATATCATTGTCCCGGATCTGCTGTCGCTGGCTCCCATTTTCTCACAATGTTTTTGTGTTTATATTTAACTCTAGCCTGTTTTGCTATGAAGATAACAAGCTCACCGAAGCGTGTCGAGGAATAAAGACTATTGTCTACAGAGATACCGAGCTCGACAAGGAGCGCAAAAATCTAGCTTGCAGCGGTTGGAGAAATAAGTGATATCGCCATGTTGCCTTTCATCATGAACGAAGCACCACAACGCAGATACGGTCTCAGTGGCCCCTTGATGATGCTCCGACAAAAATCGAATGTCTCACAAGGATTTTCCTCTCTGTCCTCTCGGAGCATCTCCCAAGGCGTCAAGAAATTGAAGTCGCCCTTTGGTGTCGATAGCAACTTCAGAATGGATTCCATGGCCTCCCGAGTTTCTAGACGTTTGTATACACTCGCTTCCGGTCGCGGCATCTCCCGTCGACATGCTTCTATCACTAGACCTGCGATACCAGCAACAATTGGACAAGCGTAGGAGCTGCCTGTCACTCTTTTGTCTCCTCCAGCAGAGAGATATCTACCAGGAGCAGCGAATCGTTCTCGCTTCCAATCACTGTCTGGCGTTCCCGTGGTCGGAATTTCCTTGCCGAAACCATCGAAAGCATCAACCGCGATGACGCCGCAATGTCGGGCTGGAAACAGCATCTTCCCGAGCGTTCCGTCGTTGGTGGAAGCAGCAAACATTAGGATCGACTTCTTGTTCTTGATGTTGTCTAGCTCATCCTCCACACCGTCACCATCATCCTGTGTCTCCCATCCAAAAGACATGATGATGATGTCGACTTCCTCCCTGCTAGCCCATTGCAAAGCCTTGACTATAGCCTGCTTATCTGGCACTGGTTTACCTCCATCGTCATTGCGTTTGGCTACTCGAGCGATGTATAACTTGGCATTTGGGCACGCACGAGCTACTTGGTATGCAACTGCTGTGCCATGGCCCGTCTCACCTTTATTGTAATTGTGCTCGCTTTCGCCGGATATAAAATTTTTGCTTCTCTTATAGACCCTGTCTCTGAAGTGAAACCCTGAATCTATACCGCTGTCTAAAATCGCGATACGAACTTCTTTAGGTGGAGGGCCAATTCTAGCAAGAGTATTTTCTTGCCTCATGAATATAGGTAGTGTTATGGTTTCGAGGTTTTTGAACCACTTATCGGCGCCCCTAGCACATGTGTCAGTGTACGCACGTACTGCAATCAAGATTCACTGACTGGTAGGATTGTAGGCTCAGAAATGCTGTGTCTTGACAAGATGCTTGTCTGTTCGGTATTCGATCTGGAGGATTCTTGACCGGGAAGGACCTGTGCTTATTGATATCGTTTCGTTGTTTTTTTGGGCCTCTACTCTTCAAGGACCGCAGAGGATTACGCTTTCGCTCCACCGTGTCTTGCACTTCCGGGTATTGACCGCAAGCATATGGGGGATGTATCCTGGACGGATGTGGTGGAGTGCCTCTCTCATGCTGTGAAGATAATATCGCGATAGTTGCACGGCTGCTGGTAGCCTGATGACTGACGGTTTTGGCAAAGCTCGCCATGATGAAGGAGGGCTGAAAAGACTGAGAGCAATGTTCAAACGATTTTGATGACTTTCTGAATGACGAGGTCTCTGGTCGAAAGGGTCCAAAACATGCTCTAATATGTCGATAGATTGCAGAATGGGCGGTGCGGAAATTCCCAAAGGGCCACCACAACCAAGACCCTCTGCTATGCTTCGGCAAAGCTATCGCTGGTTTATTAATAGTTCGGTGTCGATGAATCCGGCGATTCAAGCGAAAGACTTGGAACGCTCATTCGTCAGAAGTCAAATGGCTTGAGGAGATGGCTGCAGCTGCTTGAGTGAGATGAACGGCGGGCCAGTCAGCAGCTTGACTGAGGTTTTGGTGGTGGTGGCTTGCGCCTGCATCCTAGCCGTGCTCAGCCTTTACTCTTTCCTACGGTATCGCTAAATTTATCTCACAAACAGAAGGATCATACATATGCATATATGTATACATATTGCAGACGGAATGCTGTGATTATTGACATTTGGATACCTACATCCATCACATCATGTTGAGGTATTTCCTCGCACCTACGCGTGAAACGCCGCCAGACACCTTCATAAGGCTGGGCAACATCATCGAACAACCGCGCTTTGCGGATCAGCCTCTCAATGAAGTCCCACTCCCAATCGATAAAGTCACTGTAAACCCTGAAGCAAGGAGAGCAAAGTTTAGTTTCGGCGATACCAAAACAACCACCATTGGCATTTGGGCTACGTTTCTCATGCAAATCCTGGGCGTTGGCGGTGATGTCAACACACAGATCTCCAGAGGGACAACGGAGACCTGGGACTGCGACACAATTAAGACGATTTCCTTCGAGCCGAGCATTGCATACATCAAGAAAAGTGTCGAAGCCACGGCTGTCAAGCAGTACATTCAAGAGCGCCGACATCGGCCATGGGACACCAAGCTCTACATGATCACGGGGATTAAGATCGCGTATGGGGCCAAAGGTACAATCAGCTATGCGCGTAGCAAAGGTATACATCTGCATCTTGGTGTTGATGCTACATCTTTGGGTGCGCCGATGCAAGCTGGTCCAGATATAGGTGTTGAGAAGGGTCGGAATGTGACACAGGACATTGGCGACAAAGGTCCGTTTGTGCTTGCGTTTCGCATGCAGAAGATTAAAGTGTCAGGCAAGGGGCAGATCAGACATGAAGGCGTCGACGGCGGTATGCTGGGTGTTGACGACAGCGATGGTGAGGATGGAGAAGAGCAAGTGGAGCTTGTGGTTAATGGGTTGGAGAGTGCGGACGCGGATGCTGAAGAGTTCGGCATCATGACTTCCTGGACAGTAGAGGAACAGGGGGTTGCGGGGATGATATGTTGTGCACTTGCAGAAGACGATTGACACGGTGCATTTGTTGGATTATCCGTACAGGTGACTGCCTGTTCGGAAGCGGAAGATGAGGGCGGCGAAAGCACGTGCTTCAAGCTTATCGATACTGCGTCTTTAGTCAGTCCATGGGAACCAATTGACGGTGCTTTCTACCTGTTCCGCGTTATCTTTAACTATGCCACCACGGCCATCGTGTCTTGCGCAGATTCCATCTGCTATCTATTGACTGTGATCACTGCGGCTTGTCGAAACCCAACCGAGGTCGGAATGTATGAATCCGACCTCGAGGTTGAACTGGAGGCTGATTCCTTGCGTAGTTGTGCAGATTATGATGCGCGTCGCTTAACCAGGCTGCGCCTCGATTACCATCCGGTTGGCTGTCTGCGCTTGAACCCCCGCAGACAACACAGCCAGCATGTTTAGCGGAATACATTACACAAGGCTGTGTATGCCCCACTTTGTCGCGATGCATGCATCACCCCTGTGCAGCCGGAAGGCTGAACAGTATAGATACCCTCACGGACTTCGCATACTATCCAGCTCATACACTCCGACACTACGCCTGTAGCCGACAGTGAGGCCACGAATTTCTTCTACAACTACTACAACCCGTGGAAGACGATGCTGTCATGGCACTCAGCTTGTTTACTGCTGATCCTCTAAAGCCAGAGATCCGGCTAGCACAAGCTGTTTCTCAATTCGAGGCGAACCTTACGAAACCGCAGAAGATCGCGTTTCGAATCCAGCGTACGCAAGCTTTACAATCTCCTCCAAGCACTATGGACGTTATGCGAATCACAGCAGAGATAGACATCTCGCAAAAAGCTGGAGGTCGTTGCTTTGGACCCCGATTCACCACCTTTCTTCATGGTGTGCAGCAATTTGCTGCTCTTGGCGATGTGATTGTAGGCAGCTCTCAAAACATTGTTGCGGCTGGAGTATGGTCAGTTATACGCACGTCGTTACTGGTGCGTTCATGTTTCCTTTCGTATCACCCGGTTGACCATGTATAAACCTTGATGTACTTGAATGTGCAAAGGATTTGAGCAGAGTTCCAACTGCTTATGTCGTCCATTGCTCAGACTGACATGTGATGTGTGGTTAGGCAACTACCAACCGATCATTATACCTCGAAAGTCTGTCCCTCCTACTCATGGAAGCCGGCCACTCGACTCAACATCACTCGGACTTAGCACTGTTGTATCCCTGTTCGAGATCATTGCAAGACTACATCACAGAGTACTTCATTGTAGTAGTTCAGATATGTCTTCACTTCCAGCTGTACACGCAGAAATCTGCTTTGGGAAAATTCGCATCATCTCTCAACGATGCTTACCTCAAGGAAGCGCGATCAAGTCTCCTGGCCTGGTCTAGGTCAATCCAAGCACAAGTTGGAGCCCTTGTTGCACGGAGAGTAGAGACAGAGGCTGAAAGCAACTCGCGCTTCAGGGCCGTTATCAGTGCGAGTGCCAAAAATGCTGGACATCAGCAAAAGCGTGCTGCAATACAAAAGCTGCTTGATTGTTGCTCAACTTATGACTACGAAACGCCATGGAGACAGATTCGGAAAGCGGGTAACACATCTCTATATACACATCTACCTGAGTATAGCCAGTGGGTCGTGGCACCAGAGTCGAGGACACTCATCTTGGTCGGCAAACTTGGATACGGGAAATCCGTTACACTCGCGAATATTGTCGACAACCTCATCTTGCAAATCGATCCTAAGACTAGTGGCTTGGTACACTTCTTTTGTCGGCACGATCTTCCTGAGAGCCTGAGTGCAAGAACAGCGTTGGGGGCACTGATACGTCAAATCATCAGTCTATTTTCGCAGTCACTTGATGGGTCTGACGACATCGAACACTATGAGTTCTCTAGGTTCTATAGTCTGATGCGCGGCATTGTTCCACCCAAGTATGTGATATACATTGTACTTGATGGTTTGGATTTATGCCCCCTCCCAGAAAGAAAGATTATTGTGGAACAACTGGAGCACATGAAAACGCATCTGAACATCCGTCTTTGCGTCTCTCGCCGCCTGGAACCTGAAGCGGAGTTACATCCTATCTCAGCAGAATTCTCGCAAGCAATGGTTGTAGAGCTTCCTGACAACTCTTCCGATATCGAGTCTTATATCGAGACACAACTAGAAAAGGCTTTGTCGAACCATAGCCTAACCCTAGGTGATCCAATGATCGTTCTCGAAATACGAGATGCTCTCCTGCGTGGTTCGCAGGGTATGTTTTTGTGGGTCGCCCTCCAAATACAGTCGATCTGTATCATGCAAACTGATCACGAAATTCGACGAGCACTTGCAAACCTACCCAAGGATCTCTCTGAAATCTATAGTCGGATACTGCAGAACGCACAAAAATCAGGGCCATCTCTCCAATCCGATATATTCAAACTCGTCATAGTTTCGAGGCGCCCACTCACAGTAAATGAGATGAGAGAAGCTCTTAGCGTAAGCCCAGGCGATATCAACTGGGATCCCACTAAACTTCTCAACAACGCCTATTCAGCACTAGCGATGTGCGGCTGTCTCATCACTATTGATGAAGAGGAGCATACCATACGTACGATTCACCCAAGTATCAACCAGTTCTTGCTTCATGACGGCTTGAAGCCTCTCACGAGTCCAGGAGAGCTCCGTTTTACGTTGGATGATGCGAATTCATTCATATCATCAATCATTGTCACTTACCTGAGTTATGGTCTCTTCGGGACGGAGCTTGCCATCCACATTCCTACACTTAACATGGGTTCTGCGCCATCTCATATCATCAACTCTACAACCGGCAAGGTCAGAACTATTCAGAATATTGCTGTGAAACTTTTGAGATCCAGGAAACAGCTTGACTTTGATATATCCAAGGTTTTCGCACAAGATCAAAGCGTGCATCGACCTTTGAGCACCGGCGATTTCTACTTTCAACACTACGCAAAGAGATATGCGCTCAAGCATTTAGCAGATTTCCCCGTGTTATCATGCAATACTTCTGCGGCTTTCTTCCGCCTCTTCAAGCAAGGAACGCTCTGTGTCAGAACCAAGGCAGAGGCGATGGGTCTGCTATGGCTCTGGCTACAACCGCCTGGAACGATAGATGTCCGTGACCTTTTTGTACACATATCGGAAGAAGCTGCATCATCCCTTTCACTCGAATGGCAGCAATGCCCAGGCCAGCTGTTCAGTCGAGCTATCAGAACTGGCCGGTTACATGCAATCAGATACTTACTGGAACTCTATCCCCCAGTACTGAAGCCATTTCACAATGACGAAACTGGCCCCATCATGCCGGCACTCAGAGACGTATCGGTACTCGAAAGTATGTCTTTGGTTGATGGCTCTTTGAGATATCCACTCCGCCCTTATGACGAGCGTCGACGCTTGTTTCTCGGTCGGGCACCGTTACGTCTCGCCATCGAGAGTTCCCAGACTGGATCTTTAGAAATGCTCGCTAGCTCTGAATTGATCGACCGTAACGATGAAGAGAGACATATGCGCTCATTATTATCTGTTGCTATAGAGAAGAGGAATGTCAATGCGGTAAAGATACTTTTGTCTTCGAAGCGGGTCTGCCCAACGGAAGAAGAAAAGTACAACGCAAGGGAAAGACTATATCGAGAGATAAGGGCAAAACGTGGATGGTCCTGCAAGTGGGATGACATCCCAGTCGACTCTGCTATGGAGATTTATAATTTGCTTTGATCTAAACTAGTAGTCTTATACTGTCTCCTCCAAAGAGGCGGGCAACTAGCGGACAGACAAAGAGTAATAGCTCAATAGAAATATATGTAAAGTACGAAGAGTTATATAGGCTAATTCTAGTAAGAGAATTATATAATATAAAGTAAAAGTAAAGAATAAATATGCGTTTGCTAAATCGCCTTTACAGCTGCAAGCGGCTGACATCTACTGAGACTATAATCAGACTCATGATAATATAGACCTAATGTTCAGCTCCAATGCAAGACCTAATACAGTTGTGAGCAATCTATATCTGTAAGCAGGTTGGAGGTATTATTGAGATAATAGGTGTTATGATGTATTGTGTACGGAGATGTGCGTGTTATAAGCTTATATACAAAGAGTAGTGGACTGATTGGCTAGTGCAGTATCCACGTGACTGCGCAAGGTCTTCTGGGCTTACAGTATCGAAAGTAACTTACCTAGGGGAAGGCTGGGTATTGTGAAGATTTTGAAGCACTCCGAACGGAAGCTTACTTCTTCCTTCTATCGTCGCCTTGGGATATGATGTTGATGGGCGTAGATTATTGGCTTGCGGGAATTTGAAGGCTCGGGGAATCGCATCCTCCGAGCCGTTGACCGCCTTGTCGCTCCACTTATTTCGTTGGTCAAGCGCAGTGATGGTTCTGCTCATCGAGGGGCTTGTATTTGTCATCACCAAACATCGAGTTCAATAACCCATGTAAACCTAGTATTCTAAATACGCGGCACCGATGATACACAACCCAAAACCAATCACATGCAGATTAATACCAGAAACGAGGGCTTTCTCCCTATCCTTCCCAATCCTGCGACGCACATTCGGCTGCTTATCGTCTTCGCTTGTGGTCAGGCAGACGTCTCTGATATTCAAATCTCACTCATCTCTGTTCCGTTCCTTGATGCACCAGCCTATCATGCGGTTTCGTATACATGGGGCGATTCCGGGTCCGAAGAAGATATCACAATATGCAACAGCGATAACGGGGATTCGAAGGACAGAAGCAATGACCGTCGACAGATGACGGTCCGCAAGAATTGTGCAAATGTGCTGCGACAATTAGCTCATTTTAAGACGGCAAACTACTACTGGGTGGACGCAATTTGTATCGACCAAATTAATGATACCGAGAAGAGTCATCAAGTCGCAATGATGGGGGAGATTTTCAGTCGTGCGGACTGCGTCCTATCTTGTGTTGGCATGCATGAAGATGACAGCAAGTTCATGGCCGACACGCTTAGGAGTTTCGATACATACTTGGCTTCATACGGAAAATCATCTGCAGTCTTCAGCGACGGAAGTCGTGAATGGACAGATGAGAAAGGCCGGACAATCTGGCATAGTGAGCACTGGCTGGAGGCCCTCGCAGACGAGGACATAATACGACTTTATGAGGCTCTTGATGCCTTCGCTCGACGGCCGTATTTCTGGCGGATCTGGATCCTGCAGGAGTTGTTTGTTGCTCGTCACATAGTCATCCTATGCGATCTTGACGAGCTTTCGCTTCCCACAATTCTTTTCTGGTGGGTCGATGCAAAACTTCAATGGTTTTTCCAGCATCGAGATGACATTGCAGCAGGCCAAGAGCCACCTATCCTACTGCGCAAACTCACGGCGTTAGGAGCTGGAGAGGATTACTTGAGTAAAGCGCGATGGACTGATATGCTCAGCTTTCTTGATGATGGAGGCTCAGGTCTCGGTGCTGTATTTGAAGACATGCTCCGCGAGCGAGCAGTTACCCTTGATGAGACGTCCGAACGACAACAATTATTCTTAAAAAAGATGCTTACTATGTGCGAATACCGACGTTGTCAGGATCCGAGGGATACTGTGTACGGCACCCTCTCGTTAACGAACTGGGGTGGCGGTACGACATTCACGCTGGATGGAGTTTTGATTCGGACAGCTGTAAACGACGATGGTGCTCTTCGCCCGGACTATAAGAAATCCAGCTATAATTTAGCGAAAGAGGTTATACTGAACTTCAACGACATAGGCGAGCTTGTTAAGCTAGTCCTCCACATGCTTCGAGTTGGCTCGGATGTGGAGGAAGTAATATCAGGGATCCACTCTCGCCGCCAGAGAACCGTCATCACAGCACAAATTGCGGACCATGACCTAGTTCATCTAGCAAACCAGTCAGAACAGGAGCAGTTACAGATCGTTGAAGGTGGCTTTCAGATCACATCAGAAAGTGTCTGGAGGATAGAACGGGCCACAGATTCCACGTATGTGTACATTCACGCAGTGGATCAATCTGACAACTGTCGCGCACTTGCAAGCGCGACAATCAATGTCAATGATTGGATCGTGCCTACAACGTACAGTTACGGCTTTGTCCTCCGTCAGGTCAGTGAGGCAAGCAAGTATTTCCAGATTATCGGAAAAGTATGGTTTCACCCAGAGCTTCTACCGAATGATCTTGAAATGACTGCTTTCATGATGTGGCTTGGGGTTGATGACATCCTAGTACATCTGGCAGGTGGGTTGGCATATATCCTCTCTGGAGACAATACAAAAAGACTGGAAGAAAGGGTCCTTGAGCTCATTAATGTAAATTTTTGTGGGGAGCCGTACTCTAGTTGCGCTGAGATTCCTGGGGAGAAACGCACTGGTACAGCCGACCATTTCGTGACGCGTGCAGAGACTTATACTTGGCAATTAATTGCGGATTGGCATTTCTTCCAAGCGGAAAAATCTGAACGTACGTAGAAATGGACTTTTCGATTACGTTAAAGCGTCTAAAGGGGAGGAGAAGAAGGACAAGAGGAAGAAGGATTGACCTCCGCCAACCCACGATCCGTCCTACTAAAGAAGTCAAATCTAGCCTACACAGCCTAAGCTATCGTCCACATCAAGCTAAGTTATTTACAGAATAGATGCTACTCGCCAAGGGCGATAACGGCAACTTAGAATTAGACGCGGTAGAGAATTTCTACTGCACACTACAAAATAAGGATAAAGTAGTGACGTGTAAGTGGAGATTAGGACTTTGACTTACAAGATAGGAACTACTGACGAGACTCAGGTGACTTGGAAGAAAGTGAGACGTAGACCGGAAAGGTCACCATTGAGGAATTGACGAGTGAGACACGAGTCGAGCTGGCAGGTGATATTCAAGGCTTGTTGGAGGTGAGTATTAGCGAGACCAAACAAATACTGAATCAGGCCAAACACTTAGGAAACGAGCCCGAAATTGTGTTGGCGCTGGAACACATTCCGAAAAAACGATAGCCTACTCCCACTCGCCAAGGGGATGCGATTGAGCCAATATCATTCTGGTGGGTAGCGCGATGCTGCTCAAGGGTCCGCATGCGGTGGTTGAATATTCCTAATAGCGCTTCCTAGCCCTTTTAAGCTACAGTACTTAGCGAAATTGGCTTTCCCCTTTGCGCAGTTGTAACAAGGAATGCGCCACACTGCCAGCAGGAATTACCATAAAGTGCCCCACCTGGGTACCCCGCAGCAGCACCGGTATCATTTCACAACAACGACGACGACGACGGCTAGGATAAGCGGGCCACTTTTGCGACTAGGTAAGCATCTGGTATAATTCGGTTGTGAAACAGAGTACTCATCTCTTGACTTTGCGCAGACCTAAGCGCGTTCGCTCTATCTGTCAATGCCGCAGTTAAGGCGGCTCTTCAATCGTCGTACATGGTCTCTCAGGGCACTTTTCAGTCTAACGCTGCGTCTGTCTCAGAGTTAGACGATTCTAGCATCTATACACCTACCACGACTGCCGAAAACGTTACTTTGGACCTCATGGAAGATCACACCTCGCCAAGTTGGGTACCTTCACATGGATCTACCGTCATCATTCGCTCTATCTCATGCGGCAATGTGCTTACATTGCTTGATGGGAACATCGTACTAGCTCCACCTAGCGGTCGTGGGTCTATCCTGTGGACGTGTATAGAAACTGAAGGCTGGTTTGGATTCCGAAACTGCGTCTCAGGCAAGTTTATATGCCATGGTGGGGATGCAAGACTCAAGTGCACGGCAGAGGAGCGTGATGGTTGGAGACAATTTACTATTACTCCAGTACCGAAAGGGGGCTACGTTATGCAAATGCTGGACTGGTGGACTCTTCGTCCTATAGTAATCAACGCACAGAACGGGCTACAAAAGCTAGGGAGGACTGGAAACAAGCTGTCTGAAGGAATTGTATGGAGCTTTATAGAGTGTAGGGCCGGTAATGCTGACCTTTAAGACTTCTAAGTAAAATAGTCTCCTTACAATCGAACACAGTCGATCGACTAAGTTACTAAAATGTAAAGTAAACCAGCCGAGTACAGAGAGGTGAACATATAGAAGGCATGACACGGGTGATAATCTGACGGAGAAGCATATGAGCTAGAGGATTTGTGTAGGCTGATTCTAGTGAGGGGATTACATAATGTCAGGTGAAGATAAAGAACAAATGTGCGTTTGCTCGATCGCCTTCACCGCAGCAAGCGACTAGCGTCTGTTAAGACTATGGTCCATATCTTGCCGATATGAACCTGACGTTCGGCATCTACAAGTCCAACCACACTCTGAGCGACAATCACTACACAGTGCGCATAATGGCACGACCCCCGCCAACACCGCTCGTAGATACTATCAAAGAGATTCAACCTTTGAAGAATCTGATCATTGGTAAAGAGATCCATGTGATACATCTCATGCCCAGCTAATGTGTTGTTAAGACCAGGTTCGCGCGATTCACGGCCATTTATACCCGACTTCACACTACACCTTTTCAGTATTGACCAACAAGGAAGAGCTGTTGTACTCAGCCCAAGCTATCGTCTACACAAAGCCTGATTCATTTGCGGAGTGGAAACTACTAGCCGTGAGCGGCCCCGTCTGCAACTCGACATGGGAGGCGGTAGAGAGCCTCTACTGCGAGCTTCAAGAGCAGCTTGGAAAGATGACGGGTAAGTGGAAGTCGAGACTCTGGCTTATAAGATCAGAGATACTAACGAGATCTAGATTCCTTGTATGAAGGTGGAACGTGGAACGGAACGGAGGCTATTAATGAGCCCGATTCCGAAAACGCAGACGCAGACTGACCAGATTTCTGGTGAGTGAGACACAATTCGAGCTGGCAGGTGATATTCAAGGATTCTCAAAGGCCGGTATGGGCGAACCCTCAAAAGGCGTCGGGTTTACCCTTTTGTGGAACCTAGTTTCAACCATGCTCTACTTGCCTCCGGCACATGAGAGAAATCTCCACAAAATCCCCACCTTGTCGCTGTCTTGCAATTTCTCTTTTCCTGTATCCTAGCCTGCTTGAGAAAAGAGTCCACAACTCTTAGAACACTCACATCATGCGCGATAACCATCCAAACGTTTTCGCTCTCATAGCACTCCCCCATTTCGTCAATGTTCTCTTTTATTTGCAGTAGATCGCGACGAGGTGTCGGCTTCATTTCACAACTTACTGCCAGTACGCTCAGCGACTCATTATTGATCATTCGGTAGATCCACATTTTCATTCGATGACGCCAGCCGCACTACAGGTCTCGGAAGTCCTGATAATGCACAGGATGCCCAGGTGTTGTTCGCTTGGTTGCATGACATCAAAGATAGAATCGCCATTGCTGCTCAGTTGACTATGTACCGTTCTGAGAGACATTGTTACAGATGCTTAAGCGCAGACATGCATATAGCAGGAGCATCACATATGACCGCGGCGTCGATGACGTATGAGGACGGGCTAACCCGAATGTGGCTTTGCCTCGGCTCGGTATCTTCCCCAGATTCTGCGACCTCCGCATTGAACTCCGCAGCTCTGATACCCGTCCAACGCGCTGACAATCCACTCAACTGTAACAACCATATACTAATCACCTTGCAACTACTTCCATAGCTAAATTTGTTAGTTGACAAGGACGATTACGAAATGCCGAGCGTACAGCTGAAGGTCGAACGGCAAGGGGTGAGCAAGGAGCTCTCCGAACCTCTACCTGAACCGAAACCATTTGAGGGTTTGAAGGGAATCAGAAGTCTCGCTGGGGACCTTGGCAGCCAGTGAGTAAGGAGTTGTGGTGCGGACTTGTAGCTGGATGTCCGAATACTGACTCTACGTAGACGCGTCAAAGGCAAAGTAATCATCGTTACTGGTATGCCTGCCACTCCCAGCACATCCCGCACAACATCTACGTCTAACATCGCTTCCAGGTGCAAACTCCGAAATAGGCATCGGCCGCGCAAGCGCACATCAATTCGCGCGCAACGGCGCACGCGCAATCTACGTTTGCGACTTTGCCGATTCCAACCTCGAGACACACAAGCGCGAGCTCAACACGCTATACCCGTCGACCGAGATCCACACCCGGCAATTCGATGCTGCGGACGAAGCTTCAGTACAAAAGGTCTGCCAGGAAGCTCTAGACACATACGGCCGTCTCGATGTCTTCTTCGCCAACGCGGGAATTTCATCCGGCAAGGTGTTCTGGGAGGAGTCGGTAGAAGGCTTCATGAACGTGTTGCGCACAAACGCTCTCTCGGTCTTTCTTGCTGCGAAACACGCATCTCGCGCTATGCTCAAGACGTCGGATCAGAAACCATACCCGAGCGGCAGCATCATCGCTACGGCGAGCGTAGCAGGTCTCCGATCCAACGCCGGTCCCACGGATTACTCCGCTTCAAAGGCTGCAGTGATCAGCCTGATGCAGACATGCGCGTATCAACTTGCTGGCTCGGGTATAAGATGTAATGCTGTTTGCCCAGGCCTCATCGAAACTGGTATGACTAGGGTCACATACGATGCGGCAAGAAAGAGGGGCAGTGAGAAGAAGATTGGGCAGCTGAACCCGCTCCAGAGGGGAGGGCAGCCGGATGAGATTGCGAGAGCAGTGCTGTTCTTGGCAAGCGATGAGGCTAGCTATGTCAATGCGCAGGCTTGGGCGGTGGATGGGGGGTTGAGTGGGGGATTACCGTTTGTGCCAGGGAAATTGGCATAGGGTGTGGACAGATTGTCTGGAGAAATGGAGTGGCATAGACCCTGTTACATCGCATGAAGCAGTTTCTACATCACCGCAATACTACTACTCTGGTACACTTGTGGTGCTCTTGCTAACGTACCAGCAGCCGAGCGTGATTTGTTTCTGATCGCAGGAAATTACACCATCATATTCATTCAGTCACCACTCAGCCAGCCACGACGTCGCATCGGTAGACGCCTATCCAATAATCGTCCATAATGTCTCAGCAGTCACAATCTGCACGTAGATCCGCCTCACAGTGAACCAAGATGTTGCTGGGCAGTACGATGCATAGTATCGTTCAGGGTATTCGATTAACTTGGGCACCGTTTGGAAGCCTTTTCCTTCAAAGAACATATCGTCATATTCAGCTACTTTCTCCCTGCATAAGCCGATCTGCCACACTGTCATCTACCCATTATTCTACTGAATAACTTCGCGATGGCGGACTTACCAGCACACATCTCAGGCTCAAAACCCTTCAAATCTCCTCTTCTAGACCATGATCTCTCAAGTTCGCTATCTGTATCAATCCAGCCCACGCTCCGTTCAATCAAGGAATCTCCCCGCCGTACACCATCTCCACCAGCACCAACGATTTACCTTACAGGCTACCGCTGCCACGCTAGCGACCCAGAATACAGATACGCGAGAGAGAGAACAGGAGACATTCAACCATACTGGTTCGAAGAAGCGTACGGTGCTGCGGACTTCAACGAGGGAGTGAGAAGGAGGGCGAAGAATGATATGGCACCCCATGAGGACGAAGTCGCGGTTATAGACCTTGATGATGATGGGAAGGAGATGGATAGAGTAGCTGCTAGATATCAGAGGGAGAGGGCCAGGGAGAGGACATTGATGAGGGAGGAGGGTGAGTGGAGGCTTGGGGGGTATGTGGTGAGTATACATCCCGCAATCTGACCATCGCATCGACTGACATGGGACAGGATATGAGCGGAGAAATCGGAGGTAACGACTTGGAAAACAGGAGAACGATCCGTGAGGAACAGTGGAAGCAGCTTGAGGCAGAGAGGGAGAGTTTGCAAGAAGAGAGGAAGAAGCTCGATGTCAATGAGACGGAAGAAAAGCGACAGGAAGAGGAAGAGCAGCATACTTCACGCGTACCTATTCGTGACCGCGCACTTAGCCTGCTGGATTTCCAGAAGAAGACAAAGCTAAAAGGCAAGTCAAAGGTCGAAGTCGCCGAGCCGCAAAACGTAAAGGCCGACTCCCTGCACACGTCAGACTCAAGCAGCCCCAAGGATGATATCCCTGTTCTCGCCGTGTCGCAACCCTCGCCCGCTGGCGAAGGATTCCCCAGACTGCCCCTACCACCACCACCACTTCACGCTCCCCCTCCTCCGCCCCTAACAGTCCGTAACCCAGATCTTGCACAAATGGTCACACAGCAACCCTCTACACCAACGCGCGACCAAGCTCCAACGCGTCCCAGAGCCCCCACACCTCCATCGCTGAAGAGCGCTACGACCACAGAAACCGACATCGACGATCAGAGTGGGAGCAAGGCACTTTCTTTGCGACAGAGTTGTTCTTCTGCAACGAGAGTTCAGGCTGATATCCCAGTTGTGCCTGTGCTTGAAAATAGTGTATGCATCCCAGTACTAGCTTGACTTGCAGTCTAGTAGCGATTGAAGCTGACAAGTATGCATAGGGACTGGTGAGAGGTGTCGGTACATTGGAGAGGCAGGTCCCGGAGAACAGTGTATGTGCAACCTGTTTCGCTGTTCTAGTGATAGTTTGGCTAACGTGGGGACTAGGGACTAGTACAGGACTTTGGTACGTTGGAGAGGGCGAGAGCGCGGAGGGCCAACGGTAATCGCTTCTTTGCGTGTTGCGTTGGGAGGAGGAAGGAGGTGGCGGGTGAGAGGAAGCGTGTATGCTGGAAGGTTGCGACGGCTTAGAGAAGGATCTCGGAAGCCGTGTACCTATGGGCATGGGTGCACGAGAGTGTATTGCAGATGAATCACAATTGCACGGTACGCTATCGCTGGTTGAACATCCATTTGACTTGGCTCAGAGTCCTTCGGCTGGTAGGATATTGTAGTGTTATTTACACTCAGCCAGTATCGTACTTCATTGGTTACCATAGGCTTCTAGTCACACCAAACCTGGAATCACGGACAGCATCTCAATCCACGATCACATTTGCTGCGCAAGACACATGGCTTGCGTAAATCGAGACAAAGGACTATGGTAGCGAGAAAGGCAAGCTAGTTATGTACGGTGACAACAACTGGCTAAAGCTCTTCCCGAACATGTTTGCGCGTGCTGATAGGACAAGCAGCTTCTTCGTTTCGGTTAGTCATAAGCGTCCCACTGTTGCATATAGTAGGTCAGTGTAGTGATACAGGGTCCTAGCCTAATTCACTTGCGCAGAAAGATCTCACATTTCTTTGCTGCAAGAAGCTCCCTTTCGCGTTCACCACTTTGCGTGACTGCATCAAGTCGCCTTCACCCCAACTTGCAGCCGAAGAAGATGCGCGCCCACGTTCAAATGACTCTCCACTCACTGCGCTTCCTATCGCGCTAACACTGCGTAAATATTCCTACCTTGAAATACCCTCGTTGTCGCAACAATTGCTACATTCACCACTCATTAACGCAACACTATTACCATGACTGGCGTGGGCGGCTGCCAGAGTCACTCCAAGCCTCCGACTTCGATGCGCGAATTCGACGAGTTGTATCCTTCCCCCCAGGATATTGAGTCGCAGAAGTGGAGCAACGCATTAGAGAATTCGCAGCGCTCGCTCAATGAATCGATGCACTCACCCGCCTACCGACGGCTCCCTACCAGCACCGCATCGATCTGGAACAGTAATATTCCGGGACTTCAGGACTCGTCTGGCGGCACTGCTGGAAACGGTGGAGATAGAGGCGCTGTCCAATTTCTTTTGACTGACACCCGAGTGAAGCTGGGCAACAGCTACAAAGGTCGCCATAATGGCCATGTGCAAGCTTCGGTTCCTAAAGTTGCCAGTATCGTACCAGAAGGACGTTTTGATCGAGATCTGAACACCACTGGCCTAGCGACCCCACTCTCACTCCGTAGTCATACGCTTCCCAGAATCTCGACTGAGTCACCACGTCAACCTTACTTCGGCGGTTCTGATCATGCTTACGCGAAGCTGGACACTCGTAGCACGTCCTCTGGCTGGCCTTATGAGCAAGAAAAACACTCGCAAAGACCGCAGGGCTTTGCTGCCCACTCTAGCGCACTCAGTCTCCAGGATGACCCTCACCCGGCGAACCTCTCCAACCCACGAGGATCACCGAGAACCTCTCACACGCCGGACCGAACAGAGTTTCACGAGCGTATGGAAGGTGACTGGATGTCAGGTCTATCGAGTATTCCATCTCTTTCACGCCCTGGTAGTATGGGGGAGCAACTCCACGAGACTAACGGTATACCACTCTGCTCAGTCCCGAACAGCACTGTTATACGAGACTACGAGATGGCATGGCGAACATCAGCGGAACACGGTACAGATATGAAGAGATCAAAGCACAGACAGCGAGGTCCCTCGTCGCCCACCGTACAGCGCTACGCATCCACTGGATCGATCTCACCAGCCTTCGACATCACACCACGCAGCGCACAAATCGACGACGAAGGAAACATTTTCATCAATGGCCCAGGACATGTACGAAAGCACACTGATCCGTTTGTGGACTCTAAGCCGGCTTTGTACGGTTCACAGTCTGCCAGGTTTCCTATAGCTAGACCTTCGACACAGTTCCAGCTGCCGTCGCAGCCATCCATGCGCCGAACTCTCACCCCGACTACTGCATTGTGGCCCAAGCCAGCTCCGAAAAATGTTCCGTCCGCTCATCCGCCCACACTAGTCACAATTCCACCCGTCTCCGCGACCTCTGTGCGTGCCATGCCGCCTACTCCAGCATTCCCTAGTTCTGTATCGGGACCAGTTACACAAGATCGTCCACCCACAAGATCCAACTCCCTTATCCCACCACCTCCTCTTTCCAGTATCCAGGGCAAGTATCATCACACCCCAGAAGCGCGCGCACGCCTAAAAGCACAGGAACCCGTCCGCGAAAAATGGATCCGCACCGAAGCAGCCAAGATCGGACAGCTAGCGAAGCTGAGGCAAAATACCTACCGTCGTTGGGTAGAGACCAATTCTGAACTGAATTACAGGAATTGGCAAAAGGCTGAGGCGGCGCTGGCCGAGGCTACAAACACGGAGAATAAAAAGGAAGAGAGGCGGAATTTGTTTTTGAATCTGAAGGGTATGACGGCGTTGAAGACAGACAAGGCTGAGGATATGTCAGCTGATAGCCGCGAGAGCGAAGCCAGAGGTGGAGAAGAGAAACTGCTTGGCTACCAGATGGCGACGATGGAGCGAGTGTGTGCGGAAGTCAAGCATGAGGAAGGCGACGCGATCATCACGGCTGAGATGTTGGAGACTTTGAGCTTGGATGAGAAGAAGGCTCTTCGCAAGCATCTTCTCGGACGTCTTGGTAGGTATTGAGAGTCTTGACCATGTATCACGATACAGCAACTGTAGGACTTGCAGATGAGCAGGAGGTCAAGATATGGAAACTCTGCAAGATGCCTTATCAGCACATGACAAGTAGCTATGGTAGTCTAGCTATCGACCGAATCACAAAACGATCTAAACATCACCGAGCATGTCTACGCTCCGCCACCTGCCATGATCTTCTTCCCCTTGACACTCTTCTGTTCCATACCCAGACTAACAAAAAATGCGATACTACTCGTTGCGATCGCAAGTATGAATGCCGTGACAATCGCATTGTTATACCCATGCAGCACGCCCGGCAGAATCTCCGGCGGCACAACACCCCTCAAGTTCGTCGCCCCAGCATTTGCCACAATCCTCGCGTCAAATCCCGGCGCATACTTGGGCACCTCCTTACCCAGCGTATTGACAAAGATATTCTGCGCGATGGAGATGCTCAGCGCGCCACCGAGAGAGTTGAAGAACATGACGCAGGCATTGGCTGTTGGCATATCTTTCTCATTCGTCACGACTTGTACTGCGACAAAGGGGATTTGCACACCAGCTCCTGCGCCGATACCGGCGAGGATCTGGTAGCCGATCCATTGACCTGGTGGGGAAGAGACTTTGAGCGTGTACAGCATGCCTGCGCCGATGGCGAAGATGGCGCTGCCGAACCACATGAAAGGCGCGTACCAACCGACAACAGTGATGAGGCCGCCGATGACAATGGATGAGCAGGTGATGCTGACGAGGTAAGCGATGGTGCGGATACCGGATTCCTCAGCCGTGGTGCCTTTAATGGCCTGGAAGTAGAAGGGAAGGTAGAAGATATGCCTGATGATTGTTAGACTGCGAGCTGGGAACTAGAAGGTGCGGTAAAGACTTACGTGTACAAAGCCATGGACAGTAAAGTCGAGTACAAACAGCTAACCAATACAGTCCGCTGGGTAAAGACTCTTACAGGGATCGTCGCTCGGTCCTCCTGGCGCAACTGTATGCCGATGAAAACGGAGATGAGTAGACCGAAACCCAGCAACGTACCCCAGACCTTCGAATTACTCCACGCATAACTAAACCCACCCCACTGCAAGCACAAAAGCAAGCAAACAATAGCACAAATCAAGAACACCGCTCCCACAATATCAATCTTCTTCAGCCTCTCCCTGACAGGAAGATGCGAGTACGTCCTCTTGGGATTCGTGAAGAAGAAGAAGACGACAGCCAGCGACACGGCCCCAAACGGAAGATTAATCCAAAAACACCATCGCCACGACGCGCGGTCCGTGAGCGCACCTCCAAGGATAGGTCCCACGACGGATGCGATGCCAAACATGGAGGAGAGCGCCGCAATGTAAATCGCCCGTTTCCTCAACGGCACCGAAAACCCAATGATGGTCATGCCGCCCGAATACAACGCTGCAGCCCCCGCGCCCGCGACTGCCCTGCCGACGATGAACATGGGCGAACTCGTCGCCGCAGCGCATATAATGCTGCCAACCTCGAATATTACGAGCGCGAAGAGATACGTGTATTTGACGTCGAAGTAGGTGTATATCTTGCCGAAGGAGGGTTGCAGCGAGGTTGTTGTTAATAGGTAGGAGGAGCCGTACCATCCGACGTCTTCGAGGCTGTTGAAGACGGTTGTGATTTTGGGGATTGCGGTTGCGATGATGGTGTTGTCGAGGGCGATGACAAAGGTTGTCAGACAGAGGCCGACGGAGAGGATGGCGAGTTTGAAGCCGCTGAGGTACTTGGAATCGTCGTCGGGTGCGGTGGATTCATCTTTGTCGTCTGAAGTCGCAATGGCTTCGGTTGGGGTCTTTTCGTTGGGTGGGGGTTTGGTATCTGTGTTTGTTGGTGGCGAGGGGGTGTGGCCGTGGTCTTGTGTTTCGTTGGGCGCAGACTTGCTCTCGAGGCTTTTCTTCGGCTGTTCCAGTTTTGAATCATCGTCTCCAGATGTTCGTGTGTCTTCGGTACGGGGAAGGGTCGTGCCTGTGCCGACTGTCTCTTGAGTAGAATCGGTTGCCTGCATAACGGCTGCGGGTCTAGCTCAAAACAACCAAAATAAGCCTTCTGCGGGCCGCTGCAAACTGTGTGAGACCTGTCAACGGGTATCTTGTGGACCGACAAACAGTCTCGCGGCAGCGGAAAGCTGGTTTACCCAGGAAGCAAACTCCGGTAAAACGAGGCAAACGCAGGAAATGCATCGAAAGAAGCAGCAGGGCGGACCGTCATTCTCTATAGAGTCTTCGATCACGCGCCCGTAATCAAAAAGTGACCGTTTGGAGCGATGACCGTATTCTTTACGGCGTTCGTTAGCCAAGCGACCTGTCTAACGGGCATCTGCAACCGAGAAGAGGTGCAGTGGGCGCGGGACGTTGGGTTGCCGAGCTCAAGCAACCAATGAGGAAATGCGCAGGATACATCCTTGCGACGGTAGTAATCGTCGGAACTTGGGTCTGGGTATACAATCAACATCGTTTATGACTTTGGGCGTTGTTGAGCGCGGTCATGCATGCGATGTGTGTTCTGTTGTACGCAGCAAGGCACTTGAGACGCAATGCATCCCATGTCGACACTGATGACCGTAAACAATTGGTCACTATCGCGACGAACAGAGCAAGAAGAGTCCGTCGTTATGGAAGAAGGTGCGGTCTCAAGACTTCCCCACAAACCACCGTCGACGACTTGCGCATCTGGTGACCGTACCCGAGGTGGAAATCAATCGCATCGTCGAACCCGAACGCGAGCAGGGACAGCGAATGAGAACCCCTGTTGATCGTGTGTTCGCGAACGCAGATCCCTGTGGGTAGCATGGGGGACATGATTAGCCGGGTGGTGGGGTAGCTAGGGCTTTCCTTTTGTAAGAGCTGGTGCTTCAAGCTTCATCCTTGACAAACTGGGCAGCGGACAGATTGCGCAGCGGGCCGTCTCGCTCCCGTAGATGTACCACAGAAGAGAGCCATGCTGGGTGAGAAGGTCAAGACGGCGAGGGAAAAGCATGGTTTTTATGCATGTAGTAACTGTAATATATGCTGCCAAGCTTGAACAAGTGGTTGAAAATGTACAATGTAAGGATACTAGAACAGCGCAAACATCCTCCTTCTATAATCTAACTTCTCCTACACGATACCGGCATGCGGAACTTCCTACTGACGGTGATGCCACGTAGTCCATAAGATGTGCCACTGGCTGCATCCACGCTAGTCTTATGTAAAGACGAGCCGTACCTAACCTGGGCACGTACCGCAAGGAGTCTCGATCTTGACAGTGGCGAGAATCACGCCTTCATGACCGCGCGCGCACTTTCGCTGCGCGCGCACTTTCGCTGCGCGATTTGGCCTTTAGGGCACATTTGCTGGAAGATCATCTGTGTGTGTCCGCACTTGTGGGAGTAGGCATGATAGAAACACATGGCGGTTGGCGCAACGTTTAGTAATGACTGGAAGACCGCTCGATTAGATCTTTGGTATGGTCTTTTGGGATCGATAGGGCTGTGATGCTAGCCCTGAGTCTGATAGCTTGTTAGACACTAAGATACATGGAGCACGCTGCGACACCGATGTGCTTCTGCCGCATCTCTTACCTTGAAGCTGGGCAAGATAGGATCTTGATCGAAATGAGTGAATGTACGCGGGAGCAAATTGCGACAAAACGGTGATGAATGAAAGTGTTGGATAACAACGCTCAAGGGAAAGCCAGATTACCGATGATGCTACGGTGTCTCCGTCACAAACCCAAGCTCTTTATAGCATCAAGGACATCTCACTCGATGCATGATTGCCTGCTGTTGCTCAAGTTGCACGGTTTGATATCCGTGAGCAACCGAGCAATTACAAGCTTATCCGCCCGGTCAGACAAGCACAACACATCGTTATGTATGGATAAGCGGATGTTCGTCACGGGACGGGAGATGTCAGGAACGGTCCTCAGCTTACCACCGGTCACGGTAGATGAAGTCGTACATCAAGATATGAGTGTTTGAAGATTACCATCAACATCTATTCTGGCGATACTGGCTCATTGTTGATGTACAGGTGGAACGAGCGGCTCCGGGTAGGTGAGCAAGAAGAGACAGTCTGGGTCAGTCAAGTTCCACAAGCGCGTGCTTGTTGGGAGACGTTGTGCATACAGAACTATGGCCATAATTCAAACACGGTGACCCGAGATTTGCTTTCCTAAAGCAGGCAGCACCATGAAAGCCATCGTGGTAGTATGTTTGGATTGTGAATCTTATCGCTGGCCATGTACGTCCGGGTTTTCATCGACCCACCTTGCCGCCGGCTCGCATCTTTCAAGCGATGCGACGCTTGGTGTTGCGATGTTTGCGCAATGCTTGTCGTCATTTGCGGCCGTTCTTCGTCGGTATGTCCCGGTCACACGGTACTGGAATCCCAGGCGCACTGCAGCCCACTCGCTGCGGAGGATCTGTAATAAACATTATAGCGGCGTCATCCGGGGTGTCATCAAGAAGGCTGGCTATCAATAGTGGCTCTTAGCTGCCGATGACATTCGGCCAGCATTTTCGAAATTCCAGCCAATCAGCATTCGGCCACACCGCCAATCCGTGTGGAGACTTTTCGATGCAGATACGCCGCCAGATCCTGCAGATGACGAGACGATAGCTCGAGTTTATCAAGCGATACTGGTTCTCTGGAGTGTGAGGATGAGGTGTAGGGGCTCCGAATATAGTGTCGGTTCTATCTTCGCATTCGAGGCTGGGAGGTGCAGATTGCTCCACCGCCGGCCATATTGCTAAGCCTGCAGGCTACATGTTGACATGCCAGGAACATATGTCTACATCAGCGTCTCGTCAGCGTGCATCGTGCTAGTCCTCACCGTGGGGTAGAAGGCCAGAATGACAACGCAAGCGCGTGCTGTCTGGGGCTGATTTGGGAGCGCCTTGATTAGGGCTGTCGAAGCGTCTCCAAAGCGTCTCTTGCGGCAGATGGACAAGTAGAATGATGGCGTACTGTACCCCACCAAGCCGTGGGACGATGCGCTGGCAAACGGTGTGGTTCATCTGAGACGGCAGCTGAGGCACAGCCCTGCATGCGCTCGTAGGCGAGCCTTGAAAGCAGCCGTGTTGGAGAGACATTGACGTCGAGTAGGAGAATATGTTATAGTCGTTCTAGCCTCAATGCCAGCTGGCAACGCCTCGCTCGAACGACTAACGGCAAAAAGGACATGCAGCAGACGTGTGCAGTTTAGCGGAGGAGTTGGACGCTTGACACGTAGCCCACCATAGCTCGCCTGTCTGCAGATTGACGCAGGAGCTGCACCTGCGTCTCCAGAGAGCCGGATAGAGTGTGCGGGTTAATACTAGCATGCGTTTCCTTTGCGTTCGCCCTGCTGTTTCCTTTTGCGCCGTTGTCGTCGTCTTGGTGTAGTTGTCATTTTCTCATCGTCGCGCGCAACCATCGCGGGACTGCCGCTCGTTCCCTCAACACCAGGCCAAGCGTAAGGGTCTTCGCAACACCCAAAAAGGAACATCCCCACCCGCTGCCCTGAGCGCGATCGAACGGTTATCCTCGCGCGCATCTGCGAATCTGGCGTCTGTAGGAGTGTGCGCGGCCAAGTTTCGCTTCCTCGGCGTCCAAAACAGCTGCACTGACCGCTGCCACACCGCCTGCCGACGTCACGGCCCTTAAGACGGTCGCATTACCTCGTGCGCGCAGGAGGATTGAAGCTGGCCAACATCGCAATGCGCTGTCCAAGGCCTCGGATCCACCTCTCCCAGCCTCCAGCCATCTCGCAATCGACGTCTGACGTCTGTTAGCCTGTCGCAAAAGGGTCTTGCAGCGCCTCACCTCTTGCGCGTTTCCATTGGCTCCGCCATCACCCCAGTCGTCGAATAAGAGCAAGGCACTGGCCCTAAACAACGACACCGTCTCGCCCTATCCGTTTCGAGATATCCCGATCAATGTGAGCCGTTGCTCGCCTTCATCAATTGGAATCGTCGCTGACAGCTGTCCAGACAGTTCATCACTCGGCGCTCGACCGCTTCACCTTCATTCCTGCCCCAGCACTGTACACCACCTTATATACGTTGTATCATGATCGTCGCTTCCATCGTCATCGCCTAATTCAACAAATCTCCGAGTAGCGCTTCCCGACTTGGTCCATCACGAGAATCGACTTTCACCCGTACAAGGGACGTGCACGGACATCCGGTCGCTTCCCGAAACATATCAATTGGCCAGCACTTGTTGCTTCGGTGCCAGAGCCTCATCTCCAAGCAGACATCATCGCAAGGTGTCATCGGTCAGCCTGGGCCGGGCTGCACTGTGTCTGTCTTCTAGAAGATACAGCGCAACGGTCCGGGTTGGCGGTTAAGGTTAGTGGGTTCATCAATCGCGCCTTCCGTCTCTACCATCATCACTTCGCTATCACCACACCGTGGCTCGACAGCGTCACTTCAGACCCTCTGTCGTCATCTCATCTCTCCTTTCGCCGTCTCTCCTGTTCTACCTCGACTGCGACTTACGAAGCATACCAGACTAGTCACTAAATCATGGCGTCTCTGGACTTTGACCAGAAGTTCCTTGGTCGGATAGCCAAGCAGACTGAAGACACGAGTCCTTTCCTGTCCAGCGCTCTTTATCAGATTCTGGGTCTGTCGGTCCTTCTGGCCCGGAGACTCATTCGCGCCAGGAAGCTTCGCAAGCTGGACACTAGCCGAGATACACCTTCTCTCTCGACTTATCAGCACATACTATGGATGTCTCGCGAGGGACTATCTATACTCGAGCTCTATGTACTCCCATATGCTCAAGACAATCAGCATGGACCAGAGTGCAGGGTGTTGAGCGTCAAGTTGCGGGCGAGCTTCTACCACATCTTCTGTCTCTTCCACAATCAACCACCAGTCACGACAATGAACATGACAAGTACCGACCCTCGAAACCCTGCTTCACCCCCTTTGCACCTCTCACCACCAAAGCATGGGAATGGACATGGTCGTAGGGCAGATCCCCCAGGACTGTCACCCCCTTCGAAGCGCTCTGGAAAACAACCAGCATTACGGGAGCCAATCGACTCCATCCAATCCGAGAGTTCCTTCATCACGAACCCATATGCAGCAGGAGGACCAGTCGGCACACCATCACCGGGACCTACAATCAACGCGCCTCCAGGCCTCAACCCAGTGCCCATCCCACAGCCCTCCTCCTTCATACTTCCACCCCTCAACTTCGTTCCCTTAGCCAGTGGCTACTTCACGACCGCCACACAATATGCTACCTCGTTTCTTCCTGGTTCGCATCCACTACGGCTGTCGGTTGCGCTCGAGCACAGCGCATTCCTGTGGGACTGTCTACATGATCATGACGCGTCCCGGCGCGTCGCCCGACGTGCAATCAAGGACGTGTACCGCGCACAAGAGGCTATGGACGACACGGAGTTTGAAGATGCTGCTGAACTCGTAGGTATTCTGGGTCGCATGATGAAGCGCAAGAGCTGGGAAGGTACCCCACGCGTCGGAGGCATGGCGAGTCCCGAGCCTGTCCCACAGAACGCTTCGCAAACAGCTGGAAGTGCGATACCACAATCAAGCATGCCGGTCACGTCCCCTACACAACGCCCTCAGCCAAGTAGCAGGAGAGCAGCCGAGACATCGCCACTCACGGACTCTTCTATGCAGACACCCCCAGCAAGTGCTGTACGCAGTCGAGCAAACACAGCAAGCAAGTCTGTGCCTCGACAAAAGGAAAGCCAAAGCCACGAGGACACTCCCAAGTCACCACCGCGGCGGCATACCGAAAACAACAGTCGCGACACCACACCCCGTAATCGGCACGTCAGTGTCGAAAGCGGTGCGAGCACAACACCTCGGGCACCCCAGGGAGCCGGCGGTCGCTCTCCCGCCACCCCATCCACGGTCCGAACCGCGCACCGAACTTCAGGCAGCGGCGGCTCCTCAAAAGGAACACCCGTCGCGGGAAGTGCATCGACGCCGCTGACTCAAAGCGCAGCCGCCGATCCCATGCGAAACTCGCCGACGCTGCGGCGCACACCTCCGACGCAATTCTCGCCGGGATACCACGACTCGGCGCGTATCTCGCCCTCGCAAGAGAGTTCATATGCGAGACAGCAGAGGTGACTAGTAGAGACGGGTCGGGAGAAGCAGACGCAACGTAAAATGGAAGTGCAATGGACCGACTCCATGCACGAAGCCGATATCGTGTTGTTGCCCATGACACAGCCGAGCTCTGTGTCATCAACGCCTATCGACTTTGCTGGACAAACATATCCTGAGTATCCAGTCCGCTTTCGGCCATGAGTTCCAATATGCATACTCGGACCGCTTCGACAAAAGTGCCGACATGAGCGAATGCACTTCCATACATCCCTCCCCGTCGCAGATCTACGAAGAAGCTCGAGAGAGCGCATACGATACGAAGGACGTATCATCAGATCACTTATTGAGTAACCCTTTGGGGTTAACAACCTATTGTACTATACCTATTGGCGTTCTTGGATGTTTATACCTTGGTCTGGCGGTACACATATGCTTCGCCGTTTGCATTGTAAGCATACCGGATACCAAAAAAGTCGCCTACGTGTTCCTTAGCTGGGGCGGCAATACTGCATAATGTTTTTGTTCACACGTACTTTGGTGGCTGAGTTTGTATTTTCTGTTTCCTCTCTGCGCTCTAGACGATACCATGTTTGCTGGTTTGATCTCTTTGGGGGTGGGTCATTGGATGTCTTGGTGCGTATGATATGTAATCGAGAGTTTTCAACTGAGTGCGTGCGTTTAGAAAGTCGTCTAATACAAATTTTACATTGTTCATCATGACTCGCTTCTGCTGTGGCTCGTCGACTTGCCCGATATCTGCTGAGGGTAGCGCCCTGGCTGATAGTGGTAACTCAGAGTTCTCTTGCCTTCTGCAACCTTACATTGTCTTTCTCGTATACTTCAGCCGTCGTTCTACGTCTCAAGTCCCTTACTTCGCTAGCATACTCCTCCTCACCTTTGTTACCTTGAATATCGTTCTCTTCCTGTTATAAACACGCATCTTTACTCGTCTCAGACTGCGTTACAGATTTCAGGTGGGCGAGACGTCTTTGGAAGACTTGCATATTGAGTGTCTTAGCTTCGCCGTTATAAAGACTCCTTGAACATCACCGACAACCAGTGTACAGAATAGGGTTCACGAACGACCATCCCTTAGTCATCACTGTTCTTCCAATATCCACACCCGCAGCTTGAAGGATACAGCAACGCGACACATGATAAAACCACTCGATATTGTACTTTGGGGGTACCTATAGATAACCTTCCTGCGCACGATAGTTGGATACAATAGGACGGTCGACGAATCACGCGGTAGCTGTACCAGTTCGCTTTTCAGCAACGACGCGCCTCACAACTTGCTCCAAATCCTCACGTTCAAGACCCAGCCTCTCGTCCCAAAGCCCTCCCGGTCTTGAATCTCCCAGATTGACCGGACCAGTCGCCAACGCCCTTACCAATAATGGAATACCACTATAATCGCCTTTTTGGACCCTGCTGTGCCCTTCCTCCACGAAGTCTTTCGAAGCGCGCCGCTTGACTGTCCAAGCCTGGCCGTCTATCTTCTCGAGAACAGTGAGAAGATTGTTCTGACTGAGGTTGAATGACGACGTGTAGACATGGATGTTTTTCGTCTCCTCGGGGTGGTCTAGGATCTTGATAATAGCTTTCCCCACGCTCTCCAGTGTCGAAACTGTGAATTCAGTCGTACCCTCGTCTGTCAGCGTCGCAGTCTTATTAACAAGGTCAAAACCAAGATGACCATCTCTTAGAGCCCAGTCAAACCACAGCCCAGTCACAAGGCTCGTCCACTCCATCCTGTCTTCTTTCGACCGGAGATAGTCGACAGTCTGCACTTTGAAAGGAAGTATTGGGATGAATTCAACGACGCGAGGATCCTGTGTATTCGGACCATACTCGCTGGGGAGAAATCTCTTCACGCCAGCCGCGACAGCAGCGTCGATGAACCTGTTCTGGTCCCCTGTCACGGCACCGCCCACCGTGCTGATCACCACATCCTGGCCTTGCATCGCAGACTTTAATGAATCCGGGTCGTCGTAGTCTGCGCGGATAACGCATACGCCCTCAGGGAACTGAGATGATGATTGCTGCCGCGAAAGAACAGTCGTGTTGTATGGTGAGTCCAGAAGAATCTTCAAACCGACACTCCCTAGAGTTCCAGACCCCTTTCGTGATGTCAGTCCATAGCCTTGGTTTATTAGGAGATCGAACTTACCCCAATAAGCAACACATTACGATAAGTAGCCATGTCCAATTACAGAGAGATTGTATCGACGTGCGCTGTCTTCCCTGAATCTAGCGTTTCGATCGATTTAAAAGTATCGGAATGATAGCTGCTTCGGAGAGTGCATGTTGCGTATGTGCGATAACCCTTGCACTCTATATACACACAGCTCGAGTTTCCAAAGGTTTCACACGTGCTTGAGATTAGTTATTGCTGCCTTGAAAAGACTGCCTCAGGCCTATGGGAAGTCACACTTAAGTTTTAGCCTCATACTGCATTTGTCATGTATTAAGTGATCATGTAAAAGCACCGACCGATATTCGTCCTGATGATCTCTTTAGTTAAATCTTATCTGCGGGTAATTACGGCCGTAAGATCGAGAAGCGAACGAGGTGAGAAAGCTTAGCTACCACGAAGCAAGCTGTTGCTTGGTACCGCAATACGCAAGCACTGTTCAGTATGGTGTACAAGAGTTTTGTATATTGCCTGCGCTTGTTTTATATTTGCTGCGGCTTCTTATAAGTTATCTCTGCTATTCACAAACTCTCTTAAGACCCTCTTCGAATCAGAAATCAGAATCACGTAGTGATTCAAACTTGGCTACTCTCCTGAATCCACGTTCACAAAACAGGTGCTATGTTCTGGGGGTATTCTGTGTCACAGGTGCTAAAGAATTTGCAACTTTTGTCTTGGCGTCGAGTGGAGTAGCAACATGGTAAGATCCACCCCGCTTATGTATTCTTGCTTCTTCGTCTTCTTAAAGGCCGCGTCGCTCTACAAAATGAGCGTCCTGCTGCTTTCTGTATGACTTGTTCTAATTTTACGATATAAACGTTGCTTTTGGTATTGTCATCATCCAATCACAAGACAACATCGGTCGCTTAGCTCAGTTGGTTAGAGCGTGGTGCTAATAACGCCAAGGTCGCGAGTTCGACCCTCGTAGTGACCATTACCAGTCCCTCTTTTTGGTAAACTGATGTTATTGAAAACATCCCATCAAGTGAGAACGTCTTTTTTTCTTCTTTTTTTTGCTTATTTGACCTCACGATATTGCGTTGGGCTCCGCATCTCAGTAAGGTGGCTAAGACAACACTAAAGCTATAGATACCGAGGCGAACCGTATACGGATTGCTACGGCTAAGCATTAATTGATGGGTCTATCAGCTGCGAGAAGTCAGTGACTCCTGGCCAGCAATGATCCATCGTTAGACCTTCCCATGACGGTAATGTAGAGACATCATAGCTTATCCAGGGGTTTTGCCAAGTCGATGACGAGATGTTCGATGAACCAGCCTCAGCATTGAGTAAAGCGTCTCCTGCCAATTGATCTTCAAAGACACTACCGTTCAGAGGCTGAGTAAGGGAGAGTTGATCCACAAATGGTCCATGTAAGGTATGATCGAGATCGAGTTCCGTGTTCAAAAATAACCTCCGTGACGATTCTTGCATTGGATTGCGGCAGTGCCAAAGTCTTTCCAACATCTCACTATAGATATGGCAGACGTGAGTGCCGGTCGTGGACGCTTCCTTCATGGTTGAAATCAGACGTGAAACGAGGCCATTGATTGCGTTTAGCTGTGTCTTAACGTTGCTCACGTTGAGGTTTACTACCTTGTGCAGAAACACAGCTGCGTAGACTGCGTAGCTAACAGTTTGTTAAGTGAGGTATGGTAATGTAACGAGGTCGGACAACTTACAGAAAAAAACGCGATGGAAGGTATTGCACTTCGCTGTGCGGGTCCAAACTTGTCAATCTTTCGAGCAACTTTGTCGCCGCGCGAATCGCACCGTTGATGTAGAGCCCATCAGGCAAAGATAGGGTGCTTCGATGGAATCCTTCTTCCAAGGATATATCATTGGTGGCATGTGTTTTGGGATGCGACCTTGGGTCCTTGACTGATCGTGCGACAACGGCCTGGAATGAAAATGCGTTTACGTACAGACAGACGTACTCATAAGTTATAAAGACTGAGTTTGGTACCACTGATGAATTGTCCAGTCGTCGCCACGTAGTCATCCACATTGCTGCAGCACCCAGAAAGTCATCTAGGTACCGAGCGTAATCGCCATCTTTGATAAGAGCCTGAGTCCGTTCTGCGGAAGCGTACAAGATCAGATGGGCGTTGTACAAAATCTGTACAAGGTCCAGATTGGCTTGCAAGATCGCGGAATGATCATATAAATCTCCAGATCTAGGTTTCAGACTGGGGAAGTCATCCGCAGTAAATTGGGAGGACAGAGATGGCCCACGAGACCAGAACGATTGCCCCAGGCGGACTGATATATGGCGGTCTGCGAGATACACAACTAGGACCACATCAGCAGCTTTCTGGTACGGAGATGACATACTTACAATGCCAAACTAGTCGCTCCTGTTCGCTCTGCTCTTGTGTGGTGTAATCGCGAGATTTGCGGAAAGCCCCTCTGTCTAACCGAAGCATATAACCTTGTCGTATGGCGAGGCCTACAAGTGACCACGCACGCCTGTCTTCGGTGAAAAGATTGCCAGGCACTTCTTTAGTCTTGAGCTTAGATTCAATGTGAGGTAGCCACTCCGCTAGAACCAAGAGGCCTTCGACCGTGCGGGGTGTTTGAGTTGAGGGACGGGCTAAAAGTACCTCCAGTAGCAGTTTCTGAGCATGTTCCCAACAGTATCGATGTACGAGTACATGCTGCGTCGAATCTCGCGACGCAACAGTCAACAGCACTGTGAGAAGAAAGTGTTCGGATTTCCTAATCTTTTCTATGACCATCGGTGAGTGGAGCCATGCTGGAACTATAGGATAATGAGGATGATAGGTCTTTGTATATCTGATTCCACATCAGTCAATCAAAACAACGGGATAGGTGTCAGGCCTGGCTGACGATATATACTATCCTGCACCATGATCAGTAGTTCACTGATCATACGTACCTTTTTGGTTGCATGGCGTAGTGGTGCAGGGCTGCGTCCTGACAATAGGCTTTCAAGAGTAACTGACTTTTGCAATAGCTCAAGGATTACGCCCATCTGCAGTATCCCCGTTGTTAGCAACTCGAACTCGTCGAGCGTAATCGACCCATTTTTAGTCGCTTGCATGCTGGGCGCCGCTGACGTTGCATCGTCGGCTAAAGTAGGGGTCGAAGCCAACAGTAAACGCTCGTCTGAACGTGCCAGTATCTCGAGCGCGTCAGACGGGTTCCTTAATTCAACTTCTATCTCTTTGCTTGACTCAAACGGTTCTGGCAAGCTTCGTGCACACATCGTAGATTGGTCGGTATCCAGAAGCGTCGGAGATGGTCCAGAACTTGTAGCAGTACTCTCATTCTCGTGCACTAGCGCTTCTGAGATGTCTGTTGCATCATCGCGAGCAGTTCGCGTAGCTTTATTCCGTCTTTGGCCTCGTCTCGACTGCACGAGGACACAATCGTTGCCAGAAAGGTGACATGATCTGCAGGGCGGTTCCTTTCGGCCACTTGAGCCGTCAAGGTCACACTTTGTCTTGCGGTGACGGCAGCGTAGACATGCACGGAAGGATCGTTTACCGGTCGATGTGGTCATCGCTATCTGTTGCTTGTTGGCACTGAATAATGTGATGGCAGGAGCGATGATGAGGATGAGGGTACGAGATTGGCTGCACCGGCTCTCGGCTATGGTCGGTTACGTCGCCATGAGACTAGTGCGTTTCTGCTGCCCTTACCGTTCCACGTGCGCCGTCGCTAAATGTCCGAACACAATCTCACAAGAGCACCATTCGTCCCATCATAGATAGCCTTCGGCTTTGGGGATCGACGGAGGTTTCATGGACAAATTCACGGCACTTCGCCTGCATATGAGAGCTGTGTGCATGAGCGAACACCAGCACATGTTGTGCATATCTATAGTCGGTTATGGATCAAACATGTGGTGGATACAGTTGATCGGCAATGGCAGGCGTCAATCAACCATTGCTAAAGAGACTGAAGCCTCACAAATATAAGATCTAACACCTGTAAAACGAAACAAAGTATCATTCAAGACTAGACAACACATCAAGTTCATCAGCTTTCAACATGTCAGCCACGATTACCGAAAAGACTATCTCTGTTCCGACCCTTCAAATTAGAGAGCTTAAGAACGGCTTCGGTGTTGAGGTTCGAGGGCTTGACCTTAAAGATGGTGCCTCTGATGAGACTTACCGCCTTCTTCAAGACCTCTTGACGAAGGTGAGCGCCATGAAAACATTTTCATGGCTTCTTACTTACTATATGTGCAGTATGGTGTGGTCGTCTTACGCCAGACAAACTTGACCGACTCGGCCCACATCGCCTTGGGCCGTAAATTCGGCGAACTAGACGATGTGAGGCCCTACAATAAGGCCGGCCGTAGGAATCGTCTTGATTATGACGAACTCTTCGATGTCGGCAACATCGAAGCGGACAACACCCTTGTCTCTCCGACTAGCCCACGCGCGCAGGCAAACAAAGGCAACAGCTACTTCCACGTTGACAGTAGCTTCAACCCACGCCGAGCAGGCTACTCCTTGCTACTGGCTCACGAGTTACCTCCCACTGGCACAGGCGGTGCGACAGAATTCTGCGATACGAGGGCGGCTTGGGATGACCTTCCTCGTAATGTGCAGAGTGAGCTGTTGGCTAAAGACCTAGTCGCTTGCCACTCGATTCTGCATTCAAAGAAGTTAGCTGCCCCTGAGCACTTTGCGGGTATAGAACCTGCTGATCATCCTATGGGTCGTCATAAGCTTGTGCAGCGTCATGAAGCATCCGGACGTACGAATTTGTATCTGGCGATGCACATCCACCACATTGAGGGTTTGAAGCCAGAGGAGAGCCAGGAACTATTCAATATGCTATTCGAGCATGCTACCCAGGAGAAGTATAGAGTGGCTGTGGAATGGCATGATGTCGGCGATCTGGTCATCTGGGATAACACTTGTACCATGCACCGTGCGATGGGAGGACCTTTTGCATACAAGTATCGTAGGGATATGAGAAGAGTCACAGTACACGATAATAGTAGCCAAGCATGGGGTCTGAATGACAAATCAGGCGTAAGACAAGGTCTTCCCTAGCTACTCACTGTTATAGTAGGAGAACTATGGGTCGATCAGTCCGGTTCAATGTTCATGGCCACGGTGGTAGCTATAATCGAATGCAGTTCCTTTGCTTCTTGGATGCATGCGAAATCTTCTCTTTTAGAAAACAATGGAAGGGGAAATGCGTAAAGGCTGGACAATTATGATGAACTTATATTAATCAGCTGCAGAGGAAGCGACGAAAACAGAGCAACGCTCAGTTCGCAACAATAACGATGTTTCCGTACGCTTGGACTTTGCATTTGCATTTTCCTCATCTATGCGGTTCTAGTGGCAAGCTGTGCACATGCACGTAACTAAGATTAGGGTTGGGGTAGTTACCAACAAGCGCAGAAAATACGAGGTATGACCGAGCTTTACAAAGCAAAATCTTTCAAGCGCCGGTAAAGGTCGGTAATCGGAGCTTGCCATCACCGATCCATTTCGTTCTCGTTCTAGCGCTGGGGTTCGTCAACTACGATGACTAGTCTTGTCCCACTCCTTCGCTTTCTAAGCTGCCGCCTCTGCTCTGTTATTTGCTTGAGTCGTATATTCTACTTCTATCGGAGTAATTGTTGACCCGAGTCTGCTCGTACTCATTTGCACAATCCGCGCTTCGTCTCTTACTATGTGTGGAGGCACGATATATAATGTCCACATCTTCACCCATTTCCGGTCGCAACAAACCGAAGCAAGCCTACCAACTATTTGACCCTCATCTATTTACTCACTATGTCGAGCAAGAAGCCCACTCTCGTAGTTTTAGGTGCCACTGGCAACCAAGGAGGATCAGTTCTTTCACACTTTCTTTCCCTCACGCCGTCCCCATATGCACTTCGCGGTGTCACTCGGGACGTAACCTCTACAAAAGCCGCATCTTTGTCAGAACGCGGAGTCGAAATGGTAGCAGGAAACTTCGATGAGCCCGCCTCACTCGACGCTGCGTTCAAAGGGGCATCTGCCATCTTTAGCGTGACGGACTATTGGATTCTTTACGGATCCCTTTTGGTACGGCAGCAGTCTACCGCCAACGACCAAAGCACGATGCTTCTCGCGAAGGAAAAGGAAATTCAACAGAACAAGAACATCATTGATGCTGCGGCCAAAGTTGAGACCTTAGAAAGGTTCATCTTTTCTAGTCTGCCCAACACCGAGAAACTCAGTGGTGGAAAATACTCCCACGTACATCAATTTGACGGAAAAGCTATCGCTGAAGAGTATGGGAAAACGACTTATCCGGAGCTCTGGAAGAAGACGAGTGTGCTCTATGCGGGCTTCTTCCTGGAGAACTACCTCAAGCCTGATGCAAGCGCATATCGTCCAAAGCTGGTATGATTACAACACAAGTCCTGTTTCTGACAGAAAAGAGCACTAACTTGTTGTTAGGACAATACTAACAATACACTGTCTTTGGGAGCCGTTGGCACGGTACATCTTCCCATGTTCTCGGCGAAGGCTAATACCGGGCCTATTGTCCACGCCCTCATCCGCGAGGCTGCTGGCCACAAGGTTATCGCTAGTAACACATGGCTTACTTTCCAAGATTTTGCGAAAATACTAGCCAACGTTCTCAACAAGGAAATTGAGTTCACCAACGAGCAGCCGAGCTTCAACATAAGTGATCCAGAGCTGGGACAGAATTTTGCGGATATGATGGGGTGGTATATAGAGTTTAACTACGACGGCAGCAAGGTTGACAAGAGCGTGATACAACCCAAGGATCTTGGTGTTGAATCGCACCTAATGTCTGTAGAAGAGTGGTGCCGTAAGCAGGACTGGGAAAGAATTCTGGATGTTGTTTAAACAGATTGAATATAATGCCGTTATTAGGTATATGAAATTTTCCTTTAATCTAAATTATTGCTATAGAACTACGCTGTCACCTCTTCTAGTTTTACGTAGCAGTAGTTTGGAATAAGTGTAGTCGACTCATGACCTTGAAGTGACGCGATTTCTCCATCAAGCTCTACAAACTTGAAATTCCAGAAGAGTAGTGTGACAAGCGTTCGCAGCTGTATGTATGCCAGCCTCTTCCCGAAACATTGCCTGGGCCCAAATCCAAAGGACTGCATAGGCCCAGCTGAAGGATCAAATTTTAGCCTCCCAAATTCCTCGTCCAATTTCAACCATCTATCTGGGTTGTACAGATGTACGTCTTCTGGCGACCAGTCAGGACGTCTTTTAGTGATATTAGACTTGGTTCGTAGATCCTCCGGAACAGGTATGGCCGGCTCATCCAGTCCAGGTCCACTAGAGGGCATGAGAATGGTAGTCCCTTTCGGAATTCTGTACCCCATCATCTCAGTATCAACTAGAGTAGAGCGTATGAGAGCAGGAAAAGGCGGTCGCATTCGAAGTGTTTCCTCAACAATCGCGTGGAGGTATGGAATGTCGGCACCTGCAATCTCTTCCTTCGTTGGTTGTCGACCTGCCTGGTAGGCTTCCGCATGGTATTGACGCAGATTGCTGCGCAATTTGTCTTGCGCATCTTGATTCTGAGCAAGAAATTTCAGAGTCCAGGTTATAGTTGTCGCGCTAGTTTCATGCCCGGCTTGGTAGTAACCAGTTAACTACGGGAAAGGTTAGCAAAACATGCCAAGTTCCATGGGTTTCAAGCCAGGAACCGACCTCATCGAAGATACCGTTTCTGAAGTAATCCGGTTCGATACCCTTACTATCCGCCGCTTTTCTCTCGCGCTGTACCATATGATCCAGGACAGATGTTATGGACTTGTTTTCCAAACGGGAAATAGATTTCTGTATTTCCATCGCATCGAATCTTTTCACCCAAGCGTAGGATTGACGCAATACCTTATCTTTGAGTAGACAATAATAGTGCATCGTGTTTGGAAACGCACTTAGAACCTGTTCGCCGATGTGGTGAGACAATCTCTCCAGGCCCTTGATGTGAGCAAGGTCTGGTCAGTGTGGGAAAACAACGCTGTTGAATTTCTCGTCGAATTGCAACGGAAGTTCTCCATCGAACGACTCTAGATATTTCAGCTGTTGAACGATAGCGCTGTTTTCATCGTTCACTGCAATAGCTGCCGCAAGGATCATATCTGAAGCAGCGCTGAATATGTCTTCGAAAGCATCAAATGCCCGGCCGTGAGCATGTTCATGCTTGAATTTCCACAAGCTAACTAGATTGGTAGATCGCATATAGATCTGTGGAGAAGACACCTTTTACTGTTTTTAGAACATTCGTAAATTGTGAGGAAGACTTCCAACTTACATTTTGCAGGAATGTTGGTGTCATAGTATCCTTCAACAAATCCTTGTTTGCGCTATATCTTGGGTCTTCTTTTTCAAGGGCAACATGAAACTCAGGTACCACATATCTAAAGGACTGCGTAAAGTCCCGACCTCGACCGAAATCTTTAGCCCTACGCTGCGTAAGGTTTTCGATCTCAGTGAAGTCGGTCAGCACCAATGCGGGCTTTCTGAGAGGACCTAGCCAAACTTGCGCCAGAGGACTGCTGAGGCGGCGACAGTAATCTGTCATATAAAGGATCGGTCGGCCATGAACTTTCTGCCAGGATATGAGTTCTGGCAAGTTCCCGAATATACTGCGTGCCACTTTCTTGTCATAGGGAATGCCAGGAATGGGTTTAGGCAAAGCCCAGCGGTATATGAGAAAACTCACAGCCGCGAGAACAAGAGCGAGTGCAGCATACCCTAAAAAGGAATCAGAGAGCAAGAAATGAGATTTGAAATATGTAATCATTGCAAGTATTCAATATGATATCGTGGTGAGACCAAAAGAGTAGAACAAAATGTTGAAGGATTGATAAGCTCTTAGAGCAACCGCGGGATTTAAGTGTTATATATCTCCGGTTGCTATATCCTGTCATTTGTTTGTGCCCAATGCTTCTATTTCTCGTCCGATCAACCACGCACGATGTGGTCTACTGATCAGATCACTATAGGATTTCGGCTCTTCGGAATTGCTTATGCCGATGATACAGGGAGAATCGTGTTGGACTAATGTGACCCATCGGCCGTTGACTTCGCCGATAAAATGCTGACGTTGTACAATTGCGTACAACGTTGTACACAATTTGTACAAGCTAGTACGAAGATCGGTTTGAGAGTCCTTCCTCGATCCTTACTAGTGTACTCCATTGGCGAGTCACTCATTGAGTGATCCACCGAAACGTACCACTAATTCTACTGAAACCATTCTTGTTCTCAGGCTCCGCGCGTGCGAGCATCATACATGGTGTCGACAGAGTTGTCTACAATCAAGCCAATCAAGCTTTCCGGCCAATACGGCTTGACCGATTGGCTTGGCAGCTTAAAATCCACGAGCTTGATTGGCTTGGTTAATAAAATTGATAGAATTGAATGGCCAAAGCGTACTCCGATCTCGCATCGACGTCTTCTGGATAACAGCAGTGAATGTCTGCCTCAAAGATTTGCTTGCTCTGTTAGGCGATAGGCAGCTCATCAGCGCATACTAGGTTTTGCTACAAAGTATTGACAACGACGTCCTTGTAGAGGTAGTAAACTGGAGGTAAGATGATCTTGCTACGAGGTGAGCTGGAGGGTGTCGGATTCTTGATCTTACATTAACGATCTGAGACTTGAGATACAAGCTATTCCTCTATCATCTCGGTTACGGTCACCAGGTGCTAGTTCCCGGCTTCGGTCTCAATCGCATATCTAAACAGTCGGAAGATCACGCAAGTGGCGCAGGCCAACCCCAGGACTGCAGCGGTGTCATGCTGATCGAGTTCCTCATAAGTACCTTCACGTTCCATACTATTGGACAAAGTCCCTGATAACGTCTGCCACGCCTGCAAGATCCTCGAAAACATGCCAATGACCCACATTCTCCAAGACTCGCAGGCTCGCTTTTGCATTCATCTCTGCCTTGAACTTCTCACACAATTGTGGCGGAGAGAGGTAGTCCTCGGTTCCGGTAACAAAGAGAGTGGTTGCTTGTACTGCAGGGAAGTCAAGACCATGTGCATCACCAAGCGCTGTCAAAGCTTTTGCGTAGCCCTCAGGATCCTGGCCAAGCAGCAGCATCCTTATTGCTGCCATCGCCAGCGGATTCGACGTCTTAGTCTTCTTTGATGTAGTCAGGTTTATCCTTTCGTCGATGTCACATGCGATTCCAGATTCACGCACCCTATCGGCTAGCTTATACGCATCAATAGTGGTGGCTTCGAGCGGTGTGAGCGGAGGACCGAGCAGGATCAACTTTCCGACCTTTTCCGGATGTGCTAATGCGAACTTTACGGCGACTAAGCATCCTATGGAGTGCGCCACGATAGTGGCGTTAGATGGGATGTCTTCTACTTCGAACAAGCCACTCAGGTCCGCGGCAAAGGATTCGATGCTGAGTCTGCTGAGTGGCGATGTTGGTGTTAGGCCATGGCCCTCAAGATCAAATACCCATAGCTGATGCGACATGGTGATATCCAGTGAATGGATGAGTGGTCTGTAATACTCTGAGCTTCCTCCTAGTCCATGCACAAAAACGACCGGAGGGCCTGAGCGACTTCCCAGATTCTTGTAATAGACGGGCTTGTCATGGACCTTTGCCAATAGTCTGGAATCCACGCTCCCGGTCGGATCTTTTCGATGCATGTGGGTAACATCCGCCACGCGACTCGCGATAGGACTGTTGTCTCCCAAATTCCCAATGCAATTCGTCAAAGTACCTAGACCGGTTACCGATACAGCCATAGTGTCTCCAGGTTTGAGATAGACAGGGGGCTTCATTCCAATCCCAACACCGGCGGGCTTTACCATAGTCAGCTAAGAATCTCAGTCACATCTTTCATGAGGCTCAAACTCACAGTACCCGTAGCAAGGACGTCGCCCGGCATCAGTGTTTGTCCTTCCGACATGGTCTTGATCAGAAACGGAATTGAGAAGATCAGATCTTCCGTGGTTGCGTCTTGTCGCAGCTCGCCGTTTATGTGCGTTTGAATTCGCAGTATTCTTTCCAATTTCGACGCAGGTACAGCGATTGGACCCTATGTATCTTCAGTACTACTCGGCAATACGATATGAGCATTGAATACCATTGGGCAGAACGTATCGGGCGACTTGCCGATGTAAAACTGCTTGTGGTCTCTCTGCCGCTCACGCGCCGTGATGTCGTTCACGATAGTATAGCCCCACACATGGCTCATCGCATCTGCTTCCGAGATACGGCAACCGGCTCTACCAATGACTACACCAATCTCACCCTCATAGTCAACGGTTTTCGTGAATTCTGGGTGAGGGTAGACATTCTCCCGGTCTGCAATGATCGACGTGTAACGTTTGGTGAAGATCACAGGATGCGAAGGAGTATCTACTTTGTCTGAGCTATCAAAACCAGAGCTGTTGAACTCCTTCGCATGTTCGGCGTAGTTCTTGCCTACGCAAAGGACGTCTCGGCTTGGGAAGGGAGGAAGGATCTTGACCGATGAAGCGGGTAGTGGTTTGCCAGCGGCGACAACGTTGAGCTCACCAACTTCGACGACTTGATAGAGATCGCTCAGTAAAGTTCCAGATATGAAGGCCAAAGGCTGGATAGTTTTGTCATCGAAGTCGTAATGTCCGACGCGGCTCCGCCCAGTACATGTATCTCGATAGGAGATATAGTTGGTAAGCGAAACGTTCTCGTTGGCTAGATCGGACGCAGCCATGTTGACGAGTTGTGTGAGGTGCAGAGGAGTAGGTTGTTGTTAGGTACTGCAGTTGCTACCACAGTAAGGAAGGTGGGGGTTGGGAGGGCGGATATAGCGGAAATAAGAACGCAAGGCGGGGCAGGCTTCCCACATGAGATCGCGAAGATTGCTTGCAACCTCGACACAGATCTTCCTACGCTTATACTACAATGCATAATTGTGCGGTCATTTCTCGCCTCGTCTTCTGTCAGTGCTATATCATGTCTCGCCGAAATTGTCAAAATCTTGGCTGGATTCCTGAATCCAATACCCCAACTGCGTACCAAGTGGATCAAGATCCATGCCACCGAAGTCGGCCCATGGCTGACTTGCTAAAACAGAGGGTTCGTTGGTGAGATTTATGCTCCCGTTCCACATCCCATCACGATCATGCCATGACGGTAGCCCTCCTAATGTGTTCGGCAATCCCTCCAGTTCTGCGTCCTTCGCGCTGCTTGATAACGGGCCAGATGGACAGGAGCTTAGCTGCATCTGGGCCCTGATTTCACTGTGCACTAAAGCCAGCTTGTGCAGCGCCCTGAATATCTCCAGTTGCTTTGTGCATGATGTGTATTCTGGCTTTTTTGCGAGCGACGCTAGAGCATCAACATAAGTCTTCAGACTTTCAAGGTCTGCGAGATTGGCAGTCTCAATGACGCTGCAGAAGATGATGTTGTAAGGCACGAACGGAAAGAGAATTAGTCCCCCATTGACCCATAGCTCGAACGGAGCAGGATCGTTGTTGTAGCTGACGAGCAGTGCGATACACTGAGTATGCTCACGGAGGCTTATACGAGCAGCGGCTATGCATTCGGAAGAAACCTTCGTTGATGGCTTGCTGAATGCAACACGGTAAATGGCGACAAGAAGCAGGTAATCAGTGGCTCTGGTGGCGTGCTGTGCGAATTCAACTGGCATCAATTCTCCGATTGTGCCACGCGAGTCTTCATCCCATCGGGCCTGAGTGTTTCAGTCAGCATGAACCAATGAAAATTAGCTGGCCCAGTATACCATAGAAGATTCTTTCGAAGCGATTAGAGCACGCCATTCTGCAGCAATGGCTTGACCGCGTGTTGTCCGATGCGTTGCAGGGAGCGCAAGTGCGCCCGGACAGAAAAGGTCATCATATGCGCTGCCATGAAGCCTTGACATCTCGACAGCATGTATCAAGCTTTGTCTGCTCGAAGTAAGGCCTTGAAGGGTGGGGTACTGGTCCGGCTTCGGTATCGTAATGTGCCCATCACGCATCGTCGAAGGACGCCCGAGCCTGAGTGCTGTGGGTCGCTCGATGCAATAAGTTGACCAGAAGAGACAAAAGCGCCGATGCCGTTCTTCAGAAGCAAGTCCAGACGACGAACTGTCTTGATGCAGGCCCAGCGCTTGGCCGAGCATGGCGGCTTTGTTGATGAACGTCCAGCAAGCGTAGATTTTGCCTTTTTGAAGACAATATACAGACTAGGATTTGAAAGTTGTATATTAGTGACATCTTTCAGGGCTCAGAAATTCAAGTGGGGACTACTCGTCTTACCGCTAAGTTCATGGCCAGAACGGCATCGACTGTTGTGGGTAACCAAAAGTTCAATGTCGACAACACTGTCTCGAGGCTATTTTGGCATAATCTTGCTTGGTCTTTGAAATCCTCTCGGGTAACAGGAGATGCCCATGTTCCGCACATGTTGAACATCCAATACAGTCCAGAGAGGGCAATGATGAGTACGACATCGGTAATGGGCCCAGGAGAACAAACTTGAACGATGATGAGGGTAAAATCGCCGAATGACATTGTCTCTCCCAGCCAGGGGACTGTGGTGGTCCCGTGATCTGAAGTGTTCGTGAGCTGATATGTTCACATGTCGAGTAAAGATCATGCAATCCTGCGAATACCTTGAACCATTCTGAGACATGCCATGACATTTTCTATGGTTGGAAGAGGAAGATCTCTTAGAGTCATGCCCGGAGGCAATGTTTTTGCAAATGGTGGACCTTCATGGAGGCTGCTATGCCGACTTTGAGACCGTAAAACGTCTTGCAAAGTCTGACGAGATAGTCGAATGTCAGCGGCAGCGGATGACTGGTCTCCAGTATCCTCATGATCTAGGACTGTCTCGAGTAAGTCGGCCACCTGGATCACATTTAGGAGCAAGGAAATGTCGATGCCCTCATGATCGGGAGTGGATGTTTGGGGTGGTCGTGACGATTTGCTGGTCGCATGTAGATTGGCATTCATGGTACTGAGTTGTGAAAGATCTCGATCTGGCCGCACTTCGAGCCGCTGCACGAGGCGAGCTAAGTCGTCAAGCTTTTTGGTTATATCTTCGATCCTGCTTTCACTGATGAACGTCAGAAGTCAAACCTAATCAACGGCTCGAACCATACCATCGGGCAGTCACGTACTACAAGCTTGAAACCAAAATCCGCTGTCGCTTCGCTCGATTCTGAATTTCTGGAAATGTGCACTGGAGAGATGCTCGAAGGCATTGGTTGCAGGGGTCTTGGCGATTGCACTTGATCTAGAAGCACATACGTCAATATCCTGCACGAATGGTATTTCTCTTTTGTTCAACGAGACTAACTTTGCGTCTACGGCATCTATCACACTAATGACTCCAATTAGCTCAGTACATTCGGAGACTCCTGGGTGTATGTTCAAACCCTGACGTACAGCGACTTTCGAAACAGGACCTTCCAAACTTTGTGTGGTCTTGTTCTCTTCATCATTGCTAATTTCGTCATGTTCGGGAAGCATCTCCTCATCGCTCATTTCCGCAGATCGTGAGGCTGGTCGTAGAGTCATGCTGGCGGCGATAGCGGCGGGCTCCACAAACTCGGGGTTAGTAAGAGGCGCAAATTAGTGGGCGCAGACCAGCTACGCGCTGGAATGCAATCAACGCAAAGTCGTGCGTTACGGTGGCTAACCCTTTCCCCAGCAGCGATTCGGGCGACAGGTCTCCGTGGTCCGGACTGCAGATGTAGAAGAGCAAAGAGATGACCGCTAATGCTTATGTGACGCTAATGTCACGTGATCAATGACGCGGACGTGCGGGCCGCTCAGGGTCCGCATGCCGCTTGTCTTTCCCTACTCTCGCTCTGCGGCGTGCGGCCTCTTCATGTCCGCTACTCTACCAAGTGCATAACAACACGCGCGCAGTACTCCTGGGTTAACTAACGCGACTCGAACGCCAATATAATAATTATTGAAAAGCCCGACAACATGACTACCAGTCCTGAACTTACAAGCAGCCTTTGTACTACAAATTCCACTCGTTTTGTTCTCTTAACATATCCAACTCTAATAGATCTTCACGGCCACTGCAAAACGCATCCCCCTGCTCAGTACAATTCGCATGACGATGTCAGAAAAGCGGAAACAATACGCAGTCCGAAATCATCTCTCTTCTGACAGGCAACTCCCCCCAACCGAGAAAAAGACACCGTCAGCATTTGCTGCATTTTTTCGGACATTCACCTACGCCACATCGAGTCATTATGTTTTGTTGGGAATTTCGATCGTAGCCGCAATTACCGCAGGCGTTGCGCAAGCCATGGTCAACGTGGTCATGGGTGAGTTCGTGCGATTGCTGGGTAGCGTTGGCACCGAGGGCTTCTCTGATAGCTACATGAGTGCGGTCAGCACAACTGCGTACGTAGAGTACAACTCTTCTTCCAAGATTCAAGTTTGAATGCTGATAGTAGAACCTTCAGTCTTTACTTCGTTTATATCGGCATTGTCAGACTGGCTTCCATCTATCTGTATGGCTCCTTGATGACCTACGTTGCGTATCACCTAGTTCGAGCCATTCAGCACGACTACCTGCAAGCAGCTCTTCGCCAAGAGGTCGGTTTCCATGATCAAGGTGTCTCCGGGTCAATTTCCACCCAAGCAACGGCAAACGGCCTCATGATTCAGTCGGGTATCTCAGAAAAGCTCGGTCTAGTTGTGCAGTCCGTAACCACCTTCGTTGCAGCCTTCGTCATCGCCTTCGTCGCCCAGTGGAAGCTCACCTTGATCTTGATCTGCATTATTCCAGCATCCATTCTACTCGTTGGTGGAGTCAGTACGTATGATACCATCAACAACCGCGAAGTGTTCAAGGTCTACTCGGACGCTGCGAGCTATGCTGAGAACATCCTAAGCGCCATGCGAACCGTCAAAGCTTTCAATCTGCAGTCTAGGACGTTAGCAAGGTACAAAAGCTACATAGATATGGCTTTGAAACTCGGAAATAAGCGTAGCAAGACTTCTGGAATAATATTCGGTGGCCAATACTTCGTTGTCTTCGCAGGCATGGGCTTGGCATTCTGGCAAGGCTTCAGTATGATATCCCGTGGTGAGGCAGATCTCGGAACTGTTTTTACGTACGTACCACCCCTCCCATGCGAAGTTGGCGTCGAGTCTTGATTGACATGGATCACCAGAGTACTTTTCTCCGTCATCATCGCCGCTTCGACAGTTATGTTGACAGGGCCAAACTTCGTTACCTTCGGGCGTGCTGCGTCTGCGGCGATTGATCTATTCGAGCTCATGGATAGGAAGTCTAGAATTGACTCATTGGACCCCTCCGGCATAGAGCCTGCGGCGTTGATAGGTGAAGTTGAGCTAGAATATGTCAGGTTCAATTACCCGATGCGCCCTGATACCATGGTTCTTCGCGATTTTTCGCTCAAAATCCCTGCTGGTAAGGTGACTGCTCTCGTTGGTCCTAGCGGCTCGGGCAAGAGTACTATCATCGGTCTTCTTGAGCGATGGTATGATCCAACATCAGGAAATATCAAGATCGACGGCCATGTTACCTCAACCTTGAATCTACGATGGTTACGAACACACGTTCGACTCGTTCAGCAAGTAAGTACTGTCGTGTGATCACACCTTCTAGCTGATGTGCTGACGGAATAAGGAACCTGTACTCTTCAATGGCACGGTCTTGGATAATATCATCCATGGCCTTGTCGCTACCAAATGGCAGCACGAGCCTCGACAGAAGCAGATTCATCGAGCTGTTGACGCTGCAAAGCTAGCTTTTGCCCACGACTTTATCATGCAACTTCCCAATGGTTACGACACTCGTGTTGGAGAAAGAGGCGGACTACTCTCTGGTGGCCAGAAGCAGAGGGTTGCTATTGCTCGCAGTTTGATCTCAGATCCTCGTATCCTCCTGCTAGATGAAGCCACCAGTGCACTTGACCCAACTGCCGAAACCGTCGTCCAGAAGGCGCTCGATAGTGCTGCACAGAATCGCACGACAATCGTCATCGCACACAAACTTTCAACGGTCTGCAATGCCGACAACATCGTGGTCATGTCCAAAGGCGAATTAGTTGAGCAAGGCACTCATGCGGAGCTCCTGAACCGCGGTGGGATGTATGCCAAACTCGTACAGGTGCAGAGCCTGTTGCCAGTTCAGAATCAGCTGCTGAACATCAGAGATACACCCTTGGAAGAAATCGAGAAACAAGACGTTCTCGCTCAAACAGCTGTGTCTCTGGACAGGCCAGATACCGCCGGCCCACATGACCACGGCAAGGTTGGCAAGAAAGAAGACTCACAGTCATCTAGGGAGGTTGGCCTGCTCCGCAGTTGTTGGAAACTAGCAAGATTGACTCCTGAACTGCGCCGATGGTACATTCTGGCAGGAGCTACATGCGTTGTCGGAGCTGCGGTCAACCCAGGTCAAGCCTTGTTATTGGCTCAGCTTGTGCAACTCATGGGGAATGATGATCCTACACCGAAGGCCAATTTTCTGGCTTTGATGTTCCTGGTTCTCTCACTAGGCTGCCTGTTGTGCTACTACACTTTGGGCTGGGCCATGAACGTAATCGCGAATACCTTGAGCGCCAGGGTGCGATCCGGCATGATGGAATGTCTTCTCTACCAGGATTCAAGGTTTTTCGACTTCCCCGAGAATACTGTCGGCTCCATGACTGCTAAGCTCGATTCTCACCCACAGGCTGTACTCGAGCTGATGGGTATCAACATCTCTTTCTCCGTTATCTCGATCGTCAGCGTTGTCGCATGCTGTATTCTCTCCCTCGCCACGTCCTGGAAGGTTGGAGTTGTCGGCATCTTTGTTGGCCTCCCCCCTCTCATCCTGTCCGGCTGGCTGCGACTGAAGCTGGAGAAGCGTTTGAACACGATAATCAACACTTCTTTCAGCCAAAGCGCATCAATAGCATCGGAAGCAGTTCTCGCTATTCGAACTGTGTCATCTCTTGCCATCGAAGAAGATTTCTTGCAGAGATATACCACAGCACTCGATTCGGCTATTCACGTATGCACACCGCATCTGTTCCATGTCATGATTTGGTTCGCGCTCACTCAAGCCGTCGAGCAATTCGTTCTTGCACTGGGCTTCTGGTGGGGATCAAAGCTGGTCACTGCTGGCGAGATCAGCTTCTATCAATTCATGGTCTCATTCATGGCGATATTCTTCTCTGGAACCTCCGCGGGAACGCTACTCAGCTTTTCCGGTAGCTTCACTAAAGGTCACCAAGCGGCGAATTACTTCTTCTGGCTATCTGAACTGCAACCAGTCATAACTGAAACGAACGATAACAGAAGTATTGCACCAATGGAGAGCTGCATGGCATATGAACTGAATGACCTGCAATTCTCTTATCCACTTGTGCCAGACAGTCAAGTTTTGAAGGGCGTCTCGATGACCATTCGACGTGGTGAATTCGTGGCATTTGTAGGCGCATCAGGATGCGGCAAGAGTACCATGATCGCTCTTCTCGAACGCTTCTACGATCCGACAAGTGGTAGCATTATCGTAGATTCGCAGCCCCTGCAAACGATGAGCCCAAGTAGCTATCGTCGCAACGTTTCGCTCGTTCAACAAGAACCATCCTTGTTCCCAGGCTCCGTGCGCGAGAACATCATGCACGGCGTCGATGCCGCTGACATCTCCGCTACAGAAATCGAGGAAGCTTGTCGAGCGGCCAACGTCTGGGAGTTTGTTTCCTCCCTTCCCGAGGGCCTTGAAACACTTTGCGGTATCGGCGGCAGCCAGTTCTCCGGTGGTCAGAGGCAGCGCATCGCCATTGCCAGAGCTCTGGTCCGCCAGCCGAAAGTCCTTCTTCTAGACGAAGCCACGAGTGCTTTAGACACTGAATCAGAGCGCGCAGTGCAAGCGGCTTTGATAGAAGCTGCTTGTGGTGACAGGATAACAATTGCCGTCGCCCATCGTCTATCGACTGTTCGCGAAGCCCATCGCATCTTCGTCTTCTCAGATGGTCATATCGTTGAGGCTGGGACTCATGAGGAGCTGCTCAAGAAGAACGGCATGTACTTCAAGATGTGTCAGGCTCAGAGCTTGGATCGTGGGATATCAACTTAAAGGGATCTTGAGTTAGTGAGTATACCAATAGCCAAGTCAGACACATGTCTTTCGACAGAGTTCGGTTGCAACCTCCGATGAGTCAGCGTGTGCGTCGGGATCAGAAAAGTGCTTTTTTGTGGTCATAGGCCCAAAACAAACTGCAGCACACATGCACTAATCCCAGCAATCTGAAGTGGGCGGGGACAGATTGTTCAATCTTTTTAGACACATAAAGATTGTTTGCTCTGGAGCGGATATGGAAGAAATCTCAAATGCGGTATACTCCTGATGAATAGTGCCCCTATTGATGGTAGATGTATATTTACGAGTCGAGACGGCAGTCGCTTTGTAGTAAGAAGCGCTGATATGCCATGATTCGTCGCCGAGGAGGGTTAATCGGTAGCCCATGCAACTGGAATGGAGGCTTGCGGGTAGAGCCGCAGCGTAGATATCTACCCCGCAACGATTTGACGGGCCGCTGGCGGGTGTTTGCTCACAAAGATGCGGGAAGTGCACTTAGTCGCTTGGTCTATCCCATAACAATAGACTGATGCGCGTGAAGCATGTGACGAATGGCCTGCCATCGCGTTGCCGGCCCTCAACACTTTAGCATGTGATTGAACGAGTGTGGTGGGTTGAGCGATTGGATGCCTTCTTCCTGGTGTATGCATCGATAAATTGGGAGGGTGTCGAGTAATGTCGGACCAGATTATTCTGGGAGCATGCTACACAAGCTCATCCTGAATTGCGATGTTTTCCACTTGATTGTAAGCGGAGTTGGGGATCCGACTAGCGACACGTGGAGGCGTTTACTTGGCAAGTTCCCATTGCATAGAACTCACAACCCTTTGTCGGTCGGTCGCAGCGTCGCAAATCTCTCTTATCAATCCTACAATAATCTGCGGTAGCTCTGTCTAGTTGCTCTCCCCTAGAGAGGTGTCAGGCCTCTACGCGAGATTTCTCTCCATGCATGCCAAGCACACTTAGTCCTTTTCGCTACCCAGCAAGTCATATGTCCTCGCACTGACGGAGGCGGCCGCGACACCAGTTTCTGTGCTAACAGGCATCCGTACAGCATCCATTGGCATCACAGGAGCTGAGCTCATTTACCATCTAGGCATACAACGTTCGCGCATTTCAGGTTCTTGCTAGATCAGAGAGTTCCGCAGTGCTTCCGATTGTTGAGCTGCATGAGGGCCGTGTGCTCTGGGTAGCATTAAATGAAGACGCGGGGTCATCAGAAAGAAGCAACACACACCACATGGACCGTCGTACAAACACCGTGCATCATGCATGACGTGTTCAGTCTGCACCAATCTCACGAACAATCCCCAAATGCAGCTGGAGAGGTTAATTGAACTCGATCTACTTCCTTGCGATGCCAGGTAAAGTTTCTCCACTTCTGAACAAACCCACCTCGCCAACCACCTGACGCGACTTCTTTACTCAACCAAAGCTCGCAAGAATGGTCCTGCAAGAAACAATTACTGGTGGTATCCGCGATAATCTCTCGCATTACTCAATACTTATCGGAGTTGTCTTGTTCTGTTCCTACTTAATTGGCAACGCAGTTTACCAGCTATACATCAGCCCTCTATCAAAGTTTCCAGGTCCAAAGCTAGCCGCAGTGACGTTGTGCTACGAGTGCTACTTCGATGTCTTCCAATGGGGTAGATACTGGGCGGAAATAAAGAAGATGCATGAAAAATATGGTATGTCACCATCCGGCCCTTGTCGGGGATTGAGCCGCCTTCGTCTCTGCCGGCAGTAATATTAACATGATCAAGGCCCCATAGTTCGCATCAGCCCTTACGAACTCCACGTTTCTGATCCTACCTTCATAGAAACGCTGTATACTCGATCCGCGCCACGCGACAAATACAACTTTATGACTGCTGAGTTCGGCAATCCTTTGACAGCTTTCAGTACAGACGATCACTACCACCACCGTATCCGCCGCGCAGCCATGAATCCGTTCTTTTCCAAACAGCGCATCATGGGCCTACAGGATATGATTTGGACGTACGTCGAAAGATTATGTACAAGATTCGAGGAATATGATCTTGCCAAAAGAGCCATACCTACATGTGAAGCATTCAGTTGTTTGGCTGCAGACGTAATCATCAAATACTCCATGGGCGTGGAACAAAAGTCTCTCGACGACCCTGACTTTGCACCATATTTTACACAGGCCAACAAGAGATTTGCGTCCCTTTCTTTGATCACTCGATACGCACCCTGGTTACACTCTGTCATCAACGCGTTACCGCAAGACTGGGTAGAAAAACGAAGCCCCGAATACGCAGCGATGATGGACCTCCGGAAAATGAACAACCGACGCGTGCAAGAGGTTTTTACGAAAAAGGAAAAAGTCAGGCAGGGATCTGGAGTTGCAGACAGCAACACGACTAGCGAGCACACGATATTTCACGACCTCCTCGACAGCGATCTACCACCCAACGAGAAGAACCTTGAGCGACTCAGCCAGGAAAGCCAGGTCATTGTCGGCGCTGGGATTGATACAGTCGGCAACACATTGAACGCTATCCTCTTCCACCTTCTCGACAACCCGTCCACCTATACAAAGCTCAAGGCGGAGATAGTATCAGCTATGCCAGATCCCTACGAGCGTAAGGCGCTTGTGGACTTAGAGAAACTGCCCTATCTCACCGCTGTTATCAGTGAAGGCCTTCGAATGAGCAACGGTCTTGCGATCCGCAATGCGCGCCTTGCGCGCTCGCCTATGGTTTATAGAGATTATATCATTCCCGCATTCACACCAGTCGGCATGACCGCTCCCTTGATTCATACCAACAAGTCAATCTTCCCTGAACCAGACTCGTTCATTCCAGAGCGCTGGCTCAATGACAACGGCGCTGTAGGTGCTAGAACATCCGATGGGCAGCCATTGGACAGGTTCCTCATGGCTTTCGGCCGTGGCACGAGATCATGTGTGGGTATGAACTTGGCGTATGCGGAGATGCGGATTTGCATTGCAGCTGTGATTAGGCGGTTCGATATGGAACTTTTCAACTCAAGCCGAAAGGATGTCGATTTCGTGCATGATGTGTTTCTGCCTGGTGTGGATCAGAGCAGTAAGGGCGTGCATGTGCTAGTCAAGTAATCACTTCTACCCTAGCGGTCACACCTATTTGCACTTTCAATTTTGGCGCGCCTCCACATCCCGCTTTTCCATACGTGGAATTTCGTAGACCTCTCATACTTCCACACCTTGAGCGTGCTGTGGTTGTGCCAAGGACGTCTGGACTATGTTCATGAATCGCACTTCGGAGGGTGCATCGTACGCTACACTCATGCTTAAATTTGGCTTGGCTTGCAAGCAGCAGTGCACTCCACGAGTCTTACTTAGTGGCGATACACGATTATTGTACCATGTAACAACTAGAGCTGGGCGACGTCATCTGCATCACGAACAACAACTAAATTCTGCCAGGGACAACATCATTGAGCTGATGTCCCTGAACCCCGCTTTTTGCTGTTAAGCTGTTAATATAAACACGCATTTCGTGGCTAGCAGACAGGACTGTGTCGTAAACCCCATACAGCGGGGTAAGGCTGCATCCCTTCTGAGCCATACACCTCCTTCAGCTTCTTGGTCATGCATCTACCGTACTCCGTTCCTACTTAGCTACAAGAGCAGGCCGAACTAGGATTACCGTCTTGTGGGTCTAAATTGAATCGGTGCGAGACGATGCCGTACGGCTAAGGCCGGGACCCCGGAGAATAAATCAGACTGGGTTGTTGGATGTCCAGGCGAGAGTGGAACGCATCCGTTCAGGCACACCCGCTTGTGGTGGAGACAAGCTAGTGGTCGACCTGCATACGCCACGCGCTCATGCTATGTCCATGTACCTGGATCTCGGTCCAGATGAGGTTCTATCGACCTTGATTTCGATGAGTGATCCGGCTGTTGCCGTTAGAGTCTGGGGATGCAAGGCGAGGCTTCCGAGAGTTCACCAACCAGTGTAGGTGTTGCGCTACCGACACGCACCAGTCCAATAATTCGTGAGGGAATGTTCATGCCTCTTACCATAACAAGCTTTCGATCGCTACCGTCATTTTACCCCTGCGACGATCGGAACGTGGCAGGTCGATCAAACCGTTCGCTACGCTAGTTGTGACGATCGACGATACCGTGCAGCCGGAAAGAACGAGGCGTTGATGGGTCTGGTCCTGCGCCATCACCGCAAAACTCAGTGACGTGCTATCGATGGCGTATCCCACTGCTCTAGGCTTACATCTTCATGTACAGGCGTCGTGAGAGAGGCGTCATGTAAACCGACGGTCGAGGACTCGAAATACATTTGTCAGTTGCCACATTGTTGGGAAATTGTCGTTATCGAATCGATGGAGTGTCAAGAAAGACCATGGAACTGCGATGCCAACTATCAGAGATCCATGCGCATCTAGAAAGACCACTTGTCGCGTCTAACGGGCGGGTCTTGGAGAGGGACCACCTACTGCGATCCACCGAAGCACACTTCCAACGATGGGCGTGACATACCTCAAGCAACACTAAATCCGAAACCTGGAGACGAAGCGGATATTCATGTCGGGCAAACGAACAGTATCGTGTGTCAAGATGGTGTTGACCCTTGAAAACGCCCCGCATCGGCACTAGCTCAAGCCAGCGCTCGTGCTTTCGGAAGACGTCCCGGACTACTAGACTCCCTAGTGTTAAACTTTGAACGGCACCTAAGCAACACGGCTCTCTCTTGGTTGGTTGTTGATTTGCTGCTTGGCGCCTTATCTCAGCACAAAGCAACCAGTATGACGAGCCAGGCTTTCGTGAGACGCGCTAAATTCCAAGCTTCAGGGTCCCCGAGATGACGCTACACCACTCGAGCCTATAACGGAACAGCACCCGTGCTACAGAATTGCTTAAACATTACAATTAAGAAGTGCTGCACGAGGCTGGCCCGCACCAATAAAACAGTCCACCAAGCAGGTACCCAGCTTGGCGCACTTCCGATGGCGTACACCAGGCGTTCTCCAAAGTCGTTCCCAACGCAGAGTTCTAGATCCGGAGGATGTTTGTGGTCAGTAGGGGCCAGACTTGAGGTTTGGATGGAGATTTGCATTCCTCGCCAACATCGATCGAGGACTGTGATCAAGGACGAATTCCAGATAATGTTGGCTCAGGGGATGCTCGAAGAGTGTAGCTCTCAACATCCAGAAACACATAAAGACGAACCGTTCCTTGCAGATACAGAAACCATCCTCAGCAACTCCAGCTCCAGGCATCCAACCTTACTCTCGCTCTTCATCTCTCGTCCTCCTCGGCATCTCTTCCCCCTTCTCAGTCTCTGTTCCTCGCTCACTACAACAAATCCATCAAGATGAAGCTCCTCGCTACTTTCACACTCTTTGGCGCATTGGTCGCGGCCGCACCTGTTGCCGATCCGATCGAAGCACGTGCTACTACCAGCAGCGCAGTGAAGACTAGCAGCGCAGCAGCCACTATCAAGACCAGCAGTGCCGTCGCAGCGGTGACCTCGAAGACCAGCAGTGCCGCTGCAGTGGTATCTTCCAAGGCCAGCAGCGTCGTCGTGGTAGCCTCTTCCAAAGCAAGCAGCGTAGTCGTCGCAGTCTCTTCCAAGGCAAGCAGCGTAGTTGTTGCGGTCTCCTCGAAAGCCAGCAGCGCAGTCGTCACCACGTCCACGGCTGCACCGTTGCTCGGTGTCAATGTAGGCGGGTCCTCCTCGCCCCTCGTGGGAGTGAAGCTCTCGTCCTCGACATTGCTTGCCGTTGTAGTTGGCTCAGGATCTACATCTACCACGGCTGCGGCCTCCACGATTACTGCTGCGCCCACTGGCACTGCAGCTACAGCTTCCACAGCTCTTCCGTCCACGTTCTCTGCACCAGTCCAAGGACAAGGTGTCCTATCGCTTAACAACCTTCCTGCGATGCCAGGCGTGATCGACAAAACCTTCTCCGGTGTTCTCGGTGCTGCCTATGGTCTAAGTAAGTCTTCCACGTTGTTTTCAAAATATAAAAGTATTCAATTAACTAATGCTCAAACTAGTGTCCGGTGCATGCGATTCATCGTACCGTTGCAACATTACCGTTGCCGGTTCGATTTCAAACCTTCTTGTCGATGGCAACAACTACCAGACAGCCAGCAGTGTGGCAGCTTGGTGCGATGGAGGACGCTGTTATGGTGCTGCCACTGTTCCAGTGACGGCCACCGCTCCGTTCATCATTACTTGTGATCAGCTTAGCGGTACGCAAGCCTGCTCTGCTACGATCTCCGGGGCAGCAAACGCAATCTTTACGAACGGACAGTCTGTCGGTAAGTTTCACCAACTCCATCATCGCATTATGAAGCTAATCATTTCTAGAACTTTGGGGCTGGGCTACACCCGCCGGATACTGTCAAAATGGCGTATGCACTGCGTCTATTACAGCCGTTGGTGACCCAATGTACTAGATTCTGAGAGTGAGAAGAATGAGTGAGTAGGGCCGACACAAGGGAGATACATAATGCCAAGGAGGACGAGAGATATCGAGTAATAAGCTTGTTTGGATGCTAGTTTACTTCTTTTCCTATAGATGACAGCATGAGCTGCTACCTACCTTCTCTTCTCCGTAACCTCTTAGTCAATGGAATACTTTACCCAAGCTATATATGCTTTGAGCGTTGCCGTCATCCCACAAGGGTTCATGCCTCAAGCTTCCGCGCCTTCTCTCCACCGAGGCTTCAACACAACCTTCCACTTCCCATCATGGAACTGCATCGTGATGAACTGCCGAAGTTGAATTTCCTGATAACCAGCTTCCTCGAGCGAGAAGCGGGAAAGGAGGTTTGCAGATACTGTGCGCATTTCTGCGTACGCGAAATTCTGTCCAATGCAGTTGTGTCGACCGTTAGAAAACGGAAAGTAAGCATCCATGCTGTATCTTTTGTTAGCAGAGGTCCAAATTGCACCTCTCGTCTCATACAAGGGTTGTCTTACTCTGGTTCCGGCGCACCCTCCCTCTCCTCACCTTCCAGCCATCGTTCTGGCCAAAACCTGTTTGGCTCGGGCCAGTATCGTTCATCCCGATGTAGTGCCCTATAACTGGCTGAAACAATTGTATAGGGCGGAATATCAAAGCCATTAACATTGTGGCCTTGATCTAGAGTGCGACGACCTAGTTCAGAAGCAATGGGGTTCATGCGCAGGTTTTCTTTGAGACAGGCTTCAAGGTAGCGATATTGTGGGTCCGTTCGCACGGTTTTGGAGTCGAGGATGGGGGATGAAGGAGAAAGAGGGGGGAGCGAAGCGAGAAGCTTGTTTAGGGCTGCGGGAGTTCGTGCGAGTTCCACAAAGAGACATGCCATCGTGCCTAAGTAGATGGTCAGCCAATGTAAGGCCGAAGGGAGAACATGAGGGGTTAGAACTTACCGGATGTCGTTTCCGAACCAGCCAGAAGAAGTTCAGACATCTGATCAATTATATCCTGATTCGACATACGCTCTCCAGTATCCGGTCGCGCACCCTCATCCAACATATGCTGTAGGACATCGATACGTGCTGCGTTCTTTGCTGATCCCTGTGCTGCAGCACGTTCGTCGACGAGTTCGCAAATAGCAGTGGTCATTTCCTTGGGCCAATCAACCTCCCATTCATACCCCATTCGCCTCAGGAATCTCTTGATGAAAACTAATCCATACCTTCTGGCCTGCCCATCGAAGATCGCATTGGGAATCTTACTCCACCGCTTATCTCTGCTCGAAAGCATCTTTCTCGGATCGAAAATCTTGTCAATCTGCCCAAAGCCTTTGCCGAATGAGGACTCGCCCATGATGTCCAAGGCAAGGCAATGCAGATCGCGCATGAGGTCTGTTTGGATATTGCCATTAGGCCTGAAACTGAGATCTTTGGAGACGGCTTTGTTGACTTCATCGTAGTAGTTGTCAAGCAAGGTGGATACGCATGCTTTGAAGTAGGTGTCTAGTTTGTCCACAGATGCCACGGTGAAGGCAGGGCTGAGAAACTTCTTGAGGTTGCGGTGGGGCACTGGGCGGCTGTGATTTCGATCATTAGCCCATGTTTTCTTGCTAGAGGTGGGTATAGAGTGTTGTTACTTACATTTCTCCAAAAAGGCCTGGGCTACTTCTGTCTCTCGAGATCTCGGCATACATAGTAACCTTTGGTAGGTCAATGGTAAGAAGAATCTGTTTCATAGCCCCTTTGTCTGAGACCCAAATCTGCCTTGGTCCCAGACGAATCACATCACCATACTGTTTGTGCATCTTCTCAACATACTCGTGGATCGTGCCGCGGGCGAAAAGCCATCGAAGGTGCATAGCCGTGTAGGGTGCATACCATGGCCCAGGAAAGTTTTCGAGGCCTGTCTTCTTCGTGACAGATCGATAGTAGGATAGCGTGAATACTATGGCTAGAAGACTTGCCACTATTGTGCGTGGATGGGGCAGCTCCATGGTAGAAAGCTTGTCCCCGGACGTGAGTGAGTCAAGGGTCGGCATGACATGCCATGGGAAAGTAGGGGTAGATAAATTCATCGTGCTTGGTGAAGGGGAACGCGATGAGTGTGGTTAAATTCAGCTGTTGCAATGCTGACCCATGAGGTAGGAGCAGCGTCTTATAGTCACAGCATCTCGATGGTGACTGTCTTGTTCTTAGTTGTTTTGCCATCTCCTGTTTCAAGAAGTCAGTCGATCGCTGTAGATTCTCCGAAGACTCTTATCTTCCCAAAGTTTGGTTAATGATTACAGCCTTGCTGACGTAGCGTGGTGTTAGTCCACTTGCAGGGTTGTGAGCATTATGTACGCGTGATGCAGCTGTCAGCTATATGCATACAACAGTCAGCTGTCCACAAACAACTATCAGCCATGTATATACGATAGTGAGCTATGTAAATAAAATTCTCGCCTGTTTGCATGCAGCGACTAGCTGACTGCACATTGTAGCCAATGTATGAACTCGTATCTCTAGTCCGCACTCAGCAATAAGGATGATTGTTCGTTTGGACGGGCAAAACTTCGGCAATGTACGGAGTCTGAATCGAAGGGGGTCAGTGCAAGCTGACAGGTGCACCTTGTTCGTTCGGTGCTTATCGCTTGGCGAACCAGCTTACCTCGTCCGGAAATTGTTGTACCGACTACTCAGTCGCCCTGATATTGTAGTATGCACCAACGAGACATTGCATGAGGCTGAAGCGTTTCGGACCGCGCCAATAAAGGGTCCGATACCAAACCTTACTGTCTCAGTGTATGCTTTATAGGAAGATAGTCTGTTACGCATAACCTCAGTATTCGGGCCGCGCAGTGGATGGTAGTATGACTCCGCTGCTAGACGAGATCGCAAAATGCGACAGACGTCATCAGTGTTTGACATATCTAGGTAGTCCTTGAATCTATTAAGGTTTCATTCAGCCAGTCGGCAGTGAGGCGGGCCGTACCGGATAAATATCGAAACTTTGTGATGACAAGCTTCCAACGGTGGAAAGTAAGGCTAAAAAAGGCTCAAGCGCTTCCCTGGAAGTCGGGTCCCAGTCGTGGTGGCCTAACCACAATGTTTTCGTAAGCTTTTCTGGTGCAAGGGTGAATCCCTGGCCGTCTTGCTCACGCGAAGAGACGGTATATGGAGGAGTGCAAGTTTTCGAACCACATTGTTATCAGTCACTTTACCCTCTTCGCCAGTATCTTACATCTCATCCACGATACCCGCGTGTTCAATCATGACTCGCAAGAAGATCCTCCTCACCGGCGTCACAGGCTACATCGGTGGTAGCGTACTCCATCAATTACTCCGCAGCAAACACCCATCGATCCAAGAGGCCGAGATAGCGTGTCTGGTTCGTGGCCAGGACAGAGTTGCGCAGCTTCACAATGCCTTTGGCTCCAGGCTCAAGGTTGTGCTCTTCGAGGGCCTGGAGGATACGGCGCATCTTGTCGAGATAGCAAGTCAGTACGATGTCGTCTTCAACATGACGCTGGGCTATCATCTTGCCAGCGCTGTAGCCTTCGTTAAAGGCCTTTCCTTACGCCGAGTGCACACTGGCAGAGACGTATGGCTGGTGCATACTTCGGGCGTTTCGAATCTCGCTGACCAACCACTTTCCGGGGATCACATTGAACCCAGCCCGGATCGGGAATTCAACGATTCCGAGGACGACATCTATACCTATGAGAAGAGGCGCAATGCTAGGAGGAGATACATCCAGCGGACGACGGAGTTGGGCATGATAGACGCTGGTCTCGAGTCAGGCGTGAAGACAGTCGTCCTCATGTCTCCATTGATCTACGGTGTGAGTGATGCCTCCACGTCCCCGCAATCTGCGGAACCCCATGGTACTAACTCCTAGGCCAGGTTGGCACGGGATTATGGAACAAGCGTAGTCTGCAAGTGCCTCGGTTGGTCCGAGCGGCGATAACGGAAGGCCAAGCCATCGTTGTTGGTGATGGCAAGGGTGTATGGGATAACGGTACTTCTTTCGCGGCAGGTTAGTTACACGATGTACGCTAACTTGGTGCTGCAGTCCATATCGAGGACCTTGCAAGATTATACGAGCTGACGCTCATCGACATCTTGTCAAAGGATGGCGCCTCCCTTCCAACGGGCAAGCAGGGCGCTATTTTCAGCGCGCATCGACGTCACACGTGGATTGACGTGTCGCAGGCGGTCGCAGATGCTGTATGCAAAGCCGGCCTTGTTGACAGCAACATCGTGAGGACTGTGAGTCTCGCGAAGGGAGCTAGATTGCTCACTGGTGGCGTGGAGCAAGTTGCTGAGTTGGGTTTCGCAAGCACTTGCAAGACACGCGGTGAAGTTGCGAAGAGGTTGGACTGGCATCCGAGCGCTGGAATCGAGGCTTGGGAGCAAGGCTTCGTGGAAGAGGTCGATGCGCTTAGATCGAAATTGTGAAACGGCTCGGTGAATCTTAAGGATATTCGGTGCGAGTAGGGCTGACGAACTGTCACGATGAACAGACTTGCGTGCTTGATTCGAACGTAGTCGGAATAGATAGCTACTTCTGTCTGTCTGCGGTACTTGCGTCAAGCAGCCACGACAACGATTCAACCGTTGCCGACAGGTACCGAAGTGGGCAACTAGGATGACCTCATATATACTAGCTTCTAAGAGACCTAGTCAAAGGTACGTGGAGTTATCGTTGCAAATGGAAGCCAGTAGGGGGTTCCATACGTATCTGAAGATCCGGGGACCGGGTCCGCGCAGATCGTACGCCAAGAACTGGATTAGCGCGACACCTATCCACAAGGGTGGCCGAAAGTTAGTATAAATTCGCCGACGATGAAGGGGCATCGAGGCTGTAGATCACAAGCATCCTGCCTGCTACCTAGGGACGTTATTGCGGGGCTGCACGCTAATTCCTGGCGACACCGTAATCGATCATCGGAATCGTCATCCTTCGCGATTGTTCGTAGTGAACGAATTTTACTCTTCTTAGTATGCGCATGTCTAATGATGTACTCGGTCGCATACAAATTCCATACAACTCTAACGTGGCTGGTAAGGTTGTGACGCTAATTCGCCGGCAGCAATCACCAAACAACCACTTAACCAATATTCGTTGCGCCATTATGTAGACAGCTCCACGCTCTAACAACTTTGAAGGTGGTAGCTCTGTACTTGTCGAATCATCAATTTACCTGACGCGAAGGTCAAGCCCACGAATCTCTAGCCTAGTTTTTCTACGACTCATCCTTTTAGTCTCCTCGTTGCATTCATCTAGCGCCAAGGGCAACCTACTTTACTTATTTATCCCGCTTTGGTCAAGTTGAATTTGAGCCTGTATTTCCGTGGCTGCTCGTCTACCTTAATCGACGCGTCAAGGTACACACGAGTATATCGATGACGACCGAGATACAGTCGACTCGTTGCAAGACTTTTCTGGCCTGAGAGCTGAAGGAAAGGACTTGGAACAATACCGGTACCATTATACTGTTTTTGGAACGATTCTGTGTATAGAAAGACCCACGGTTCTGACGTTCTTCCTTTGGTTCTATCCCGCCACTCAAACCCACAGGATAGATAACAATATTGTTTTTCCATGTCACGTACCAGGTACCTATCGCTCAAGCTCAACGCCTGCTCTACGTTGACTTTCCAGTAGCCTCGGAAGTTTGGATGACCCCTCGTAAGGAACCGCAGTCCAGCAATGTCCCATCGGTGGCTACCGGCTATCTCGTCTTCAATCTGTAGTGCGTAGGGATGATCAAGCCTGAGTGTATCTGACGATACTTGTATCGAATACTCATCTGCCAAGAGCATGTCTGCATGAATCGAAGGTGTGACATGCGAGGCGATATGTATCCCTTTCTTGACAAATGAAGGCACTTTCCGCTTAAAGCGGATTTGATGTACAATATCCACACGAGGCCGCTGACTCAATCTTGCGAAAAGATTCGGTCCGACTTGCTCTAGAAGTAAACCCTCGATAACCTCTGCATCTGGTGACGAGATACAGGATAGAGGTAAGACATATAAGCCGGAAAGATAGTCGATATAGAGTTCAGTCTCAGAAAATTGCAATCCTCTGTTGGTCAAAGCATATGCACTACCCTGATACACGTGACTCTCTGTATGGACGAGGTTCGCACAATGAGCGAAGTACCTTGGGGAAGGCGCTAGCAAACTGCAGTACCGCTCCCGCACGCCAGGTTGCCGTGACGCGAAGAGCGAACGATCGTTCGACTGTTTCATGATCTCTTCTTGCAGACGTATGAACGCTTTTGTGCCCTCCCCATAAAGAATAGGCATCTGTATGTCGAAAATCCCCAAAAGACAATAAGCAATGTCTTCTGTTCTCGTTGTCTCTCTCTTCGCTGCCCACGCCAGCCTTTGAGCTATCGGAAGTGTATCCATGGATACCTGTCCGGTCAGAACATTCGTTGCAATAGCTGTGATTTTCGAGATACGGGACGACAGTTCTTCTCTTGTTCCAAGGAAGCTCCATAATCGGTCAAAGAACTCAACGTGTCGCGGAGCGACAAGCTCCTGTAAACACCAGCCTCTCTTAAACCATCTGGATCCGCTGATCGACGTCATGTCTCGGGTATCTCCAATCTCGAAGTCAGACAAGAGGACATAGCAAACAGCTGCATCGCGATACCATTTGAACATGGAGTTGATCGCTTCGCTCAGCTCAGCACTGCTGGTCTTGTCGATGCAACATGTGTCCACCCAACAGTAGCCAATGCCGGTTAACCTGGCTTTTCGGCAAGTTTCGATGATCTTGAGATATCCTGGTCGCTCCCTTTTTGGATTCTCAGACCCTCTATTCATAGCCAACATGTCCTGGAATGTGACTTCATCTGCTTCGGGGCCCCAGGTGTGTGATAGAATCGCATACTTGGGAACGTCAGACTCCACAAACGATTTCAGCTCCAAAGTGTCGGTGTCAATCAGTCGAATTGCCATGGTAAACTTGCTAGAGCCGATGATGGTGCGTGACTAGCGTTGAGGGAAGGATTGTCGCGCAACGTGTTGTACGCCGTCCGCCAGATAAGCCAGTTCGCGGGGTAATCGACACGCTACGTTTTAGTCATCAGCGTACGTGAGCATGTGCCATCAGGCTAAATGAGTGGCATTTGTGAGCAAGTTAATCATCATGAGGCTGGAAGGTCTCACGTCTCATTCTAGTAAGAAAGATGTGCGATGTCTCAAGGAAATGGTGGCGCAAGAGTGGCTACTTGGAGAGCCTCAGTTTATCGGCCCCTCTTATCGCGGCCCAAGATTATTAGCTACCTGTTGTTGCTCATAAAGTCACACAACAATAGCTTGGCCATTGGACTAAGCTTTAATCGCCTGCTGTCTCCAGTCCATGATGGCTGACCTATGGAACGTCTGGTACAGTGTTGGGATGGTTGGATATCGCGCGAACACCTCATCACGTGGCGAGGACACGATTTCAGCCTTGCCACTGCTGCCTGAAGCATGGCGTTCTCCATCAACGTCAGGACTCCCATTCCTGAGCAAGTTTTGAACCGTCCTGCCCTTCCTCTGCTGTTCAAGTTCGGCTCCACCGCCGTCTTCAACCTCCTGAGGTCTTTAGATATGAGTTCTCTTGAGTGCCCAGCATATAACTCGAAGAGCGATCACGAACGGTCCTGGAGCTACAGTCCACGGGATGACCCTGAAGATGAAGGCAATCCTCTAGTTGCCGGTGTCGACCTTTGCAGCAATTGTCAAATCTTGAGGTGGCTTGGACTACGTCGCCCACCGACGGGAGAGCATATTCCAGGCGATCTTTTTAACCGCTATCGAGAATCCGCAAGAGCGCCTGTGTCCTCAACTTGCGAGTTATGCCAAGCCATTTGTTCATCATTATCTGCTACTCAAGTCAAGTACATAACCCTGTCACTTGGGAGACTAGCTGATGCTATCCGTCTGGACATATCGTATCCAGACCAGGAACGACCTTATGAACTTCTGTTCGTCGAAATCGAAGATGAAACTGACTGTACGATTACTCAGGAAATTACTTTTTCGCTGATACTCCCCGCACAGACGGGTGTGACAGTGCGACGAATCGAACCCGAATCGGTGGATTATACAGAAGTACGACTTTGGATCGATCATTGTGATTTCACTCATGGCCCAAGCTGTCATACCGCCACGAAGCTTCATGTACCTCACTTCAAAGTTATCGACTGCTTTAACCGGCAAGTCTTACCTTTACCTGACCTGCAAACCCAGTACGTCGCGCTTTCGTACGTTTGGGGCAAACCAAATCCAGAAGTCGATAGCTCGGAAAGGTTTCCACAAACGATCGAAGATAGTATAGACGTAACTTCAAAATTGGGATACAGGTACCTTTGGGTTGATCGCTATGTAAGCAGCACTATCGAGATAGTCTACATATTTCTGCGAGACTGAGCTGATTGGAACAGTGTATTGATCAAGATGACAAAGACAATAAGCACATCCAGATCTCCATGATGGATCTTATCTATTCTCAGGCCTGCCTGACGATCGTTGCAGCCATGGGCGATGCTTACGATGGGCTCCCAGGGGTGAATGAGCTCTCACGCAGTATGCAAAAATACCTTAAAATCGGTCAATTGCAAATGATTGAATGGTTCGTTCCACGCGACCGAATTTTGATATCGAACTGGACTAAAAGGGCATGGACATACCAGGAAGGCGCTATTTCGAAAAGGAGATTGATTTTTACTGATGGTGGTGTTGCGTTCTGGTGTCGACGGATGTACTGCCAGGAAAGTGTCAAAGAAAGGCCATTACCATCACACCCACGGGACACTAGTAATGCTGGTGAGCAGCTTGCGTACATTATCCCTCGAGTAGCGGACGTGTTCAACCAAACGAGGTTCGCGAAAGTGATGGAACAGTATTCTCGAAAGACTATGAGCTATGATTCAGATGCCCTAAATGCCTGCCTGGGTGTCTTACGCGCGTTGGATACAACACACTGCTGGGGGGTGGCAGTGGAGACTTTTCATCGAACCACGATGGCAAATGATATGTATACACTCAACCATAGGTGTACGTCACCTCGGGATTTGACAGTTCAAACCCAACCCCAAGTTGTTTCCAATCCATTTGCCAATATCGACACATGGAAACCTTCATACCTGGAAAAATCTGTCATGTACCTCGCTTGGTACAACATGGGCGCTGTGGAAGAATGCAAAGAACGCAAAGAGTTTCCTACCTGGTCATGGACGCGATGGGGAGGTAAAAAGTACTACCAGGATCACGGCTACTACACCGTTCGCCGTTCAAAACTCAGAACTCGCATCCCTATGGACGACATGTATGGGATACTCAAGATCAAAATCTTTGTGGATGATATGGAATGGCTGAATGTCTTTGACCATTTCCACAGACTTCGCGCTCTCGAAGGATCCAAACTAGGCAAGATATTACGAGTCACGGGAAACACAGTGACGCCACGCTACGATGAGACACCAGAGGGATTGGAAATGATCCTGACGACTGAGTTTGGCTTTGATCTGCATCTGAAAACGTTCATTGACTCCCTCGAATGGACATGGGAAAACATTGCCGACACGGTGGCCCTCGAGATATTTGAGTTCTTTAAAGAATATCATGATAGCGATGCCTACGGCACCGTTCTCATTCTGAAATCAGACGGAGAACAATACCGGAGAATTGGTGTAGCAACAATCATGGATCTTACACTCGATTCTTTGAGAAGTTCACACCATGATTCGATCGAATTGGGCACTTTGGCTATAGCAGGAGCAATAACTCGTACAGTGCACATAGTATAGATAGTCAAATCCTCTGATAATATGGATCACTCAGGCAACAATACGATACTCCAAAAGGAAGGCTCTTGGGTAGATGGAACTATGTTGAGCGAGCGAACTCAGTCGTGGAGAATTAAGCAAAGATGTATGGCACCCTGAGATTCAAACCAAGATAGCAGGAAGACGACACACAACAAGCATCACACTAAGCATGTTGGACTTTTCGTCTTTTTCATTTAAGGGTATCTTCTTACGCCAGTATCGTTGGGTACAAAGAACACAACCAAAACACCATTGTGGTGACAACAAAGTTCTTCGCGGCCTCACGCCCCGTTGTCCATCACCTCCCACGGCCTCTTCCCCGCCCCCTTCCCCTACCTCCTCTTCCTCCTCTCCCTCCGCCCTTCCCTCTCGGCGCCGACCTCTCATAGATCTTGACCTCCTCAAACGGACTATCCGCGACCCTTAGGTAGCTCGGTATGCCATTATCCACGACGGCGAGCACCACATTCCTGCACCCATACTTTAACCTCTGGTTGGGATGACCATCCTCCTTGGGCCTGTCCTCCGGCACCTGCGCCATGAGGTCGTTTAGCTGTGCACCCGTGGGTATTGGGGTTGTGCGCGCGTCGACAACGCAGATACGGAAGTCTGGCGGACCACGAGCGGACTTCTTGAAGCGGGCTGTGGTGCGGTAGACGTCGAAGTGGACGCGGTATGGGTTGTCTGCGGAGGGTGGGAGGACGAAGGTAGGAGGGGAGGAGCGATCGTGCGTCGGTATGAGTTTGAGAAGGCGGTAGATGTCGTTGTAGCTGCGATACAAGCCGGGCTTGATGAGCGGACCGAAGGCGAGGGCCTCGGCGGAGATGGGGTGTTCGGGCTGGCTTAGGCGCCGCCAGACTTCGGTGAAGAAGCGCGTGACGATGCTCGGGCGGGATGATGGCTGTGCTGCTGCTGCTGGAGGCGGCGCTTGTACGATATCCCCTCTATCATCGTCCCACGTCCCTGTCCTAAAGATGACGTATCCCGATCTCTTCAGTCCGGCATAGACGTTGTACATTTCCAATGTCAGCTTCCCACCCACACCACTCTCGAACCCAATGAAGGCAGCATACGCCGACTGGAGACTCATGGGCGCGCCATCTTCGGTTCTGTATACCGTCTTGTCGCCGATCTCGCGCTTGACCGGCCACCGGACGTCCAAGGTGCCTCGCTCCAGCAAGAACAGGGCTTCTTCGGGCAACAGCCACTCTCTTCCTCCTTTGTTCGTTCCTATCGTCTGGAAGTGCTGTGAGCGGACTCTGTCGACGCATGCCATGTTGCGCTCGGGGTCGTACATGGCGAGGATATGGCCTTTCTGCGTGTGCGTGCGCTGCCACGAGAGGACGCCGTGCATGGCCCGGCGCGAGGCCTCGAGCGTGTCGAGCTGGAGATTCGTCTCATGGCTCTCAAAGTCCTTTTCGCCGCGCTTGGGTAGAGTGGGGTGTGCCGTGTCTTGGGCACTGTGGGGGTTGTGTCAGCCATGTTGAAGCAGGGTGGTGCGTGGGCATGTGAAGAAGGCGTACGTGAGTTTGTCGAGTTTGAGGAAATCTTGCGCTTCCTCCGTGGGGTCGTAGTCGGCAGGGTCAGGTGCGCGCAGATGCGAGACGTCTTCGTCTTGGTCGGCCATTGCTACGAAGGCGAGGGCGTGACGGATGTCATGAGTTTGAGGGTTGGATGTTTGGTGGGGAAGATTTGGAGACTCAGTAAAGTTGCGACAGGGATGCATGACTCCCGCGGCGGCCCTTTGCGTTAGCGCCGGCTGACATCTCGCCTACGGTTACCCTATCATCACGACAATGACACCAACCTTCACATGCTCCTGTCTTCGTGGTGCTGCTTTACCCGTCCATCGCTAGCCGTTATATACAGAACTGAATGCAAATGCCGAGCCAAAATGAACGCGTATCTTATGCGCCGTCTTGGTACCCAGGTAGGTACCCAGGTAGGAGGTGTCGCATCCAACGCCTGTCACGATATCAAGGCAAACTGTTCAACACATATCACCTCTGTGAATTTGTCAAAAGGCGATGCGACTAAAGTCACACCTGAGATACTACAGGGGGTGCAGGATAGACATAACGAAATTAGTGCTCTGTGCATTACACCGGACCGCGCACTAATTACGCCGAAGCGTGCGCATTGAGCTGGACCGCGCATTAAGCCGTGGACCACTGAGAACGGTATAGGTTGACTCGCTTTGTTAAATTGTTGTTCGAACACTATTGGGTGAAGCTCCGAGAATTTATATCAAACGGACGGAGAGAGGTCCAGAGGATTCCAAATGACGGTGAGCCAGAGACGTGCTCAATGCGTTGGAGAATCTACCTGAAATGCATGAGCAATACACATCCAAACAGTGTACGACTAGACTCAAACAAGCGGAAAAGCTTGTGCTGCCAAGTGTGGAGAATTTGTGAGCTTGTTTTGTTTCTTCGCTGGACTCACACATCCTATAGTGGTTCGAATTCGGTGCACGACCCAACGCTTGTGTCGATAGGCCCGAGAAGGACCTGGGGCTGATCTACACATATTAACCTATTCATATGTATTAAGGCTGAAGTCAACAGATGAGGACAGGATATGGTTAATATGCGATCGTTGGATTTTTGATAAGAAGGGCTCCATCCAACGCCCATCTCTTCCATCACCTTCGTCCACAACTTTAAATTCCACCTAACAAACATCATCCAACTCTCCAACACCATCATCATGCAGATCCAAGCAATCCTACTCCTCTTGGTCGCCACAGTCTCCGCCTGGGTGAGTATCCTTCTTTTCAAAGAACATTCCTAGAGACTGATACCTAGAATCTCAGCAATGCTTCGATCATGATGAACACTTTACCACGAACCATGCCCAGTTGGCTGAAGGCAGTGATCCCAACAACCAGTGGGGATACTGCCCATCTGCCAAGGGATGTTGCGCCGATGGTAAGACGTGGTACGCCTGCAAGAACGTAAGTTGCGTCCTCCAGTATGTTTGCGAGTGGTGCATTGATAGTTTGTAGAAATGTGCAGGTGGTGCTGCCTGCAGTGTCTCTGGAGGCAGGACTTCTTGCTAGAGTTATCGTGAGCTACGGACTCACGTAGTTTCGTCGAGACCATTACACACAGAAGCAATCTACTAGTTCCCAAAAGCAACATACCATACAATCGAATGCTGGAATGAACATAAAGGGCAACCCTGTATTTGGTACGGATGCTAGCTGTGCCTACTCACATTGCGATGCCCTCAATAATGCATTGACACGTTTGAGATTTACACTTGGTAGTGCGAGAGTATCCAACTATTGCTGACTGCAAATGAGTCTGCCTGTTGTTCGCCAGCGTGCCTCCATATTGATCAAGTTACCCTTCGGCGACATCATCCCCATTCAAGACCTAGCCAGATTCTGCCGAAGACCAGGCACACTGACCATCGTAGCTGTCCCATTCTCACCAAGACTAATCACCATCTCATCCACCGATAGACCAGCATAAAGCCACGCCCCATGACTGAACCAAGTATAACAAGCATCCTCAAAGATACCCGTACTGTTCATATCGGAAATGCCCCGGAATGCCACGCGCCAACGGTTATCCGCACCAATGGGATAGATCCTGACGTCTGCATCAACCGCGTTCAGCGCAGCAGAACCAAAGAACTCGACCCACGCATCCGACACAGCTTTGCCACCAGTAGTCCAGCTCTTCACCTTGAGACCCGGACCATCATCGACGACCAGTTCAATTGCCGATTCACCACTACCATAGCGACCCGCATAGTTTTCCGCGACCTGCTCCCGGCCCACGGTGTCAAAATGCGGGACAGAGTAGCGCACAAGATGGTCGAGCAGGGCTCGCAGCGCCGGATCGTCGCCCACACCAGCCACGTTGACGGTGTAGCCGAGCTGGTATTCCGGGATGATGGCTGCGTAGGCGTTGTAATATCCCTGTCCGCCAGGCATGGTGTATATATCGACGGGTCTCTCGCCTGAGTCAAGGCCAAGGCTCGTGGGACGCAAGACGGTCCAGGGCATGCCGACAGCTTCGCCTTTAGAAGAAGAGGTGAAGGAGGCGGGTTTCAGCCATTTGGCCATGTCGGTGCTCGAGAGTAGCTCGTTGTTGAGGAGGCCGCGAACAAAGCGGGCGAGGTCCTTGGGCGTTGAGAACATGCCGGCAGTCCTGTGGGCATAGGCGAATTAGTACGGATGCTCGGTTCTAATCAGAAGTAGAGAGTAATAAAGTATGAGTAGACTGCTAGGGTCTGAGTTGACTCACCCGTTCCATTCCCCGATGTCCTGAGTTCCAAAGTGATCGACCTCTCCAGGTATGACCATCAGTGATGCATCCTGACTGTCCAGGCCAGTCGCCGAGCTCAAGCCCAGAGGGCCCGTGATGCTGTCTGCGATAACGTCTCGAAGCGATTTGCCTGTGAAAGACTCGATAGCGTAGCCAAGAATGACAAAGGCATAGTTTGAGTATGCGGGAGTACGACCGACGAGCCATACATAGTTGCTGATGAGCGCTCCTTCGAGAAATTCTGCGATCAGGTTCAGTAAGGAGTATAGACAGTAGCACGATCTCAAGGAATTCTTACCCTCTCGAGTAGCACATAGGCCAAATTCTATGGAATTGCAAATAGGGAAGCCTTCAGGGACAGTAGCGTTTTCCGGCAAGCCGAGTTCGCCCTGTAGGAAATCAGGAGGTCCTCGAAGAGAGGTGTCGAAGGCGTAGCCTAAGTGCGAAGAGTCAGCTGTGGTCTTCTTGGTTCATTGTCCTCCAGCCATAGCCTTACCGTCGCGCGGAGCGCCAGACAGATGGCTGGCTAGCATTCGCAAAGTCGTGTTCTCGAAGTTTTTCGAGCCTTCAAGCTGCGGTACATGCTTAGAAACAAGATCGTCTATGTCCAATCCCTCCTGGAGCAACGCAGAAAGAACGGTGAAAAGTTTCGTCACCGAGAAGATGCGGTAGACTGTGTCGCCATTGACCTCGCTAACGCCAACTGTGGTGTTGACGTTTGGTGCAGTCCAATGGTACTCAAAAACTGTATCTTCAGTCGTGGTTATCGAGACCGAGTAAGAGGTGGAAGACGTGTTGAAGAGATTCGCTTCACTGTTCAGTCGGTCCAGTGCAGCCTTTAGTGGCTCAGGATCGAACTTGGGGGCGATGGAAAGGTCGGGGGGTGGTAGGAGTGGGATGCCTGCTGGAGGACAATACTCCGTGGCTGCGGCAAGACTCGCGCACGCGAGTGCCGTTGTTGATAGCAGATACTGTTTCATGTTGCGATTGAAGACAATGAACAAGATAGACACTCTTTCGATGTGAGGAATGTGTGAAACTAGTAGCGGAAGATGATAATGGTTTGGTAGCTGCTACAACAGAGCATGCGTTGAGCTTATATACTATGATCCTGCTGCGACCAGGCAGACCCAATCAAGTACATGGCTGAACAAAACCTCAGTCGCGATCATAGATACTCGTTTTGCCAATGTCGACGCTTGGGCTGTACCTTGCGATCTCGTTGTTCAGTGCTTGGCTGAGTCCCGAAGTCGCGGTTTCCTCCTAGAGCAGCATAGTTGTTCCTAGCGTTGCGCAGGTAAGTGCATAGCGATGAGATCCTTCTGTAGAGGTGACTCAGCTTACCAAAGTTCTCGACCCAGATTCCGTCACTGAACATGGCGAAGTAGTATACAACAGTGGTGCCAAGACCGCTGCGCAGTGCCCGTCTCGCCCCAATGGTATGCAGCGTGCTTGCTAAGCCCCCAGGTATCGAGGCCCGCGATGTTCAACCCATGTCCACGCTTGCTAAGATCCAATGAGTATTGTGTTACCCAAGACTGTGGCGACGGTGGCCCTGTATCCCCCAGATCATATGCTAGCACTACAGTGCGAAAGATAGGCGCGAACCACATTGGACCCAATCTGCGCTACGGCCGTAGAATACCTACTGTGGCTGAATGCCGCAGAACGCAGAACAAGTGCTTATTGGGGCGTTGGTCAGGCAATCCGCCAAGGTTAGAGAACATTTTTGTCCAATTAAGCGAGCCAAAAGAGCTTGGCTGTTCTTAGCAGGCGTGTTCCGCACGGATCGGAAGTTATAATGTTTTCCGATCCGTATGATGTCATAGGCTTGACAGATTCTACAGTAAGGCTTGTGAGCCTAGGCTTCATCTCAAATGTAACGACCGTTGCCTTACGAGGTCGGAAAATCTCCTAGAAAGATACACTGTGCTATAAAAGGGAACACGGAATGGATTTTAACTACTATACATATAAATATTTATCACATAGGTTCTAACACGGTGGCGAGATAGCCAACTGTACGATCTCTGTCTGCCCTATCGCGAGCACTTCTTATCGTGTGTTGTATTCCAATCCCTCAGAGACAATTTCGATGGTCTCACGTATGTCACAAAGCTTGCAAAGATGGACATAAGAAAACCTTCAAGGGAAAGCTCGTCCAATCCAGTGCATTGGGGCACTATCGCAGTTCAAGCCCGCTCGATTATAATACATCCAAGAAACCCGTGCCTTTGTGTAAAAGAAGACATGGTAGCAGCTTTGCACCCTGGAACCCTCCCGTGCACATCCCGGTGTTTCCCAACCCAGTTATCCATGAGAATGGATTTCGTCTGGGATACTCTTCATGCTAGGAGACCAAACAGAACCGTCTCATACCTATGAAACCAAGTTCTGACGTGCCCAATCGTACAGCGTTGTCGCAGGCCGGCCAATGACAATCTCGAAGTCGTCACGTTTGGTAGCTTGGTAACGCATTTGCCCAGATTCCCCAAGACGCATCGTCTGCACAGCGCTGTTGAGGTAGAGACGGGTTCCAGCATCCGAAATTGTCGCGACGTAAGCCTTGAGCGCCTCTGAATTGTAGACGTTGCATTCGATCTTCGTTCCGGTGGCTTGAGTGATGATCTCGGCAGCCTGTGGACCAGTGAGGATTTCTGGGCTCAAGCCGTAATCAGCACCAGCGTGCTTCTCGGGTCCCTCGCGAAGCACCGCGGCTGCCAAAGTACCGATATCAGCAGCTGAAACCCAGCCCAATGCGGCCTCACCCCACATAACATCAAAAGAGCCTTTCTCGATGGTTGATGGCTCAGTCACCAACAGAGAATCTAGGATGACGTTTGGGTGCAGATTGGTCCAAGCCATTCCAGAAGCTTTGATGTAGGTTTCGATCATATCGTGCCAGCTAAAATGCGGAATGTGATCCCGGCCTGAACTATAGACACCAAGGTGAACTACAAACTTAACACCAGCAGCTGCCGCCGCATCGATAAGCATCTTGCTTTGGTACAGCATGTCTGCCGTGTAGCCAGTAACCATGAAGAGCCTGTCGATACCTTGCAATGCTGATGGTAGGGTGTTCGGGTCGTCGAGATTGAGGATGACGGCTTGTCGTCCTTGTTGGCGCCATTGTTCAGCGGTCTCGGCCCGGCTTGTGGCTAAACGTACGTGGATGCCTTCGTGATTGGCATCGAGCTCCTTAACAACTTGCGAGCCCACCTTGCCAGAGGCGCCGATTACAAGTACCGTGGTCATTGTGCTGATACGCCTGATGAAACGAGTCGAGATTTTGCTGAGGTTGTTGAGATTTTGTCCTGAAATCTTTGCTTTCCTTGGTGTATCTTATAGCAGGATACGGAACCAAAGACATCCGAGCCAGTAAGGCCACTAGTGGCGTGGTGGAGAGGAGAACGTGAATACTCCACTACAATAAAACTTAGCGTATAGAAAATACGAAGCTTACTAAGAGGTACGTAATCTATTCCATAGTTCTATGCATATCTTACGTATCAGCGTTACTAGCTATGCTAGAATTCTTAGATAACCTACGCAGCCTTAACACGTTCTACCTTCAAGTAATTGCACTGTATTCTACTAGGAATTGTATGATGGGAAGAGACCGAGGAGAGTATCGCGATGACTTTGGTTGTCTCTTATCCTTTGTGTCTTTGACTGATTTATATAGTCAAGGCTGACGAGCATTCCTCAGCGACACCAGTACCGAGCTTCGTCCACACAAGCAAGTCCGATGTTCGTCCATACAAGCAAGTCCGGTTTTCGTCCATATGAATGAGTCCGGTATTCGTCCATGCGAAAGAGGCAATAGAAAAACAAGGGATAGCACCTTTGCACGCCCGACTCCTTCAATGTACCTACCGGGCGAAATGGTCGGGCCGATACCCGTATCAGTTTTCCATAAGAGTGGACTGTGTCTGGGGTCACGAAGTTGTATTCGGTGGCCTGTCGACTTTAAGAAGCGGTACCATTCATATCCTCCACCTTTGTGAAGGATATCAGGACCCTTTTCACTCGAGAGATCCTGGACAATTTCTTACACGAGGGCCGATACTTCTTTCTATCTACGATCAGGACATCAGACGCTTTAAACGGGTTGGATATCACTGGATACGCCATACAGGGCAGTATCACAACGCTCACCGCGTTGTCGACGGGGAACTCATTCTTGCTTTTGATCTCGGGTTGTTTGGGTCGTTCTCCTTTACTAACGCGAGCGATATTGAAAGAATTGACGACGAGGGTGGGTATCGTATCACACTTGGTTGAACTTCCATTCAGGCAGCACCAGATCGACGCTTGGTAAAATTGCTCGATCTGGAATACATACCATGTCTCTCCATTGATCTATCAACTGGTCAAATTAGTGGCCACTATACAATGCGTCTATCGATCAGCGGATGGCTTTGGAAGGTAGTGATGCATAGGATATCGGTGACAAGATTCAAAGGTGACTTGCAGAGAGTGAGGCCTTGCATCCGCCAAATGGAAAAGCACTGGCATTGTACTTGCAGATCTATATGTGCTAGTAGTCGATATCTGCCGCCTGGTCAGCTTGAGAGATAGCAGTTGCGAAAAGAGTGACAGTCATTTAACGTTCTTCTCTGAAACGTCTCGCTCGCTCAAAGAAGACAAGAGGCGTATTTGCAAATGTATGCAGCGCAGGTCGAAGTGCAGAGTCTGACGCCACTTCGTTCCGCCATTGGAGGAACATATGACTGCGCCTTAACAGCGCGTCTTACACCCCTGGACAGATCGTACGACAGCATGATTCTGGGGCCTCCATCGAGAATATTCTCATATTTATCAGCAACTCCTTCTAGAGATCGGGTGTCGGTGCGACCTCGTTGGGCTGGTAGAGCATCTGACAAGCTAGTCTACACATGTCATGTATGTACCATCTTGTCAGACCGTTATGTTGCCTTGACGTTCGAAGTGTATGTAGGGCGTGTAAGCGCTAGAAAGTGTGGATAGAGGGTCTGATGTGGCTATTGGCTAGGCGCACTACACTAAATGGCCGCGTGACGAGCCAGGTCGCGTAACGAGCCACCCCACCATCCCAACATTGCGCGTCGTCCCAACTTCAACGCGTCATAACTCCACAACCATGGACCCGATTCAAGAAGCAATTGAATATATTGAATCGCGTGAGGCTGGAGATGGTTTCTCGTACCGCTAAGTTTCAAAAATATTCGGAGTTGATCGAACAACGCTGTCGCGGCGGCACAAGGGTTCGCAGGGCACCCGTGAAGCCAAAATAGCAAATTAACAACGACTTAACCCACAACAAGAGCAGGAGGTTGTTAGTCACATAGACAGAGCTATAAGAGATGGTCTACCGCCTACAGGTAGTATTTTGAAGAACTTCGGATCTGCTGTTGCGCAGCAAGAGGTCTCCGATAGCTGGGTTAAGCGGTTTCGCCGTCGTCATCCCGACAAGCTCATCACCAAATGGGACACCGGTATCGATCGTGAGCGTCACGTAGCTGACAGCAAGTATAAGTACGAGTTGTACTTCAACTTGCTGCACTCTAAGAGAGTAGAACACGGGATTGACGAGCGCAATACGTACAATATGGATGAGAAGGGCTTCTTTGTCGGTATCGCCAACCGCAGAAAGAGGATCTTCTCCAAGGCAGTTTGGGAGGCGGGAGAGCGTACCTAGGCGATGAGGGATGGTAACAGAGAATGGATTACGCTGTTAGCTTGCGTATGCGCTTCTGGAGATGCACTGCCGCCCGCTCTCATCTACTAGGGCACCTCTGGGGTTTAATTAAGCTGGGTTCACGACCTTCTGGAGACCCAAAACCACCAGATATTTGTATCCCACTCAGCTTTAGGATGGTCTAACAACGAGTTAGGTCTTGCCTGGCTTTAACAGGTGTTTGAACGTTATACAGCAGCCAAAGCTCGCCGTTAATGGCGCCTTCTTATCCTTGACGGGCACGGCAGCCACGTTACGCCCGAGTTTTTGGAGTTTTGTGAAGCCAAACGTATTATGGTTATGGTGTATCCTCCCCATTCAACCCACAGCTTACAGCCGTTGGATGTGGTTCTCTTTGGGCCGCTTTCGAGTCACTACACCGAGCAGCTTACTCAACACCTCCAGCGAACCTAAGGCCTCTCAAGGATCACCAAACAGGACTTCTATCGTCACTTTTGGCCGGCTTGGAGCTCTACAATGACTCACGATCTCATATTGAAGAGTTTTCAAGCTACAGGCGTATGGCCGATGGACGCAAGCCGGGTACTTCAACGCTTCAACAACAACGCACAACAACAAGATAACGACCCAGGAATTAGGGAGCAAGGCGACGGCGATAGCTGGCCTTAGCTGCGCAAAATTTTTGACGCTGCGGTAGCTGACAAGGCCAAAATTGAAGCCAAACGGCTATCCCAAGGCTTGCACTCGCTGCAGGTCAACAACGCGATTCTCCACGCCGAAAACGAGGAGCTACGGGCTGAACTCAACCTTATTCGAAAGCGCCCGATCAAATCTACAACACTGACTACACGAGAAGGTGATGAGTGGCACGGCGGAGCTGTATTCTACAGTCCCAGGAAGCTTGCCAGCGAGCGCGCGCGCAAGGCCGCAGAACTGGACGAAGCCGCGGAGCTACAACTCCAAAAGGCTCGCGATAGAGAGATCAAAGCGGCAGAAGCAGCTGAGAAAAAGCGCTCTCAAGAAGCTGCAAAGTTGGCTCGACAGCAAGCCAAAATTGCTAAGGATGCGGAGGAGCAACGGCAGCGTGAGGAGAAAGCTGCCGCGCGGGAGCTCAAAAAGCAGCAACAACAAGCTGCAACCGCTCAAAAAAGTCGCGATACAGCAAATAAGCGTAAGCGAAAAGCCTCACCTAAGCCAGCAAAAAAATCGACAAAGCGTCGTCGTGCTGTTGCTTCATCAAGTCGGGTGGTTGAGAGTCCGCCTCGGGCGCCCTCCCCACCCAAATTTGGCCTACACACCCGCCGACTCAAGACGCCAGCGAGATACAAGTAGTGCAAACGCTTTAGTAGCGTCTATATATCAATACACCAAAAAATTCCACGATAATAGCTTTTGTGGGTGGCTCAATAACCTCATCTTTTTGATCGTCCGATCTTGGTGGGGTGGCTCGTTACGCGACCTGGCTCGTCACGCGGCCATTTAGTGTAGAGCGGCGCCTTTTGAACGGGGACGAAGTTTGGGGGCCAAAACCACGTCTCAGAATCCGGTATCTGTACCCGCGCCACGATTGAATGATTTCTCAGCAAGAGTATTAAGACAAGCACTGCCCATGGTTTTTTCCACGGCGCGCATTCCCTAGCCATGGCAAACCACACTTCCAAGATGATGGCAGGGTTTCGCTCTCAGCCCTACAGTCCAGTACCCACGACTCAGGATCCCTCAACCCCTACAGCGGAAAAACTCCTTGCGTCTCAAACGACAACGCCCATTCATTCAGAACTAAAGAAGAGCTCCTCACAATCATGGTCCGCTGCACAAATCCTACTGACCGCAGCGATTCCACTGGTCGCCCTTGTCGTATGGCTTGTATGCGTCCGAGCGAATCCGCGAATTTTCGATACGTTTGCGGGCGAGAAGATTGGGGGCCACCTTAGCCAAGCAGAGGCAAAAGCAGTCGATGCCATCACAGGAGCTGTACTGGCGCCTTTACTCATGGCAACTCTGAATTTTGTCTGGTTTGGCAGTGCACGCGTGTCGGCCTTGAACGAACAGCAAGCGAAGCCAATTCCCCTTCGTACGCTGGTTGCCGCCAGCGGTACAACAGGCGGGAACTATGACCTTTTCAATCTCCGCAATCTACTCATGGGCAAGACTTGGACACTTGGACTCTTTGCGCTGCTAACGATGCTCTCTGCTGTTTCGAGAACAGCACTGAGCAATGTTATTGCGTACGAGGCATTTTCTGAACTCGGCTCTTCACAGACGTCTGTTCCACTAAGGCTGCAAAGTGACGTTACCATCAACCAAGATTACGACGGTATAGTGTCAGGGGCCGACATCGTCTCATTGGATTTGTACGATTTCGACGGTAATCAGAATGCCCAAGTCGTCAAGGATGTGGTGTCCCTCTTAACCGAGATATCCTACGACAGTTCCGACTCAAAACTGACCAATGGTACATATGTAGCCGTGAACGTAACATCGCAATCGCTAGAGTCTCTGCCGCCGGCTATTTCCAGGCTCGAAAACGTACCGGCCTATCGACTGTCGGTCAATTGTAGCCCGGCTCTGCCAGAATCAATATCAGTAGATCAACCACTAAATTTTTACAACACGATGATCAACTTGATTATCAACAAAACTGCAGAGTCGGATAATTACTTATTTGAAGCATTCTACCCGGGTACACCTGAAAACATTCAAAAGGGAGAAGGCGACAGCCTCACATACGCCGCATTTACTCTGGGTTTCAAAGAGGCATATCTAGGCTCCCTAAGGCGTTTCGACTTGTCCAATGATACGGAACCGTCGGCATACGGCACACTCCATTACCGTGCCTACAACATGACTCAATGGGGCTTCAGTGGAACAATGGGACTCATGTCTGCCTGCGGGTTGCGGTGTGTGCTGTACCGCGAACACGGCGTCGCCAACACAAGTCGCAGTTCGGACAACACCTCCAGCACCGCCGTATGGACCATTGACGCCGCCACGTTTCCCTCGCAAAAGAAACAAATCATCCCCTCCCAGCTCTCCAAATTCCAATACAACAGCCTCAACTTCCACGTCCCGGGCTCGTCCATCCCCGGTCTCGGTCCCGCCCTGTCCAACATGTACGCTGTAACGACCCAAGACTTCTTTACCGACTTCGCACACACCTTCCTCTACGCCTCGGGTGAGACGCAGCGTATCCTCTACGAGGTTGCTGCATCCAGCAAGAACGCTTCGCGCAACATCCCCCAGTACACCATCCACGTCCCGGCATACGCAATGCAACTACAGTACCGCATCACATACGTACCCAGTATCCTCCTGGTCGGTTTAATCTGCCTGCTGGGTGCAAGCGCAGTAACCGGCACCATGGCCTTATCCGCGAGGAAGTCCCTCTCAGCGCGAGCCCAGCGCGAGGTCAACGTCACGAGACTTTTGCTGGACAGCGTAGTCGGGTTGGAGGCGGATGCAGATGAACTGGCAAAAGTGGCGCAGAGAGGCAACGACGAATTAGACGCTTGGGCGGCGGGGTACAAGGTGAAATATAGAATCACGGATGATGATACGGGTGATGTAAGAATTGTTCTGGAGAAAATCAAAGCATGATAGAAATAGCATATAGATTAGAAAGAGTGTGGTGGGATTCTACACGTGGCATAGGTGGAGTATATAGGCCGAAGCAGAGTCCAAAGAGATGCGCTATCGGGGCTACCGTACCCAACGGGGTTGAAGGCTGCCAATTGTGACTTCTCTCTCTTGCCTACCCAACTCCCATCCCCAGCATAGCCGCATCAACGCACGCAATCAACACTTTATACAACAAACCTAGAACACAAAGATATGGAACCCTTTCAGGACTAATTCCAGTCCTTCAAACATACAGCGCGAATCACATCAGTGCAAAAACAAGCAGGGTGAGGCATATCTAAGAGCGGGGAATATATTTATCAACGATCTAGGAATTGCCTACAGAGCACCCGCATTATCAACAGGAATGCGTCCTCTGACCACGACATTGCAAAGCCTAGATTGCAGTGGTGGCAGCGGCATCAGCAACCTTGGCCTTGGGCTTGGGTGCCTGGGCATCGAGCGGAACGTTCAAGCCCAAACGCTCACGAGTGGTGTAGGAAGCGATACCCCCGTTAGTATCAGCTTCAGTAACGAGCTCCTTGCGACGGGTGTCAACAAGCAGACGAATGAGATCAGGGCGCATGTAATGACCCGAAAAGTCAGCCAACGCCTTGGTCAAGTGGCATTCGTTGAGGTCGATCTGCATTCCGTTAGTCCAACAACAAGGAAGGTTAGAATGGGTTTGAACGACTCACGTCAACGAACAGCAGACCATCAAAGTCCTTGTCGGGCTTGCAGACGAGGGTACCATCTGGCTTGTAGATCCTCGCATGGCCATTGTACGTCGAGGGATCAGTCTCGGGCTCCACACCTTCAGGCGTCGTCTTCTTCAAGCCCTCCACACTCAGTCTCTGGAACGGAGCCAGCGTCCACGTGCCCGTCTCAATCGCATAAGCCGGCGTGACCAAGTCAGAAGCCGGGTCTGCGACATTGGTAGCGGGATCAGGATACTTGAGCGTCTCTTTGCCAGGATACACAGGCCAGGCGGCGATGTGGATCTGCTCGCCCTCGGATACGTTGAGCGATTTGAGGAACGGGTTCATGTTTTCCCAGCAGTTGAGCTGGCCGAGACGGCCGAGTTCGGTCTGTGTGACGGACTTGAACGTGTCGCCTGCGCCATCGCCGTAGACGAGTTTCTCAACGTGTGTGGGCTTGATTTTGCGGCGGTGGTTGATGACTTCGCCAGTGGGATCGATCAAGGCCTGCGCCAGGTACAACGTCGCGTGGTCGATTTCGGAGAAACCGAGCGAGACGTAGCTACACTCAACATCAGATACATGCCTTTCGTCGTCCTTGTAGGTACTAGAGATCTTACATCTGGTTATCTCTCGCAGCGCGGCGGATCCGTCGAAACTCTTCTGAATCCATGGGCAGCGAGTTCTCGCGGTACGACTTGAGCATGGGGAGCGACTGCTGGTAGTTGACCTTCCACATCCAGTAAGGGTAACCTGGGATCCAGACTTCAGGGAAAGCAATGAGCTTGCAACCTGCAGCGCCGGCTTCGTTGATGAAGTTGATGGTCTTTTGGACGCCGGCTTCGAGGTCGAACCAACATGGCTCGGAGGTGACCTGTTACTCGGTCAGCTAGAATTTGGCAAGAAGCACAATGATGGGGACTAACACAGGCAGCCTTGTACTTGGTGAGAGGCATGATGGAAGCTGTTTTGTATCGAAGCGTGCTGTGTTTCGTAGAATAGATAAAAGTCAAATGTGCGATGATTGATGTTTAAACCTGGGGGCCTTCCCGAGTTCTTATATACCAATACCGTCATGTACAAACCCCTCTCCTCTCGTTACACAGCATTCACCCTGCACCTAGCGACCCTTCTCGATGCTCCATTGTTTGTCAGTCCCAGCGCCAGGAGCATCTTCCCTGCTGCCGGTTAATTGACGTGCTTCCCTGAACATGGTGTGATTTTGCCGCTATCGAAAACGAATAAGAACCACAGAAACAAATGAAGCAACTGCAGCGACCGGACCGTGTAGCAAAACAGTGGACTGATGTTGAACATGGACGTCGATGTCTCGTTGCTAGCGTTGATACTGTAGATGCCGGAGATGCCGTGACCCAGTCTTTGCGGCATCAGCACGGCGCCGGTCGGCATGTCGCCGCGTCGCGTCCTGTATCACCCGAACCATCACCGTAACTGATGTAATGCATGTTCGACACTGATGAAAAGGCCGATGAAGCAGCGATCCAGTTTGCGACGTGATTTACGCGTCTGGTTGTAACCCGGCAGAAGCTCGGGCACGGATAGTCCAGAACATCGCAGGTACGTGGAGACGAAAGAGGCAAAAGGAAGACTACATGTTGAATTCTTCATCCTTGAATGCTTAACACCAGGTCTATGCCTTGATGTTTGCCGGCTGTTTGAAGTATTTGCTAGGAACAAAAGGCATCTTGGTCACGACAGCCTTCCTTTTCCTCCCTCTCACGACAACCTGGACTTCGGTCCCTGCTTTGTGCATACCATCTTTGACATAACCCATGGAAATGTTCTTCTTCATCGTAGGCGAAGGACAGCCAGATGTGATGGTGCCAATCTTCTCTCCAGCCTCGTCGATAATCTCGGCACCCTCTCTGGCAGGCGATCCCTCTACGACAAGACCAACGCGACGCCGTGATACACCGCCGCCTTCAGACTTCTTCTTGAGCTGCTGCAGGATAACGGAGTCGCCGTGAAATCCGCCCTTCGCACGGCGGTCCTTGCCGATGATCCAGGATAGTCCGGCCTCGACTGGCGTGGTCGTGTCATCAAGATCGTGGCCGTACAAGCACATGCCCGCCTCTAGTCTCAGCGTGTCACGCGCACCCAAACCTGCAAAACGCAACTCGTCTTTGGCAGAGTCGAGCAAAAATTGGGTCACGGCTTCGGTGGCGTAGGCGGGGATGCTAATCTCGAAACCATCTTCACCAGTGTATCCGCCCCGGCTGACGAGCACTTGAGCATCTGTGCCTTTGATGACAGCGTTTGCGCATTGGCCAAAGTACAGCGATTGGAGATCCTGCTTGGACTTGTCGTCTAGAACGCGAGAGAGTATCTCAGCGGATAACGGACCCTGGAGGGCGACAAGACCCTGTCCATCGAGTGTGTTCCACTCTACAGGCTGATCGGGGTGTGCGTTCTTCCAGGCTTCTAATTGTGTCTTGAAGTAGGCAGTGTCCTTTTCCCTGCAGCCGGCATTTGTGACGACGTAGAAGCGATCGGGCAGACGGGTGATGACTGTATCGTCAACAATTCCCCCTGTAGAGTGTAGCAGCGTAGATAGGGTCGACTGGCGTTCGGGTAATGTAGATAGCGACGAGGGTGTTATGGTTTCGAGGAAGGCCTCGGCGCCTGGCCCGGAAAAGTGGTGCTGGACCCTGGATGGATTAGCGCAGGAACATGATTGGAAGATTGTGGGAGTGATGGTGAGTACGCAGAGCAAGTAGGAAGTCGCTGTTACCTACATATGTCCAACGTCAAACAAGCTGGCCTTTTCGCGTGTCCAGTTGTGCGAGTCGATGATGCTCATATCGCTATACTGGACTGGCATGGCATAGCCGCCAAATGGCACAAACTTGGCACCATACTTGCTGTGAAGCTCGTACAAGCCCGTCTTTGCCGGCTGCTCACTTGCAGCCTCCGACGAAGCATATCGGACGTGTTGCTGCGATAGGCGTGTGAGGTTGCGGGGACGTGGGGCTGGGGTTGCGTGCGATCTTGTGGAGTAACTCGCGACACGCGAGCATTCTGGCCTCCAAACCAGCGGTGCAAGACCATTGGTGGCCGGACGCAGGGCAGCGACAGCTTTTTTCGAGGCCATGTTGGGTGGGTGAGGAGGAAATGCCAAAGAAGTTGCGTCGTCTTGCTGCTGGCGGGTACTCACGGCGGACTATATAAGACACCAATGACGGCAGGGTAGCACCCTAGGCCGCGACTAGGCCCAAGCTCCCCCGACTGGATTCCATCCACCAAAACGGCCATCGTTCCCATAACCGCCTATATCGCGTCCCGATCGCCCCAAAACAGAGCGCCGCAACCATGTCCAAGGGGAGCAAGTACCTTCTGGTGTCGCTGCCGACGTCCATCTCGCCCTCGAACCACGCCGAGGACGCCCTCACAGCGCTGCGGTCGACCGTAACCAATGACGTGGGGAACACGTCCCCGTTCGCGATTCCCAACTTCAAGATCGGAACGCTGGATGCCCTGGTGCAGCAGGCCGATGAGCTGTCCAAGCTCAACAATGCGTGCGAGGCGGTCGTGGCCAAGGTGGGCGACAGCCTGAGGCAGATACTCGACGGCGACGAGGGCAAGATACAGCAGCAGAAGACGATAAACGACAGTATGTGCACACGGGCCGTATGCGATTGGCGTCTGGCAGCTCACATGATGTAGAGCCGGTTGATCAGTACTTGCGCAACTTCCAGTGGAACAAGGTCAAGTACCGGGCCGACAAGCCCATTGCAGACCTCATAGACGCTCTGCAGAAGGTGCGCTTCTTCCTGTTCTGTGAAGGAGGACGCCATGGCTGACAACAAGGACAGGAGATACAAGGCGTCGACAACGACGTCAAGTCCAAGATGAGCCAGTACAACCAGACAAAGTCCGCCCTCCAGGCCGCCGAGCGCAAACGCACCGGAAACCTCGCGACCAAGTCCCTCGTCAACGTCGTCAACCCCAAAGCCATAGTCCGCGACTCCGAGTACCTCGACACGCACCTCATCGCCGTACCCAACAACAACGTCAAGGACTTCTACAAGGACTACGAGGAGCTATGTCCCATGGTGGTTCCCCGCTCCGCCAACGAGCTCGCCAAAGATGCCGAATTCACCTTGTTCGCCGTTACGACATTTAAGAAGAATTCCACCGAGTTTGTACACAAGTGCAGAGAGAAGCGGTGGACACCGAGAGATTACCAGTACAAGGAGGGCAACAAGGAGGAAGAGGCCAAGGAGGCGGAGCAATTAGCCAAGGACGAGAAGAAGTTGTGGGGCGAGGCGTTACGGCTAGGAAGAACGGGATACAGTGAGAGCGCCATGATCTGGATCCATGTTCTCGCGCTGAGAGTGTTTGTTGAGACGGTGTTGCGATATGGCTTGCCGCTTGACTTCGTCGCGGGAATCGTTCAGGTGAGTTTGCGCGTGTTTGACGAGCTCAGTGTGCGAGACTTTTGTATTGGAGATGTACTAACGCGAGGCACCTAGACCGATGCGAAGCAAGCGAAAAAGGCGAAGTCGAATCTCGATGGCGCGTACTCATACCTTGGTGGCAACGCTTTTGGCCGCGATAGCAAGGGCCGGATTCAGAAGGATGATCAGGCGCTGTCGACTGACATGGCGCAAGCGGGCCAAATGGGTGATCAGGAGTACACGGCGTATGTGTACTATGAGTTTGAGGTGCTATAGTGTGACGGGAAAAAGGTAGTGAGGGTTTGTTTGATAGCATAATTTGGTCATGGACTTGTGTTTCGAGTCTTATAGATAGCTTTCTGTGAAAGCGGAATGATGAACAGACTTCATCTCATGGCCACCGGAATCCATGTCCGACAGTGATGACAGCACATGCACGCTCTACGCTTCTTGAAATCCGACCAGCTCATTACTCAACTCCCACAATTCCTCCTCGCTCTCGACGTCATACGCCCACTTCTCATATCCCCGATCTACCAGTCCATAACTCGGTTGTGGCACCGGTGGACAAACCTGACAATCGTCTAGATAAACACGTCCCTTGCCTTCCCAACACTCTCCTACAGCTGCCCAAACAGTCGTCGCGGCTCCTTGCGCGGGACTCTTCATGTACCTCTGTACTGCGGGGATCTCTTTCATGGCGTCCATTCCAGGTATGTGGTCTTGCAGGCCTGTCCATATACCACCTGGATGGAGGGACAAAGCATGAATGGGATGTTTCGTGGAGGAGCCATAGTGTCTATCGATGTAGTTTGCGAACCAGATGTTTGCTGTTTTGGAGTGCGCGTATGCCCGATTAGGATCATACGCACCGAGCTCTCGCAGCTGCATATCTGACAGGGTGGGCGCGAAGTAACGGTGGCCCAGCGACGACACGGCAACGACGCGCGAGGCGGAAGTAGGCGTGCTAGAAGCGACGAGGGCTGGTTTGAGCAGCTGGAAAAGCAGAAAGTGGGCGAGGTGGTTCACGCCGAATTGCGTCTCGAAACCATCAGCGGTTGTCGATTGGGGTATTGCCATGACGCCTGCGTTGTTGATCAAGATGTCAAGTTTACCATGGCTGGATGCGAGGAACTCCGCAGCGAATGTGCGGACGGAAGCTAGGCTCTCGAGATCTAGGTGGAGTAGGTCGACTTTTCCTGGTGACAGGATGTCGGCGAGTGCTGCTTGGCCCTTTTCGAGGGAGCGTGCGATGCAGAAGATGTGGGCGCCTGTGGCAGCGAGAGCTCGAGCTGTTTCGACACCTAGGCCTGAGGAGCAGCCTGTTATTAAAATAGTCTTATCGGTTAGCTTGCCCTCGAGACTGTTGTCTTTGACGATTTCAAGGGCTGTGGGACGGGCGTCGCCTTCGCCGTTGAGATTTTGGTGGGCAGCGGCGTAGCGTGTGAATTCTGGGGTAGTGTACAAGGCTATGTTGAGTACCGAGGATGACAATTCGAACAGTTAGGGAATGAAGATGGAGGCGAAAAATGTAATGGGTTTAAGGTCTCAACGCTCGCAATCTAAGGATGATGGGTTGGAATTGGAGAATGCGTGTACGTGGGTCTTTATACACGAAACCATATTTACAGAGTTTACAAGCCGGTCGACTGTACCTTAAGGCCGATATTCACTCCGTATATGCTTGGGATGGCCTGTGTAGATTGGTATCACTAAGACGTACGGACCAGCGGCGGGCGTGGACCAAGTGAGACGTTGTGATCGGTGAGCGTGGTGTTGCGGAGTTAGCGAGTCAGATCCGAAGTTGTACAGAACAGGGCGGTGGCAGCAGGCAGAATCTTAGCGCGTCGGCTTTGGAAAGTGCAACTTTTCTCTGAAAGTTACCTACACCCAATCACGAGCCCGGACCACGCTCAAAACACCCACGATGCCGTCTACACACAATGCCGAGAAGCCCTGGGACACGGATGATATTGACAAGTGGAAGGTACGTTTGCGCCGGATTTGCGCGCTCTCGGCGCAAGATTGACATGCGCGCAGATTGAGCCCTTCAAGCCCGAGGACAATACGGCCGGCGCCTTCACCGACGAGTCGCGTTTCAGCACGCTTTTCCCAAAGTATCGCGAACAGTATCTGAAGGGGTCATGGAAGTTCATCACACAGGCGCTGCAGAAACAAGGTGTCGGGTGCGAGCTCAACTTGGTTGAGGGTTCCATGACGGTATGGACGACGCAAAAGACATACGACCCGGCGGCGATATTGAATGCGCGCGACCTGATCAAACTGCTTGCGCGAAGTGTGCCGGCGCCACAAGCAGTCAAGATCCTCGAAGACGAGGTGGCCATGGACATCATCAAGATACGGAATCTAGTTGGAAACAAGGATCGCTTCGTCAAGAGGCGGCAGCGTATTCTCGGGCCAAATGGATCGACGCTCAAGGCACTGGAGCTGCTCACCGAAACCTATCTGCTGGTACAGGGAAACACCGTCGCCGCCATGGGTCCCTACAAGGGCCTCAAGCAGGTCCGGCGCATCGTCGAGGACACAATGCACAACATCCATCCGATCTACGCTATCAAGGAGCTTATGATCAAGAAGGAGCTCGCTAAGGTAAGTTGTGGAAGCGCAAACTGCATATGCGACGTACACTGACTTTGCGCCACCACATAGGACCCGGAGTTAGTCAATGAGAGCTGGGACCGCTTCCTCCCCAACTTCAAAAAGCGCTCGCTCAGCAAGCGCCGCGTACCTCACAAGGTTACCGACAAGACAAAGAAGACATACACACCGTTCCCGCCGGCCCAGGAGAAGAGCAAGGTGGATCTGCAGATCGAGAGCGGAGAGTACTTCTTGGGCAAGCACGCAAAAGAGAGGAAAGTACAGGAAGAGAGGGAAGACAAGATGAAGGACAAGATGGGCGCGAAGCGCAGGGAAAGAATGATGGAATATGTCGCACCAGAAGAGGATGGCGAGGAGAAGCAGAAGAAGGAAAAGAAGCGAAAACGGGAAGAGGGCGAAGGCAAGGAAAAGAAGAAGAAGAAGCGCAGTTCCGAGGGCGAAGCCAATGGCGATGCTTGAGCCATATTTTGCATTGCAATACCGACGTTGCAGCGACATGCTGCAGGTCGTGGAGTATAGGCGTATTCTTCCTTCTCTTCTAGGGAACACCACAAAAAGCATTGACAGGTGTTTAGGTTAGCTTGATAAGTTCAAATACCCAATTCTGTATTACCACCATCACATGTCGTTTCTTTTAGGATCACCGGGCTCAAGGCCATTGCTTGGCGCTCTATACTTGGCGACAGGCGCTCAAACATATTGCGTCTCACATGCGAACCTGACATATCAGCCGCAGTGCAACGTCGACAGTTCTTCACAACGTTCTTGCGACTCTGTCTCAATACGCAGGCCAAATACCTTGCTGCCTTGCTCAAACCCGTAACATAATGCGGAATCTGTCTGCTATCCTAGCACATGTCGCCTCGGTCGACTTGGTATCATGGACGCTGCAACGTCAACCATGTTGGCAAGAAAGTCCCCTCTACAACCTGGCCTTTCAAACTTCACTAGACGCATCACAAACCTACGCATTTTGCGCTGAACTCTTTTCTCCTTTGGGTCAAGTGCATGCGAAACCGCGTGACATGTACGAACCATGGACCCACAACCCAGTTTGCACACCACATCTCTCCGGCATCAACGATACACTATGTGTTTACACAAACTTTACTTTTGCTGGAGAACGCGGAATATCAATCGTGACGACACCGCGTCTTGCCCGGCAATTCGCTGTGTTACCGGCGCTTCTTGAACAATCGATTCATGCAGCGCGGAATATCAACACACCTACGAACGTGTATCGAGCGACTGAAATACCAGCAAAAGGCATCGGCATGCTAGCTACTAGGCCCCTTGCGTTCGGCGAAGTCGTAACAAGTCACACACCAGCACTCGTCGCCTATCTAGAAGCCGAGTTATCGACCCTAGACCGCGAAACACTCTGGCGCACCGCTATCTCGCAACTACCACCGACACTCCAAGAAGACTTCCTCTCTCTGGCGACCGTGTATGGAGATGAGAGGGTGCGCGTCCAAGACATTGTTAAAGCGAATACCTTTCAGATCCTGCTCGGGGGCGCAAATCATCTGGCCGTCTGGCCCGAGACGTCGAGGTTGAACCACGCGTGTGCGCCAAATGCGCAGTATGTGGTGGATGCGGATATGTTGACGCATACGGTGCGTGTGACGCGGCCGATCGCTGAGGGCGAGGAGATCACGATAAGTTACACGAGTCCGCTGGAGGAAACGGACGTTCGACGGCAGCATCTGCAGCAGGGGTTTCATTTCATGTGTACGTGTAAGAGGTGTGCAGATCCCCGTTCTGACGTTACCCTTGAGCGTATCAGGATTTTGGAAAAGAAGCTCAATGACTGGTCGTCCGCCTCCTCCTCCGGTTCGGTGGACATGGCGGAAGAACTGCTATCGCTCTATCGTCAAGAGGGTCTCGAGGGTTTCATGGACATGCCGTATGGGTTTGCGGCGCTGGCGTATAGTACTGTTGGCGATAGGGAGAAGGCGTTGAGCTATGCGGAAAAGGCGCAAGAGGCTATTCAGATGAAAGACGGGGTTTGGACAGAGAACTGGAAGATGTGGGAGGGGTTTAAAGGAAATTTGGAAGGGCATTGGAGTTGGAGGCGGAGGAGAGTGTGATGGGTCGCGTTTCAATCGAGAATGCAACGTGTCAAAACAAACTAGACACTAGTCACTGAGTTCGATGTGAATAGCATCATATTGAAGCTGTGCTCTACTAAGCTGTCGACTATCGTAGTTGGAAAGTCGTTGCGCCGCTCACGACGTACAGGGCGCCGCCAAGAATTAGCGAGTGTGGGGTGGTAATTGGATCAGCCACTCCCGGCATTTCCTGGCACCGTCCCACCCAGCACCACCCACCTGCATCATGAACCCCTATGGAACTTGGCACGCCTTCACGACCCAGCGCTTCAGCCTTCGCGGAACCTGTCGATGAAACTTCCATCCGTCTCCTACACTTCTCGCGGTCTGAAGATGGCATCTTCACTGGCAAGTTACGGCGGTTCCCGATCGCTGGTGCACCTCACTATTACACAGCCAGTTATGTGTGGGGCGAGCGGAAGTACACGGGAGTTACAATCAATGTGAAGACTGGAACACTGCCCATATTGGACAGTCTTGTGCCCTTTCTAAAGATGGTTACTCGTCATAGCGATTTCAAAGCTAGTGACTGGTGGTGGATCGATTCATTATGTATCAACCTCGACGACAGCCGCGAACGCGAGAAACAGGTGCGCATCATGGCCGAAATCTACAAGAGGGCAAGAAGAGCGATAGTGTGGCTTGGTGAAGAGAAAGAGAGAGACAGCGACTGTACAGATGCAATCGAATTTATGCACTACCTCTCCACTTTACAGATCGCATTCAATGGAGACGACATCGCTATGCGCAAAAAGCTTGAGAACCCTGAATTCACCGAGAAGTGCGCTGCCGTCAGCGCGCTGCTAGCCAGGCCGTGGTGGACAAGAGTATGGACTCTGCAGGAGTTTGTACTTCCGAAAGAGGCGAAGCTATACTGTGGCATGGCGAGCATTAGCCGCGGAAGGTTTAAGAGTGCAATCTACAGCATCTTTCTTTGCAGCACCATCAGCCAAGAGTTTGAACACGAGCTCGTACCGCGGAAGCTATTTGATGGAGCGTTCAATCGTCGTCGCATTCATCAATGGTTCACTAAACCAGCCTCGGTCGGCATCAATTTGATCGCTATCATGGCGTATCTTGGCAACCACTCCGCGACCGACAGCAGAGACCGCATATACTCCGTTCTTGGCCTGATCAGCGAAAAGGATCGGGAGCTTATAGGACCCGCCGAATATACCACCGACGTTGCGCATCAATTTGCGAAACTTGTTCGCTCCTTCTGGCATGCTCACAAATCGCTAGACATTGTTTGTTTCACGCATCTATTCTGCCGCCATGCCGCGGTCAGCGATCCGGGTACTAAACATGCAGCACCCACCTGGACTCCAGATTGGAGGACGACCATCGACTTCGCTTCACCTGTACCGCTCATGGCAAGCCAAAGTGCCTGCGAACACATTGGAAACTTTAGGCCGCTGCGGTCGACGCGGTGGAAAGCTTCATATGACGCGCCTGGATCACGCCTGAGGAAAGAAGCAAACGTCTCTTTCTCCGGTGATCTGAAGGATCTGTACTGTGACGGTGTCGTCTTAGATACCATACATGGCCTTGGAGGACTTGACGGACAGGAATTACGATGCCAGAGCTTCGTCTGTAGCGAGACTGGCCATGAGCTGGTGCAGTCGCAACGAGAGCAACGCAGCGCACCGAGAGCTACCATGTTGCCCATGGATTGGCTCGAATCTGTAGCACGCTCGCTAGTCATCGACCGCCAGGACAAGTACCTCTGCTTCCAAGCACCAGTGCACTACATCACCGACTTCCTCTTCCTTTGCCATGCGTGTATCGATGGCGACCCAGTCGACTGGAGCTTCTCCACATGGTTCGAGCATAACAGGAAGCTACTATTCGGCACCACATCGCTAGAGGATCTTGTAAAGCAGGTACCCACCGAGTTCACATCGCCACCCCCAACACTCCATCGACCGCCGTCCCACCCCATGCACCAAATGAACGATAAGCTCGATACCTTTCTCTCGCGCTTTCACGATACTGTGCGGAAGAAAGCACGTCGGTTGATGGTCACCGAACAGGGCTATGTTGGTGTGGCACCGTGTCGCGCACGGCCGGGCGATGTTGTTGCTACTTTGTTCGGGTGCAGCATTCCGCTTGTCCTGAGGAAGGAGACACAAGACGCTTGGTGGGTCGTGGGCGAAGGTTTCGTGTATGGCTATATGAATGGCGAGGTTGCCGACCTGGTCAGGAGCGGGAGGGTCGTCAGGCATCGGTTAAAAATTGTGTGAATGGCCATGCTTCTCGCCCATGAACAAACACAGCCAATCATCGAGGATGCCAAGTATATGGCGCAGCGCATGCGAGATGATCGGCACCAGCGTTCTCGGCTGCAGCTTAGCCTGATAGAACTTCGAGCTCCCCCACAACAGACAATCACGCCCTTACACCCATTTGTTTTGAGCTTACAATCTAACATCACCCGGAGTTTCCAGATGAGCGGCATCTGCTGGCGCCATGAGATGCGACATTGCCTCAGCTCCTATCAGCGTTTCTCACAAGCCCGCGGAATCGAATTCCGCGCATCGTGGACCCACTCCACACAATGTTAATGATACAGCACGGCATGCAACATTCCTGTGGCTTTGACACGAGGGTTGTTCTCATTCGTTAGCGAGAAAAAGTATAATGTTTGGGCAGCGGGCGGTGCGCTGATCGGGGGCCACATCGCTGCATTGTGCTCTCAGCCTCAAGCCACCGTGCCTCGTGGTTGGTGCTGTCTCGATCGAGGCTGCAAAAGACCTCTTGGAACTATGCTTGGGGATATGCGACGCAGAGATAGGCGTATTGAGAGTTTCTACAAAGCTGCCGCTGAAGCAGTTGCGTCCGACAGCCATCCTATCGCTTCGTATAATTCCTGACTTCGTTCATCGCTGTCCTGCAATCATCTCGCAGCGCCGCAATCTTTTTGAAAATGTCTGGCGCCTTCAACTATCCACGCGAGGAGCATCATGTTGTTCTGAATGTTGATGATGTAGTAGAAGTGTCATGGTGGTCGACCTTTGCTGATACACTCGTGGTGAACTGCTATGAGGCTGGCGATATCAATGGACAGTTAGAGAGTGAGTCCCAATTTGGTCTTCCTCAGTACTGTAGCTTTACTAACAAGGAACGAAGGCTTCAACATAGAAATCTCGCAGAACGGAACAGAGCCATGGTCGCCAGTCTATCTCTCTAGGAGATTCGATGACTGGTCAATCCCCGCTGGTTGCGAACTTTCGATCTCGCAAGCGGGCGGTGGAGCTATCGGAGGTGCCACGATAGGCGTAACCTCTGCGACTTCTCAAAGCGCATCCATCTTGGCCTTGTCTTCGACCGTACCATGGGATACCGAGACAACACCTTCCACAACACCTTCCACAACGCCAACCCCAACCCCGACACCATCTCCAGACGCGATCTCAAGCCCTGCTAGTACACCATCTCCGACGCTACCCACACCCACACCTACAGGCCCGGTCGATGCCACGACGGCAGGTACGGAGAGCAGCGGTGGCTTGTCGACTGGTGCGAAGGCTGGTATCGGTGCCGGCCTTGGTGTTGGCGCATTGCTTGTCGTGGCGGCGGCATACTTGTTCTATCGAAAGCATCGCAAGACGAAAAACCTAAATAATAGAGTGAGCTACCAACCGGAAGCACAACACTACGAAAAGCCAGTTGGTGTTTCGATCGCGCACCACACGGGTAACGGGTATGATAAGCCATACAGCGACGCCACGACTTGGTCGCAGGTACAACAGCCGTCACAGGCGCCTCCGTCGGAGCTCGCAGCTACGCGATAGAGATGCTCATCTCATAAGTAGAGTCAATACACATATGATCAATTCTGTGCGCGGCGGCTTTGCAGATGCTTGTAGGCTTGAGGCGAACACAAATATCACGTATACACAGGTTGACGCACTTCCTGTGTGGGGCATGGATGCAGCATTAGACGCAGTATTTCATCTGCCTTGTATTAGGTGCAAACCAACAAACATGCCACATTCATCTTGTGCTGTGCAGAATGGTCATAGTCGTGCTTGCACACATCCATCGTTACGGTAAAGATGAGCCGATCTTCTGGCCCGTGCGCCCGCTTCTTAGGCGTCCTTAGGGGAGAGACAAGCATACCGAGCGTGAATCGTCGATCTCGCGTGCGCAAGAAACATTTGGCGGAAAGCCTTAGTTGACGTCATCAAAGATTCCATTATCCAGGAGACGCTAAAATGTACATAGCCGAGCTTAGTTCATCTAAGCTTTGCTCGACGTTCCCAAAGCCTTGATTCGTCCACATGAGCAACCAAGTCGATCTTCCATCGAGACGGCCTCTCAACATCACCAAGAGCCTGTGTCTTATCGGCTTTTCCCGCCGGCGTTCCTCAAACTAGCTTTAGTACCTGACTAAGGCCCTCGGAAGCAGCACAAGATGCGGGGACAGCCTATGCATTCGCTTGTGCAGTGGCCACACGTCAAGCCGGAGAAATGTCCGGCAACCCTCTAGCAAACACGGATCTTGATGAGTAGGGGAAGATCATCATGCTAATTCGAATTCGCATCATTCACATACGTCAAGCTGACGGCCAGCATGATCGACACCCGAATGGTGTCTAGGTTTAAGGTTTTGGAGCAGAAGCGTAGGCGTCTTTTAACAGCTGCATGTCACAGGCTACAATTTTTCAAGGAAGTTACATCAGTCGGCAGATATCAAGCGTTTCACATATCCAAAGTTCTCTCCCACCTGCCTCGTGTACGATGTGGACGTATCTCGCTCTTGCATTGGCCGCTATGGCCTCAGGTATGGCCACCCTTTGAGATTTACTTGGACGAGAGTCTTATACCTATAGGCCAAACCACACTCGATCAGCCGCCTGGTCCAAACACGTGGCCACCAACATCAACGTTAGCATCCACACTCAACCTTGCACCCAGTGTCACGCCCAATATCATCAACCCACATGCGCCAGATGCGCAAAGAATTTGCCCTGGATACAAAGCCGCTAACGTTGTTACTTCCGACAATGCCATCACTGCAGACCTGTCTCTCGCCGGTCCTGCATGCAATGCGTACGGAAACGAAATTTCAGACCTTGTCCTTGAAGTTCAGTACCAGAATGCTGCTCAGCTCAACGTCAAAATCTACCCCAAATACGTTACTCCATCAAACAGATCCTTGTACATCTTGGACGAGTCTCTTAGTCCCAGTGGCAGTGTCTCCCGTGGGTGCACTGCTAACAACAGTGATTTGAGGTTCGAGTGGACTAATGATCCTACCTTCCAATTCCGAGTGAAGCGTGCAAAGACTGGTGAGGCACTTTTTGACACCTACGGCCACAAGATCGTGTTCGAAGACCAATTCCTTGAGCTAGTCACGAACATGGTCCCAGAGTACAATATCTATGGACTACCAGAAGCGATACGTGGAAGCTTTCGCTTACCAAATCAGTACACACAGACTTTCTGGAATCAATACAATGAGATGAACGATCAACCGATTGATGCGAATATGCATAGCACGCACCCAGTCTACCTCGAGACCCGTTACAATAATGGGTCCTCCAAGTCTCACGTGGTATACGGTCGCAACCTTCACGGTCAAGAATGGCTTCTACGCCCGGATCGTATCATCTACCGGACAATCGGTGGCAGCTTCGACTTCTACTTCTTCAGTGGTCCTTTGCCAACGGAGGCTTTGGCGCAGCAGCAGCTTGGTGTGATTGGCACACCTGTCATGCAGCCTTACTGGGCGCTTGGTTTCCATCAAGTTCGCTGGGGTTACCAGAACTGGACTGTTCTACAGGAAATCATTGATGGATATGCTGCTGCGAATATTCAACTCGAAGCGATCTGGAACGACTTGGATTACCTGTTCCAGTATCGCATCTTCACCCATGATAATAATACATACCCCATCGATGAGGGCAAAGAATTCCTCGCCAAGCTGCATGCAAATGGTCAGTACTGGATGCCTATCCTAGACCCCAACGTGTATGTGCCGGCACCAGGCAACGGGACTGACGCAAATCCTACCTACGATCGCGGCAAAGCACTTGATCTCTATATCAAGCGTGGAGAAGGGCACACAGATGACTACATCGGCATCCAGTGGCCAGGCTTCAGCGTATGGCCCGACTTTTTGCATAACGCGACTCAAAACTTTTGGACGAACGAGATGCAGTTGTATCATGATCAGCTTCCATTTGATGGTTGGTGGCTCGACATCTCTGACTTGTCATCGTGGTGCACTGGCTCGTGTGGGACAGGGAGACTTGCGGACAATCCAATCCATGTGCCTTTCAAGCTGCCTGGAGAGCCTGGTCAGATCAACTACGACTATCCTGAAGCTTTTGACCAGACAAACGCGACCGAAGCAGCGTCTGCGAGCGCAGCAAGCGCGTCGCAAGCATCAGCATACCCCACGCCAACCACAACTGTCGGCACGGCCACTGTGGGATTTACTTCAGCGACTCCTGGCGTCCGGAACATAACATTCCCGCCCTATGCTTTGAACCTGACTCTCGAAGGGCACTCACTCCTGCGTCAAGCGGTTGCTTCCTACGCCACGCACAATGATGGATACAACACGACCGAATACGAGCTGCACAATACTTACGGCTATGTCTCTGGTAAAGCAACCTACAACGCGCTCCTGTCTGTGTTCCCAGGAAAACGTCCGTTCTGGATTGCGCGATCAACATCACCCGGCTCCGGTGCTATAACTGGTCACTGGGGCGGCGACACAAACTCGCGTTGGGGTAACATGTACATGACCATTCCTCAAGCATTGACCTTCAGCATAGCTGGTGTTCCTTACTTTGGTGTCGAGACGTGCGGCTTCAACGGAAATGCCGATATGGAGCTCTGCACGCGATGGATGCAGCTCAGTGCGTTTTTCCCTCTATATCGCAACCACAACTCCCGCAACACAATTGCGCAGGAAGCATTCAGGTGGGCGACTACTGCGGAAGCCACTCGTCGTGTGATGGATGTGCGCTTCCGTCTCTTGCCCTACCAATACACACTCTTTCATGCTGCGCACAAGCGCGGTGAAACAGTGTTGCGCGCGTTGTCATGGAACTTTCCTGACGACGAGTTGCTGAAAAGTGTTGATAATCAGTTCATGCTCGGACCTTCCATCTTGATCACGCCGGTACTAGCTCCGCTGCTGCGCGTCTCACAAGGAGTGTTCCCTGGTGCGCCACATACGCGGTGGTACGATTGGTATACGCTCAAAGAGGTGCACGCCCAGCCAGGTCAGAATGTAACGTTAGATGCACCGCTTGAGCACATCCCAGTACACGTGCGTGGTGGCAGCATCATCGCAAGTCAGAAGCCTGGGAATACGACTAAAACGACCAGGATGAACCCGTGGAGCATTCTAGTCGCGCTTGACGGTAAGCGGGAAGCCGAAGGGGAGCTTTACCTCGACGACGGTGTGAGTCAGGAGCCCACTGAGATCAAGGAGATTAAGGTACGTGCGGATTCTGAACTGTCTGGATTGTGGAATCAATTGCTGACTTGTGAATAGTTCTCGTTCGCTAACGCTACCTTGACTACGTCAATGACTGGCTCCTACGAAGATACCAATGCATTGGCCAATATCACGATCGCTGGTTGGGTCCAGGACAACAGTCTCATCGAATGTAGCGCTGTCAAAATCATGTCTGGTGGGAGGAGTGTAGACTCGGGCAACGTTAAGATCACGAGTGATAACGGCGCCGTGCATGTGACGGGGTTGGAAGATGTGGCCAAGGCGTTCCATGCCAACCTATCCATCATCTTCATGTAGATCTACTCATCTTCGATGACAACTTACAACACAGAAAAAGAATGACCAAAAGGTGAAAAGGCTGGTGTGCGTCGGCTGAGGCTTGTGTAAACTGCCGCGCTGATGTCATGTACATGCACTAGCTGCAAACAGCGATACCAAGAGCGCAGCACAAATCGCGTGTGTATGGTCGCATGAATAGATGGGCTGCAGACGGCCTGCATAGGTAGAGAATGAGCAGCTCTGTGTATGTCGATTGATGCTCGCACGAAGTACCGCGCTTACCATCAACGCACTCGTAGGACCAATCAACTCCGGTGCCATATAAATCAGGCCTCCTCCTGACAACACCAAGGCACGTCCTAGAGTACAGAAGCCCAATAAGGCTGTCTGCCAAGCACCTGGCGCAGCGCATGTAAGATTCTCGGTTACTACGCCGCGGCTCAGCCTTGTCAGACTTATCACCAAATGGAGGAAGGCTACACTGGCAACCAGCTCATCTTGGGGTCATGATTGACCCGAGATCATGAGTGAACGAACCTCTGCTATCATCAGGGTGCAGAGTGAATCTTCCCAGAGGCATGCGACAGCTGTCATGGTTTTGCAAGACGGCTCTATCAGCCATAGGTATCTTTTGCGCATCAGGCTATGCGCTCACCGATACCATTACACCATTTAATTCACCCCGCATGTCGTCAACGATAAGGCACACCACATGTCAAGTGACCTTGTCATTGCATCGAGTGCGATCTGATTCGTAGTAGAGGGACAAAAATCGTTCTTCGATGTCAGGCTGTGCGCAGATCGGGGGCCGTTTCGCGCAACCCTCACTCCCAGCTTTGCGTCACTTCGCATCGTGATTCGTACCGTCTTAACTCAGACCGCGAGAGCCAAGTTGGAAGGGCACCGAAGGATTTGCAACATGGAGATAGGCTGATTGTGACGTTGTACAAAGCTGTCGCAGCTACGAAAGCGTACGACAACCTTTCCAAAATCTTCGAGTCATAAGTGCATCAACATCAGCCCCATACCGGACGACAACGACCCGGTCTTTTCAAATATGTCTACAGAAAGAGGCGACTTCTACTACCCGCTTGAGGAAGACCATCTCAACATCAATTACAATGATCAGGTGGACGTGTATTGGTGGTCAACATTCGCGGAGCTGCTGCTGATCAATTGCTCTGAGAGCGTCGCCGGAGGGAAGGGCTATAGTGAGTCAAAGTATGAGCCGTTGTTAGTGATTGCGCTCGACTGACAAGGTCTGAAGACTTTAGAAGGAATATCAATGAGAACGGGACGGAACGCTGGGGCCCGATCCAGCTCTCGCAGGAATTTGACGACTGGAGCAAACCCGTTGGCTGCCAGCTTGCTATTTTCGCAAGTGGGATTGGAAGTATTACTGGTGCGACAATAGGTGTCACTTCTGATCCTACCCATAGCGCATCAATCATGGCGATGTCTTCGACTGCGGCAAAGGACCCTGTAATAACCCCCTCCACGACACCGGCACCAAGCGTGACACCAAGCTCTGCAGCTCCCACAACAACACCTACAGACCCGATAGTCACAGGGTCCACAGGCGACGGCGGCGGCCTGTCTACAGGAGCAAAGGCCGGCATTGGTGTTGGCGTAGGTGTGGGCGCGATTCTGGTTGCGGCCGCGGCATACTTGTTCTATCGCAATCATCGCAAGATGAAAGACCTGAACGCAAGATTGAGCTACCAATCAGAAGCGCAGCAGTACAGCAAGCCAGCCGGCGTTGCGGTCGCACATCACGCAGGCAATGAGTACAATAGTCCGTACAGCGAGGCTACAGCATGGTCGCAGGAACATCATTCACCGCAGGCGCCACCACGAGAGCTCGGGGGTTCGCAGTAAGAGCGTAGAGATTTGCTGTAGTGGGCGATCATCTAGATATATTAAGAAGAGAGCCACGCTCGTCAATTTAATCTTTTAAGGCGTATGACAACTTACATGACCAGAAAGATTTGAGACAATTCGAAAGGATGGGCCGAGGCGTGGTTAAATTCGAAGATGGCACGGTGCTCTCGAATCGGCTCATGCGCAACGCTTCTTAGGACGGCAAGAACAGCCAACAAAATCAAGCCCCAAGCATCGATCGTTTACGATTGACATCTGCAAATCGGGTGCCCGATGGTTCCGTCAACTTGCACTAATGACGATGGATCGCGCAAGATAAGGTGCAGCCTTGCGCGATTCCACATCCAGAGCCCGCGCGGGTGTTCCAATTGAGGCTAGCGTTGCCGCCACCAACTCTGGCCGCGCGCGCAACCTCAAACGATCTCTTTGACCAGGTACTTATGCACTTCAGGCCCCAAAGATGCCAGGATATGCAGAATTTCTTCAGTCCGACGGGAATTATGTTGCGCCGGAGACTGTCAGAGAGGCGCGTATAAGAAGAGGTGGGTTTCGTACTTTTGCGACTTTCGACATCAGCACCAGCGGACACCAGCCAGTTTAGCATCTGCTATCATCGCATCATCTCTCTGAGATTCGTCGCATCAACACCTTAAATTCTCTATAAGATAGCTATTCGCTCCCGTCTCAAGAACATTTATACGAAATGGTCACCGTAGCAGTCATCGGAGGGACAGGCTCTGTCGGCAAAACAATCGTCGACGCTTTCCTAGCAGAAGGCACCCATGAGGTCATTGTAGTCTCTCGCAAGGTTCGTGATCATACTTCCATATCATCAGGTAAACCATAAGCACTAATCAATATGCAGGTTCCGGAAGGCAAGAGCGCTGCCAAAGTCATCGCGGTTAATTACACCAACGTCGAAGAGCTCACCAAGACGCTTGAGGAAAACAATATCCATACCGTCATTTCAACCATTGTCATGTATGATCCTGAAGCTGCACAGGCAGAGAGGAGCTTCATTGCAGCTGCAGACAAGTCCTCCTGTACCAAGCGCTTCGTAGTGAGTAACTGGGGCAATGCTACGCCCGAGGAACCGTACGTATTTCCTTTCTACCTACACCCTCCTTCCTTGCACTCAGGACTTCTAGCCTGACAATAGTTTGCTAGATCTCTCCAGCTAGAACTCAACGGCCTTCGTGAGCCAAGTATCGCCGCTGTTCGCAAGACCGGACTGGAATGGACGCAGTTCTACGTCGGCCTCTTTCTAGACTACTACGGTATGCCGCACGTACCCACCTACCTTACACCTCTCGTTGTGTTCGTGGACATGGCGCACAAGACAGCAGCGCTCCCTGGTAACACGGGCGATGAAACCGTAAGCTTCACGTACACGCAAGACCTGGCAAGATTTGTAGTCGCAGCCATGGGTTTGAAACATTGGGAAGAAGCGCTGCATTGCTACAGCGAGAACACCTCTTTGTCTCGCCTCGTGCAGTTAGCTGAAGAATCCCGCGGTATGCTTTCCGCCTCCTCCCCAAATCACGAACCACGTATTGATGAACAATAGGTTCAAAGTTCACCGTGACTTTCGACCCTGTCGAGAAGCTTGCACGCGGCGAGATTACCGAATTGCCTACTCACCCACATTTGTACCCGTACTTCCCCAAGCCGCTACTTGTCGGCCTCTTGGCCAAGTTCGGGCTATGGGCTGTGAATAGAATCATGTTTGTTCCACATGAAGGAAGTCTGAATGAGAAGTTTCCTGAGATAAAGCCAAAGAGTGTGGAGGAAGTTGTTGGGTTCTGGAAAGGGAAATGAGTTGTTCTTCTTCTGTGTTGCGAGAACGAGCGCAAAGTATTGGGATGAACGAGATTCGGTTTTACGATTCTAATGTGAAATTAGATTGTAGCTAGACTAATAGAATTGGAGAACCCAGTATGCTGAAACAAGAGGCAAGATTCCAGCTGATCATGTTCGGCGCTTCTCTTCTTTCCCATACCTTTACCATGATTTGGCGTGCGTCATCTAGTGTTCCAGCTGTGTGAACCTTGCCTAGACCTGCGAAGAGTCTTGAGAAGAAGGTCTCCTCTTCTTCTAGGGCTAGACAACCAGCGACGCATATCGGCCAAACGAGTGCGCGCAGCTGGTGCGCCGGGACATCTTCGAGTAATACGATGATATGACCAATGTTGGTTCTGATGTCCTGACTGAGCAACTGCCAACCGGAAACGACGACTGTGAGGTACAGCTGTGCTGCACGTGCCCATATTAGCGTCGAAGTAGAAGACGCGGAGGGATTGAGAGCTAGATCAAGCGGCCCGTGGGTGTGAGAGTCGGACACAGATCGTGTGATCTCCTCGTTCTCAATCCCAATCATGTCGCTTTCGAGTGAATGAGCGATTTGTGAGGCGCGATTAACGAGTTCCATGGCATCTAGGCTGTTCGTAGCGATTTGTTCATTCTTCCAAACATTCAGCATCGATATCTCGGCGATTGACCTCATGACGCCATTGCGACATCCGACAACGGTGGAAAGGTGAATCTCGGCATCGCTAGGGAGACTAACTCCAACGTCCTTCTCAGCGAGGAGTGTGGAGTGATAAGGAAGAAGCGTTGGAGGTTCTTGGAGAGCGATACTTGCTAAGATGTCGACGAAGATCAGTAACGCCGCACAGAATCTGACACCAGCTTGGGCAGGCGACCAAATGTGAGTGCCATCGGCAGGGTTAGTCCAGAGTGGAGGCTCGATTTGTAGGAGAACTGTTGTGATTCCTGACTGCATTTGGTTCTCGTGAGACGACGAATCACAGCCCATGATCTGTCTGAGCAAAGTGTACGCGGGCGAAAGATGGGAATTCGAAGGAGCGGCTTTGCTCAGTGCCATCTCGAAGATGAGGAGGTGAACAATGTTTTCCAAGGCCTCAACCCTGGCTAACTGCTCGATGTTCTGCGTGTGTAGATCGAGAGCCAGTATATTCTTTCTTAGGCTATCGAAACAATTCTCAGCATGTCGCTCAACTTCATCCCAACGCAACATTCTGCATTCGGCATGATCGCCAGAAGTACCCTCCAAATCGATGAGTGCCATAGTGAAGAAGTAACACGATATGCTGAGAGCGGCATGATGTGCGATGCGGCTTTTCCCCAGTAGCTGCAGAAGCCAGCTCCGACCTGTGTCGAAAAGGGAGGGTCGGTAGAAGGGGAAGAGTGCTGGAAAGACGAAGTCGATGTACTTGTTGATGAAGTCTGCTTCGATGGGTGAGTTTTCCCGCACGGGTTGAGGGTAGTGGTAGTGTTGCACATCGTTGGATAGCAGAGAAAAGGGAAAGGGCACGGGAACAACGGGAGGTGTTGGGATGCTTGTTGGGGCCGATGTATGTTCGTTTGGTACAATTGAATCCGGGAGGTCGATCGACGAAGGAAACTTCGATACCACCATATCCGGTATGATATTGAATTGATGGACAGCTTCTTCTTGTGTAGTTCGGTTAGTGGCAGTGGTGGACTTCTCTCTCCTCAATGCTGCTTTGTGTTTCACTTCCTCTTTGAGCGAGATGGCTTTCTGTCGTTGTTGCTCGTCAGTATCCATCCAGTGCGGCTTCGGTCCATAGACGCAGGCGATCTCTAGACTATCGCAGTCTCCGCAGATCGGTTGTATCTCGTCGCATTTCTTGCGACGTAGCTTGCACGTCCAGCAGCTATGTTGCCTCGCGCGTCTATGCCTCCCTGTCACTGGCATGGTTGCAATGGTATGATCGCGATATTGAGGAGTATGCGACCGTTAGAAAAGAGTCTAGATGCTAATCAGGCGTTCTGTGGGGCGTAACACATCCTGTATCTGTGCGCACCCTGTGCACTTGCTGTCGTGCACCGGATAAGCTAGGTCACAGGCCACAGTACTGGAACAATGCCCAAGAGGATGTCTCTCGGGTGAGTGAACCTGGGCAGTTTTGGCTATCAGCTATATTGCGATTGTTCGTTGACTAGGGTTTTCGCTGGAAGGTGCGATGAGGGTCGCGCCACCTTCACACTGGTTGGGGCCCCGACGCGGGACGGATTACAGTAACCGTGCGCCAGATGAACACCGTCGCCAGTTGAACACCCCACCAACAACAACAACCCAACTTCAACGCGTCATAACTCAACCACCATGAATTCGATTCAAGAAGCGATTGCAGAAATCGAATCGCGCGATCCAGGAGAACAATTCTCGTACCAACAAATTGCTAAAAAGTACAGCGTCAACCGCGTTACGCTGATGAGACGGCACAAACACGAAACCGAGGACTATAGCGTACGCAACCAATCCCTCCACCCAGAACGCGAAGCCGAGCTTGTACGATATATCAAAACGCTTACCGAACAACGTTTGCCACCTACAAGAACAATAATACAACAGTTTGCTAGTCAGTTGGCTGGCAAACCGGTCTCCGAAAGCTGGGTTGACCGGTATCTCCGCCGGCATCCCAACCATCTCATCTCTCGCTCAGGCAAAGCCATGGCCAAGGAGCGTACAAAAGCTGATTCAGGGGCTAAGTACAGCTTGTATTTCAAGCTTTTACATGAAAAGATAGAGGAGTACAACGTACAACCAACACATATATTCAATATGGACGAAAAGGGGTTTCAACTTGGCCGGGTTGGCAATACAAAACGTATATTCAGTAGAAGACTGTACGAGCAAAAAGGGGCAAGGCAAGCACTTGAAGATGGCTCAACTGAGTGGATAACGGTTATAGCTTGTATTTGTTCGGATGGTACAGCTTTGAGTCCAACTCTCATCTTCCAGGGAGCCAACGGAGCCGTTCAATCGAGCTGGGTTGACGCTGTACAAGCAGAAGAACACTCAGTATTTACTACGTCATCACCTTCTGGCTGGACCAACAACGATATTGGGTTAGCTTGGCTCAAGGGGGTATTTGAACGGGAGACCAGACGATACGCTTCAACTGGGTATCGATTATTGATCCTTGACGGCCACGGATCCCATGTAACCATCGACTTTATTGAGTATTGCCACGACAACAAGATCCTCTTGTTTGTATTTCCACCTCACGCTACCCATACGCTTCAACCACTTGATGTAGTGATGTTCAAACCCCTGGCAACAGCTTACTCAACTCAGTTATCTAGATACCTACAGGACAGCCAGGGGTTGCTCAATTTGACCAAAGGAGACTTCTTCCCGCTCTTCTGGAGGTCCTGGACCTCTGTATTCAGGCCTCAACTCATCAAAAGGTCTTTTGAAGCCACCGGTATACAGCCAGCCAACCCAGACGCTGTACTCAAGAAGTTTGCCAAGGAGGCTTCAGATTCTGAAAGCAGCCAGTCAGTCCTCTCCGGAGACGATTGGCTCAAGCTCAAATCAATCGTACGCCGTGAGGTAAAGGATCAGAGCAGTAAGGACGTCAAGAAGCTTCAACGAAGCTTGTGCCACATCTCAGCTCAAAACAGTATACTTCATGAGGAGATCAGGGGCCTCAGGCAGTCCCTAGCCATCAAGGAGAGGCGACCAAAGCAGTCCTTCACCCTCCAGCTTAATGAGGACGAGGTTTACCATGGGGGAGCCAAAATATGGTCGCCCAGGAGTGTACAACGAGCTCGCGATCGTCAGGCATCACAACAACAACAAGCCGAGCTTGAAAAGCTTCAAAAAGCCAAGCAAGCCGAGATCAAGAAGGCAGCACGCGATTGTGATCTTCAACTCAAAGCTGCGAAGCGTGTTAAGCGGGAGAAGGGTTAGGAGGAGACCAGAAAGCGGAAGGCCGCAGAGAAGGCTGAAAAAGAGCATCGTAGAAGCCTCCGCGACGCTGCCAAAGCTATACAATTGCCCCAATCGGGTAAGCGCAAAGCTTCAAAACCTCATAAGCCAGCTACAAAGCGTCAAAAGCGTGGTGGTGTTGCTCCAGCTGTGGTGGGAGCCGCAAGGGGTGCACCAGCTGTTCTACCGCGTAGTCGCCGTGATCGCGTGATAACGCCCTCCAAAAAAAATTCTGAATAAGCCAAAACTTTCGTAGGCCTATATATAGTATAATCCCAGCTTTGCGCAATTTTATTACGATTTGTGGTGGCTCTACAACCTCATCTTTTTGACTATATTGTTGTTGGTGGGGTGTTCAACTGGCGACGGTGTTCATCTGGCGCACGGTTACTGTAGCCCGCTAGCTGCTGCCTTGCACCCCGCATGCATCAACCCTTCTTTCCGCTCCACTATACCTATGGTCTTCGCAGTCGCAGAGTCTGTATCATCGCAGAATTGCGCGTTTGCTGTTTTTACGAGAAACAAGTCGCATACGATGCTTATCGTCACCGCCGTCGTGCATCTCGATACCCCGCATTCGCACCCCAGCCTTCTCCCCGAATCCCTGTGCAGGTCTCAAGGCTGACTGACAGCAGTCAGAGTTTCTCCACCGTCCTCAGACCTATCTTCCAGCTAATGCCTCGTTGAGCCGTGCGCTAGGGTATGCTTGCCTACAAGTGGCTAGATACGCGACCGCTGCCTACGACGTTATTTTGGCGCCGACACCCCTTTTACTTCACTTCTCCTTTTTTAGCATGGCGAGCGAATTCCAGGAGAGATACGCACTTCCTTCGGAGTCCTCAAAACTCGACAGCAACAAGTTTTCGTCTTCTATGGGAGATGCCTATCAATCCCTCGAGCTTCGGCCTGGCGCGAGGACGATTCGAATACTCCATCTACTACCTCTGTCTACAATCGAGAAGGGTCAGCAACTACAAGGCACCCTCCAGGTGTACAAATTGAGCCTAGGCTATGATCAAGAACAGTTTGAAGCACTCTCATACGTATGGGGTACAGAAGAACATATCGACAACCGCCCAGTCATCAGATGTAACGGATGCGACATACCCATCACGGACAACTGCCGCGACGCTCTGACACAGTTGTCGCCTAAAGATGGATATCGAAGTATATGGGTGGACAGTATCTGTATCAACCAGAAGGACATGGAAGAGCGTAGTCAGCAAGTTGCCATGATGCTTGATATCTACAGCAAAGCAAAGACAGTGTTAATTTGGTTACACACCGAGGGAGTGACTAATGTCGAGACTCAATGCGCAATTCGATCTATACACGCAGCGAAAAGTTGGCACGTAGAAGAAGACTTTGAACGCACACAGGACGCTTTGTCTTTCTTATTAAGCAGGTCTTGGTTCTCCCGAGGTTGGACTTTCCAAGAGCTCATTCTGGGATCAAATCCGGTGTTTCTCACAATCCAGGACGAACTACCATGGCACGAAGTCAGCCACCTCGTTCTAAGATACGCCTCTAAAACTCACGCCCAGCCTTCACTCGGAAGATTTCTGTCGCTCATAAGACTGTGGTCTACTGTAAACACCCGCAACCGCATGCGCCTTATCTTGATGGAGAGCAGCACGTATGTCATAGCTCTTGGGTTATATCTAAGTTCTGCAGAGTACTTCTGCCAGAGGCATCTCTTTATGTCGCCCCAAAATGGACGCCCATCGTTCCTGGCCATCATACGCGACATCATCTTCTATTTGTTATTTGGCTACTCAGCCACCTTGCAAATTCAAGAGGCGCCTCCTTGGATAATAAGTGGCTCCCTACGCATGATGTACCCTCTAGGATCAACCCTGAAAGGGATGATTATTCTGGGAGCTTTGCCGGCATGCGGATTTAGTCCTGGTCTACAAATCCCGTTTCCATGGCCCAGAGGCTGCCCCAGGCGACAGATCTTCATTCTCTCAGTATTGTGGATAGCTAAACGCCTGGGTAAAGAATATTTCGTACGGCAATGCCGTGCATTTATAGATGCTGCATACGTGGTCATGGTCGTGCCTCGCACCGTGTACGCGCATTACCGGCGGAGGGATCTCCACAGCCTCTCCTACCTATATAGCCGCAATCGCCAGTTGGAATGTGCCGGCTTGATGGAAGCCCTGAGGACTCGGCAGGTTCTTAACATGAAAGACAAAGCTTATGCCATGTATGGTATACTTAAGAAGATCGGAGTGTGTACCAAGCGCGCAGACTACTCGACATCATGTCAAGAGATCTACTTGGATCTCTTCCTCAGTCTCATTAGCTGGCGGGCAACTATGCTTGCTCTCCTTATACACGCAGGGAAAGTTTCGTCTAAAGTCCACGACATGCCATCCTGGGTCCCGGACTGGAGAACTGACACCAATTCCGCCTGGTTACCAGAAGACGTTCTACGTCGCTGCACCTCTAAAAGCGTTTACACTAGTGTACGGGAGTGTGGACTGCCCTTCTATTTCATCGATCGTAAAGAACTTACTGTATTGGGACGCCAGCTGGACATCGTAGCTTCAGTTGTGCAACTTCCGCATACAGCCCTGTCATATCCTGATCCTGCCGCGCTGGACGCAATCTCCCAATGGCTTGCATTGGTGCGAGGAATCACGCGTGAGACAGAAGCACTCGACCTACTTCATCTTCTAAAGCAAGACTTGAGAGGTGGCGGTATTAGCTTACCTCATCGAGCGAACTCCCGGCCATCGTACCGTGATCTGGATACTAATGCAATACAGGTCAATCTCCAGCGCCGTATTTGTGGGAAAAGACTTTTGTTCGTCACCAAGAACGGCCGTTACGGAACAGGCTCGCTCAACATCCAAGAAGGTGACACTGTACATCTTATCTCAGGCGTTCCTACGCCGTTGTGCTTGAGGAGGCAAGCAAGCGGTGATAGATACGAGATCTCTGGGCCTACCCTAGAGGATGTGCGCGATTGCACTACAATCGCGCTGTTTTGTTAGTAGCGATAAGAATGCGATAAGAAGCGAGGCGTAGGATCGCG